CCCCCTTGCCTTCGCTCCACACCCCAAACTGCCTTATAAGCTCCCCCTAACGCACATGCATTCCCACCCACATCTAATCTCCACACACCTTCCACACCTCCCAATACCTCTCCTACAATCCGTGCGATTGCGGGATTGTGCGAACCGCCTCCTACGAGATATATACGACGGGGCTGTGCTGGTAAATCATTAGATGGAGAAGTAACTAACTTCCGAGAGCGGAGACGTAGAGAGAGAATTTGTGATTCCACGATGATTCGGGCATCGATTTTCGGATCATAATGTCCCTGAGCTTCGGATATCTTGGCATCGGATGAGGATTCATAGCGGAAAGTACCAGCTCGGATGTTCGGGACGATTTCTGGGAGAGGGAAATAGAGGGCTAGTTTTGCGGGGTCAGTTGTGGACTTTTGGTCTAGGGGTTGGGTTTCCGTGGCGGCTTTGTTGAAATTGGACCATGGGTCTGAGGTTGTAGAGGGGGGGAGAGCATCCCTGATTTTCTCGCGGGCGAGGCCGCCGTTTTTGTAGCATAGCATGAACATGTAGAGACCGGCAGTTGTAGGATGGTTGAAGAAGTGATAGGCAGGATCTGGAACGTAGTTGGGGGTGGACATGAGGAAGGTTGTGGATGTTCCAAGGGACACGATGGCATCCATGGGGCGTAGAGGAAGTGCTAGAATTGTAGCGGGGTTATCACCAGTGAAGGGGACGATTGCACAATCGCTGGAGAATCCATAGCGAGATGTGAAGTAAGACGACACGGAACCCATACTTCCGCCACCATCTTCTCGTAATTCCCCGAGCTTGGATTTCAGAGAAGCAAGGCCATCAGAGCCAGCTGCAAGGGTGAGGAGAGGTTCGCTCCAGGATCCAGATTTTATATCCCAGAGATCCATGCCACAGACATCGCTAATGTCCAAAGGAGCGATTTTACCAAGGAATAGAGATGCGAGGAAAGATGAGACGAGAGTTATCCGAGAAGTGCGACGATAGACCTCTGGATACTTTTTATGAAAACGCATGATTTGTGGTCCCGTAAAACGCTATCAATATAGTTAGTCAAAGTGAAACTGCGCAACCATTGCCCTGCAAATATACATAAGTCAAAAGGGACTAACATGATGAGCTTTACTCCCCGTGACCTCGGCCAGCATCTCCTCACTACCCAACTCCCGATCAAAAGCATCGCATTCCTCCTGCGTGCTCGCATCCTGCCAATTAGGACTCCACGGATGCGCAAACGTAGCCTCCAATTGCTCTACCAAACTATTTTCCACCTCCAAAGCTCCCAATACTTTTTCACCCGTTTGACTCCAATAAACACTTCCATGTTGTTGACCCGAGCCTGAAACCCCTCTGATAAGGTGAAAGGGACAAGACTTCTCGGAAAGTCGCTGAAGAACTAAATCAACGGCCTCAAGCCACATGGCTACTGGTGCGTAAACCTCTCTTTCGGCTTCATTAACATGCACGCCTTTTTTTATGCCATATTTAGAGAGGTCGGCATCAAAATCGACTTTGGCTTCATAGCAGACTTTAAGGGAGGATGATACCACGATTGCTTGGGACAGTTAGTGAGAGGAAGGATGGGGAAGTTGTGTTCACGTGGACATACCTTTTAGTTGTTGGGTGGAAAGGTCGAAACCTAGGTACAATGCTTCATCTTGTGAAGACATGTTATGATTTTTGAGTCGGCTTTTGCTAAATTAAATTAAGAACAGAAAATAATGAAACGTTTGCATATATAAACAATCGGACCTGCCTCTATCGTGGGGTTATATGGGGAAAGGGACAATTAGTAAAAGTCGACGTAGAATTAGTATCCACATTCAGCCTAAATGAAAGGGGACTGGTTTGGGTGAATAGATGCGCACCAATCAAAAAGCAGGACAAGCAGTTTCCGACAATATGGTTCTATAAATTGTGATACACTGCATAGAGTACAATCTCGTAAGGAATTCTACCTCCAACGCCAAATTGGTTCTTTCCAAAGACTTGTTTAGTAGTCTTGCCGCCTGATTCCTAACGCCAATTCCAGTTCCATACGAACTCCACATGATGCTTTATAAAAGGATCTTCTATAGTATTTTCTTGTTGTCATTGCTATGGGCATGTCCATTATGGTCATCGTGATCGTGCTCTTCGGGTTCAGGACTCTCTCGTGGACTCACATCTCCACCGATGAATTCGTCGAAGAGGGAAGGTTTAGCTTCATCCTTTGGTACGAAACGTACTTTGACTCGTCGAACACCACGAACCTTCGAACCAACCATTTGTCTGATACTGTCCTCTACTTCTCTAACTTTCTCAACTGTCCATACCTTTGGCACGGCAAGCTGGAGCTCCACCAGATAGTTCTGACCGGACTTAACACCCTCGACTTCGCGCAACTCCACTTCTGACCCTTCCGTTAGAATGAGGAGACTCTTCTTGACTGCCCTTGTAACAGAGTCCTTGACTTCAGAGTCAATCCCCCTATCTGCCAATTCGTATATCGCTGAGACAGTATTTCCCCATCCAGCCTTGATAACGAGGAGTGATATGAGGAACCCCCCAACAGGATCTAACCAAGCTGCCCCTTGTAGGAAATTTGCCCCAAGAATCGCGAAAAGGGTAACTATGCCGGTAAGGGAGTCTACTCTGTGATGAACCGCATTACTGGCTAGAACCGAGCTTTTCCTTTCTCGTGCTACTTTCATCGCTGCGAAGGTCTAAGTCAGTATATGAGAAGTCAATGAACCATGTGCCAATGCCAACTTACTTGCTTGGTATAGATATTCCTTGACTATAATAGTACCAGCAGCTAACCAAGCAGCATGTAAACTGGGCAATGACGCTCCGTGGCTATGACTGTGGCCATGTGCATGCGCGGCTGCTTCCGCGGCCGCATGAGCATCCAGAAAGAAGTGCGCATATAGTATTTCGGAGCTATTCAAACACATGAACATTCCTCCAAAGAGAAGCATGCCACTGACACCCAAGGACCCTAAGCTTTCGACCTTTCCAAAGCCTGTTGGGAAGAGTTCCGTCGGGGGTTTGAGACTCCAGGACACTGTCGCCAATGTAAGTATATCACTAGCAAGATCAGTGACGCTATGCCAGGCATCTGCCAACATGGCTTGAGAGTTAAACATATATCCTCCAACCCCTTTGGCAACTGCCATGCCCAAATTCGAGTACAGTCCAATTCGTGTAATCCGCACACCGGCATCGTTCTTGTTTGTCGAGGTAAGGTATGTATTATCATGATGGTGATGGTGAGAGTGACCCGCGTGTGAGCGCGTTTGAGTAGTTGTAAGGGCCGTCATTGATCTAAGTCGAGGATTGAAGTTATTGGATAAAGATTGAAGTCTCGGAAAGGATTGAAGGGGAATGTTGTAAGCTTTAGTACTATAATTGAGTAAGGCGGAATCGAAAGCGGTAGTCTGCAATACTCGGGCAATTCGACATTGAGGTGTCCGTATATTTGATTTGAACCCCAGTGTGACAACAGGCCTTAACGAGCGTCCATGGGAAAAGCAATGAAGAGGCATAGGCATGGATAACTTTATTATTGGGGTTAATGAAAAAAGTAGTAGCAGTATTTTAATCAGACAATATCTTTTTTTTTGTATAACACCCCTTCTAGGCGTTCATTAAGGTACTAGGTACTTTACAAGGAGTGTTAGTGACCATTGACCACGCCAAAGGCCGGGTATAGGGAAAAAAGATCTCATAAGCTTAAAGCGGAAATAATCTTTTTGCAATAGAGAAGATTGGAGAGCCCATCTGCGGATCGTGCGTGGAGAAGAAGTGAACCTTCCCAAATGACGATACGATAACTACCTGGGTATGGACCATTTGGACCAGACGGTAACCAGCCATTCAAATTCCATCTGACTACGGGGATAGAATGTCACTGGCCTAAATTGTACATTGATAGACTTTGGAAGTTTGATGGGTAGAAGCAAACCAAGGTATCGTCTAAACTCACTAACTTTGGATTCGCTTAGTCCTATTATAGAATAAGGTTTATAGCTAATAAACTCTGATCGAGGCTAATACTAGATCCAGAATCTATAATATTATATATACCAGTATATATTCGGTTACCAAACATTAGTAAGCCATCAAAAAAATACCCTGGTACGCCACCAATCATGACGTTGATATATGTTGGGTTTCAGTTCATTCATTCTATCTACAATTTTATATTTGTACGCGTGTCCACATGTCGGATCCATGATCATTCAATGCGAAAACCCCTTATGAGAATACCCTATACGGGTCCATTGCCTCCTCCATCGATTCTTCCACGAAGTGCAAATTCCTTACCGGGAGCTATCGCCGCCCTGTCGAGATTCCTCACTGCCCCGCCTTCACATAACCTTCCAGTTGGAGTAGCAGATCCACAGTCAACGGTAATTTTGTCAGGAGCCGGCATTTCTGTGGCTTCGGGATTGGCAGATTAGTGAGTACATTGGTTCTCTTTATCCCCAGGTCATTTCATTGTTTCATCCTCTGCAAGAGTCTGCAAGAGAAAAAACCATCTGCCGAGGGGACTTCTTGGATAAGCGGCCAGGGTATATTTGATGTTGCATTCAAACAACCTGGAACTTCATATATCTTCCAATGCCAAGCTTACATTGCGTGGACATCTGCTAAACCTTCATCCTCTATAGTCGAGGTTCGAAAGGCACATATGTGCTGAACAAATCATATCGACCTGTCTACTACCATGAATTTCTTGCGAGCGACCAGGCGCGTCGAAGATATTGGGCGAGGAGCTTCCTAGGATGGACAAATCTATACAAAGCCAAGCCTAACCCCGCCCATTATGCTATCAAAGACCTTGCCGATATGAACATTGTAAAGCGGGTGGTTACACAGAACGTTGATTCATTTCACTCGGAGGCACATCCAAATTTGGCAACTGTTGAACTTCATGGATATCTTCGAGCTTTGACATGCGTCACCTGCCGAAAAGACCTACCTCGAGATGTTTTCCAAAGATCTTTAGCAAAATTAAATCCAGCATGGGCGGCATTTTTAGCTGAAATACTTGAATCTGGAGCTTTAACTACGGAAGACCCAGAAGACCGTCGAGCAAAAGGCATGAAGGCGAATCCTGACGGAGACGTTGACGTGCCCGGAGCACCATATGACACCTTCAGATATCCGGCATGCCCTCATTGTCTTGAAAATCCTCCACTTTTGAAAGATGGATCGCAATCGATTGTGGAAGTTGATCAGGAAGGGGCTTGGAAAGAAACAAGTACGGCGGGTATATTGAAGCCCGCCGTGGTCATGTTTGGGGAGAGCATAGATGCACAGGTAAAGGAAGCTGCCGAACAAGCAATAGATGATTCTGGCAGGTTGTTGGTATTGGGAACTTCTCTTGCTACGTATTCTGCTTGGAGGTTGGCACGGCGCGCTCAGGATAGAGGCATGCCTATTGCAATTTTGAATTTGGGCGGCGTCAGAGGTGAAGAGACTTTCTTTGAGAATCTCTCTGGTGGCCAAACTGGAGAATTTGGCGTAAGAGCCGAATTTGGAACGGACAAAGTCCTACCCGCACTTATTGATCAATTAAATCGGATCGGCTTCACGACTGGGAATGACGACGTTCAAACTCCCTACGAAGCACGACAGAAAAACAGCGGTATGTTCAAGGACATGCTGTCGTAGAAAACATTTGAATCTTGTATAGTAGGCCATCTTTTGTATATATATCTTTTCAATAAAATCCCGAGGGCCCACTGCTCTTATTCTTAGGTTCTTCAGGAGCCTTCTCTATTATCTCTGGAATAGCAACATCTCCGGGGTTTGATTTCTCTGCACGAGACTCTTGCAATGCTGCGTCTTCTCGTGCGATTTCGTCCAATACTTTATCCAGCCGAATTAGAATTATACCTCAAGAATGAACTGATGAATATTATACCTTCTTCCCACTCCTTTTCTTGCTCTCCATCTCCAACTCCGAGAAGTTTTTCAACATCACAATCTTCTCCGTTCCTTATCTGCCGAATGATCTCCCTCAATAGCCCGATTTTCGCATCTGCGCGCCGACTGAAAGCTGTGTATTCATTTCGTAATGCGATCATCTGAATTGACATTGATCCTATCAGAAGGAAGATCCATATGAAGAATGTCGCAGGGTTCCAATCTTTGGATTTCGGCTTTTTGCTCACAACTTGTTCGCTCTTTCGAAATGGTTTAGGAATCATATTCGTCCAAAATGATGGCTGGGTGATACTCTGAACGGCATATGGGCGAGACTGAGGAAAGATCAATCTTTGTTGAAGTAGTATAGTTCGGAGAGCGGGCGGCGCCAAAGTCAGCCTTCGAATCATCGTTAATTTGTTCATGGTAACTGAATAAGTAGAATTTGATATCTTGATGCAATAATGACGGGTATTGAAGCTGTAAAAACTTAAATTTCCGTAGGGCCTGCTCCCGAAAGTTTGAGGCTCATGGTTGCCCGGGAAACAAAGTCAACAGGGGACCTCGTTTTTTGATTATGGAGATGGAGATTGATTCTTTACATCACTCGAAAATGACATCAATTGTTTCTCTTTCACTTTTTTGGAATAATGTCTAAGTACCAATAATACTGTTTCTTTCTTGACCGAATTTCTATCATAATGAATTCATCACAGCAGTCCGCGGATGCTGTGCGCGCCGCCATATCCTTGACAACAACATGTACTCTAGTGACTGTCACTCTCCTCGGCGACCTATTATCTTCTAAAACGACTACTAACCCGAGTGCTTCCGGGCCTTCGAAAGCAGTTCCTAAAGCTATCGCGAAACCCACGAAAAAAATCACTACACGAGCTCCTGCGTCGCGGTCCAGAGTTAATGAGGTGGATAAGAAAAGCGCAAATGTGAATGCAAACGAACATGTAGAAGCGCTATCTCCAAAAGAAAAATTCACGCTGGCTACTGAAGTTATCAATACTACACTGAAGACCTTGACGGAAGCTATCAAGGAACCAACTCAGCTCCGGAAAGCACCAATCACCAAGGAGAAAGCAGCAGCTCGCACAGGACTTCCACGATCAATTTCAGTTCCACAAGCACAGCTACAGCCACGAGCTTTAACTCGAGTTTCTAGTTCACCCAATATCTCAAAAATACGAGACAAATCCACTTCCTCCACTTCGACATGTTCTCCCGGAGTTCGATCGGTTGCGGAATGCGCCAGAGCCGCATTTCTGTGTTTACGGGGATTCCAACTCGCAAATGTTTCAGGTCTTACTATGCCACCGCTACAACTCGAAAATGGGATGTCCGTCTTGGTTGGAAAGTTGCTGGCACTTGGTTTAGAGGACCTGGCTACCAAAGAGCTTAGAATCTTAAAACGACGACTAGACTTGGAGATTAGAGGGAAAAGTGCGCCAGCGACCAAGGATGCGGCTTCCATTGCAACAGCTCAGATTTTGGCCGAACTTTTGGATTTTGGAGAGACTCCGGTAATCGGTGCGAAGTTAGGTCTAATAATCACAACTCAGTTGCAGGTTTTAAGGCTTATGGTTGCATCCCGGAAACCTAAACTAATTGAGGCCGCTATGCCATTTCTACGGCCCGGACATGCTTCCTCGCCCGTGAAACTCCTCTTAAGAGCTGCCGAAGATTCGACCCAAGTGAGTAAGACTGCTCGCCAACTTCAAACCTTGTCCGATATGCTTCTATCTATGAGCCCCAGCGTTTCCGCCTCAGAAGATTCCACCGCGTTAGACTGCCAAGTTAGCATAACACTACACGCGGCCTTCGCACTACAAGCATTAGCCCTCGACATACGCTTATCATGGTGGAAACTTGCGAATCATAAGGGGGATGTTGAAAAGGATATCTTTGATCCCTTCCTTCGGTGTGCTCAAGCTTACGCCCGACGAAGTCAAGGTGACGCTACTAAGGTTTACACAAAATGCTCCGATGCATTTTTACATCTCAAGAAAGCATCGTTAAAATACGAGACGGCTGGGCTCCTGTCAGCGCCTGCTTTGATGGGGATATACCGTCTGTTGGGCTCCCTGTCGAAAGAAGCCAACATCATTGACAAAGCTATCGAATGGGTAGAAATGGTACGAAATCTTCTAGATCCCAAGGCTGGCTCCAATGCTAGACACAGTGCTCTCACTGCTCGCCTAGTTTCTCTCACTCTACGAGATCCTCAACAAAAGCAAAGCAAAGAGCTGTTGGTCGACCTGTTAGATGTACTAGAACAACCGTTCAAAGGGGAGGCATCTGAAATTGAGGATCTGTTGATAGAAGTATCTTCGGCGAGGAGAGTTGCTATTACAGCTATTACAGCTATTTCAATCCCCATGTCTGAGCCACCACCCGATACAGACGACAGTCTCTCGCCCGAAGTTCGTCGAATGTGTGAAACTCTCGTTTCCTTGTGCCCCCGACTATCACTTCGATATATTGGTAAGAAGCCGGATGAAAGTGCTTCGAGCAAGGATCTTGTGCGATTCGAACAACGCAGAAAATTCATCACTAAACCCTCCGTCTATGCTATTGATTCAGCATTGTTTCTAATTAAAATACTTCTCAAACAAGAAGCATCACCATGGGAGCATGTAGATCCATTGCTACAAGATTGCCTTACATTACTCGACCGGCTACAAATTGCTTCTATGGAAGATGAGAATTTCAATGCGACACAGTGTTATATCAAAATCTCTAATCTCTACTTCATGTATTTTCTTGACATACGCCGAAACGTCGACCTTAATAAAGATAGTCCGCAGCCACGAGTGGTTCTCCGAAGGTCAATTGACTGTCTTAAATCGAGGCCCCTAGCGGAGAGGAAAGCCGGCCTTATATCCATGAAACTGGAGCGAATGGCAGATCTTTCTAAAACCATGGGTCGATTTGACGAACTCTTCAAAGCTCTTCTGATGCTACGAGATGAGACGGTAGAAAACGGTGTTTTATGCAAGGTTGTTGAAGGTGCCAAACGTTTATCGATTCGCGAGGCTTGGAAATATAGTGATGATGCATCAGTTCTTGCTCGAACTATACAGTCGCTGGTAAAGGTATATATCAATCACCCAGAGGTTTCTCTCGAGCCTTGGCTTTTCGGCAATACCTGGAGCGACGAGCAAAAGGGGGCTGTTCTTGAGCACGAACTGGAAATCTTGGCTGGCCTCACTAATCCTACCTCTATTGCTGTGGAGTTAAAAAGCAAAGTCTTTGAGAACCTGCTCTCTATTTATGACTTGAATCAATACCCCGTTCGAAGGCTTCGATCAATGACCATATTTCAACATTCGCACAATATAAAACAAGACGGGTCTTTGAACGAGACACTCCGTGCGCTTATGACCAAGTCTATCGATATCGAAAAATCTCAAGATTCTGGTTTAGCCGGTTACTTAAGGCATTGGGTGGCTATGGCGATGAGTATAGTGGAGCTGCAGAAGGATGAAACTAGCATTCAAATTTTAAATAACTGTTTTGTGAACTGGCGAAACATTCGGTGTGAAGCCGACAATCTCGTGGCTTTGCAACTTCGCATCGAAAATATCCCACAACTCTTGCTCCATCTACAGTCACTTGCTAATTTCATGGAAATGAGAGGTCTTGAAACTGACAAGCTTGCTATTCTTCGACTCATTGCTGATTATAACGAGTTATACTGTGACGTGTCTGGTCACAATGACATTGTGTCAACCTACAGTGCCTTGGGTCTCTCATGGCTACAACTTGGATATTCTGGAAAAGCTGGATTAGCATTGGACAAAGCACAAAGCTTTAGCTTGCGTAGTGATCTTGGCGCCAAAACAGATCTTCACATTGCGTACTCACAGTATATGTTAGCACTTGGAAACCTCGAAAAATGGTATGTCTACAGATTTTGGTCCACTATATCCCGCTGACAGTCCATAGTCAATTTCATTTAGAGTGTGCTGAAGGGGCCTTCATTTTGGAGCGAAAAGAGATAGAAGAAGATAAAACACCACTCAGTCTTCAAGAAAAGACTCGACTGAATTGCGTGGTGGCGAAAGCTTCTTTGATTCGATCAATGCTTGCCATTGAACAGGGAGGTTCAGAATCCGCTCTTATTCATGCCAAACAGAGCGTTAGGCTTCTCAGGCGCGCCTGGGCTAGCACCGAAGCAATCCTTCGAAAAAAGAAACTAGCGGCTGCACCCAAAGAAGATGCGGAGAAAGAAGCAGATGAGCTCTCCCAAGTAGATATTTCTACAAACAAAATAGCACACCAACCTCAACCACAAGATAGCCCATCAGGAATTGGTTTTTGGCCACTAGTCGGTCCTCTTTTCCATGGGTTGATTCATTTATCTAACCTGTACGCCCACCACGGACAGTTCCAAGAGACATTGCATTACGGAGAGCAGGCTTATGATCTAATCAAGGCATTCAACTTTGATGGGCAGACAGCAATAGCCTTAGCCACACTTGGAAGCATTTGGACTAAAGCTGGGGACTTAGACAAGGGAAACGATTACCTCATGGAGGCAGAGCAGTTATACAAAACGGGTATCAAGGGCAAAAGTTCTGTCACTGTTGCATGTCAGATAGGGCGTCTCCGTGGAATGCTTGGAGATCGTAAAGCAGAGATTGCATGTTTGGAGGAAGCGAACCAAACCCTAAAAACTCTCACCGACCCCACATTTCTTACAACTCTCGAATTGGGTAATACCAGCACACAAGAGATTCCTGATACCTTGGAAACTGGAATGCAAACGCTCACAATATCCAAACGAAAGGTGCCAGTCGTTCGAAAGACCACTACGCGAAAGAAAATGCCAGCTCCCCGAAAGCCTGTCGTTCGTTCAAAGACTCCAACTCCCCTGGAATCATCCGTCGGCACAGAGTGTCCTCAATTGGACTCCTTGCGAGCAAACATTCTGTGGCAGTTGGCTGACGCTCTGATGAACCTAAAAAGAAAAAATGAAGCGCAGGTTTTCTTGGACGAAGCCAGCAAGTTCTCTAACACTCAGCTGGATGAGGTGTATCAAGGCCTTGCTGAAGCTCGATGTTTGCTTGTGCGATGTATGGAGCAAATGGTCTCCGATCCAGTATACTCCGTGCTTCAAGACTCAACCCTCTCATTTCCATCAGTCGTTGGAACTCTAAAAGGCAGCAAAGGCCATGCCGAAAAACCAACCCTTGCACCTCAATCATCGCCAAGAAAAGCTCAGGCGTCGAAGAGTGGTCGTGGGGCAAAGAGTCCAAGCCCAGATAGTCTCTTTGACAAGCTGCACCGAGCTCAGGAAATTCTGGTCGAGACTTATCCAGTTGCATTCCTCGTTGCTCCGATCTCCGTCATGCACAAGATAACATCTCTCCTTAATAATGTCTCCATTCTTCTCTCTGCTGCAGGGCCAATCAAGGGAAAATCTCAACCTGGTCTTGCAAGTTGCTCCATTGATTCTGCGCGAACCCTTGCATTCCGCAGAGAACGTAAAGTCATTTTACAGGAGACCTGCATCCCAGAACTCGATGATCTTCGTTGGCCAGATTGTGGGTCTATGTCAAGGCGTTCGAGTCTTGGAGCCTCATTATCATTCTGCGACATCCCAAAATTTCAAAAAGAATATATAGATATTATTCCTAGGGCATGGACTGCTCTCTCAATATCTTTGAGCGAGAATCGTCAAGAACTTTCCATCACTAAATTGCAAGCTGGCCATAGTCCTTTTGTGCTTCGTCTACCCCTAGGGCGTAATAATTCTATTGATGCGGATGAAGAAGTGTTTGGGTTTGAACAAGGAAAATGCGAGCTTTTGAATATCATCGATTCTGCGAAAGCTAACTCACAGAGCGGTCCCAGCAGAACGGGTCGTGAAGCTAAACTTGCTTGGTGGGCAGAACGTGAAGAATTAGACTCTCGTCTTAAGGACTTATTAGAAAATATCGAGAAGGTTTGGCTGGGAGGTTTTGCAGGAATATTTTCCCAATACACCAGAAAATCAGATCTGCTCGCTCGCTTCCAGAAGTCCTTTGAGAATATTCTCGACAAGCATCTTCCTTCTCGTCGAAAGAGTAAGAGAAATTCTGGGCCTCGTGTCACTTTGGACAGTAGAATCCTGGAACTGTTTGTTGGTCTTGGTGATGCATCGGCAGATAATTGCGATTTTTCGGAGCAATTGACCGATCTTTTGTATTTTGTCGTTGACGTTCTTCAATTTCATGGAGAATTGAATGCTTATGCAGAAATCGATTTCGATTTAATCGTCATTGAAATACATGATGCTCTCTGTTGCTACCACGGAGCTGCTCACAGCTCGAGTCAGAACGAAGAAGGAAAGCATACTATCCTAATATTAGACAAGGCACTTCATATCTTCCCATGGGAATCGCTACCCTGTATGGAAGGCCTAGCAGTCTCACGCTTACCCTCGCTTGGATGTCTTCGAGACCGTATCTCCAAACAACTGAAAACACCAAATGAAGGTCCAGAGGGACACTACATCGATCGCAGCAATGGCGCCTACATTCTGAACCCCGAAGGCGATCTGAAAACCACTCAAACCACCTTCCAAGCTCCCCTCGAAGCACTTCCCTCCTGGTCTGGCATCACTAACCGCGCACCCTCGGAAGAAGAAATTAAATATGAATTACAAAATAAAGACGTCTTTCTCTATTTCGGCCATGGAAGCGGAGGGCAATTCATTCGTTCCAAAGAGATTCGCAAGATGGAAAAATGCGCAGTGGCCATTTTGATGGGCTGTAGTAGTGGTGCGCTTGCGGATTATGGAGAGTTTGAGTTGGGCGGGCAGCCAGTTCATTATATGCATGCGGGGAGTGCGGCTTTGGTGGCGACGTTGTGGGATGTTACGGATAGGGATATTGATCGGTTTGCGTGGAAGATGTTGGAGGGGTGGGGGTTGTTAGGTAGGGAGAAGGAGAGGAGTGGGAAGGGTAGGGGAAGGGGGAAGAAAGAAAAGAAAGAGGAAAAGGCAAAGGATGTAGAGGGAGAGGGAACATTGTCGCTGGTTGAGGCGGTGGCAAAGGCGAAGGGGGCTTGTAAATTGAAGTATCTCAATGCGGCTGCGGTTTGTGTTTATGGTATCCCGGTTTATATTAGGGATTAGAAGAGGGGAGGAGAGGGGATGTACATTGGATACAGGAAGAGGATACGGTGTGCATAGGATACCATGGAGTGAAAAGGGAAGGAAGCATCTACTTACAAGATGTGGCGTATGGTTATTGTAGGTTTATGGCTTGGGTATTACTATGGGTGTGCGTGTGCGTGTTAGACTGGAGTTTATATCAATTTGTACAAGTAATGATACTATGTTTAGTATCCAACCGTGGACGAATAACTTGCTCTAGTCTTTGGTGAATGGATGATATTCATTGTACTCGATTATTTGTACCCTATTTGACTGAGCTGACTGACTAGTTAGGTCGAATAAATGTACAATTAATCATTCATATAGATATAACTTGACTAAAAAGGAATTGAGGCTCATTGGGGATGGGTTTGTATAATATGCTAATACGCTAGTATTAGTAGTTTTAATCCTGGGGTTCAATGCTTGATGATTGATAGTAGATGATAGATTATGGATGATGGATGCTCAATGTTGGATATTTTAGATTGAGATTTGAAATTTGAGATTTGGAGTTGATTCGGTTGTTTTCCGTGGTGGGGAGATGCAGATATGAATTGGAAAAAACAGAGAAAGAAAGCAAACCCACCAAAAATGTCAAATAGACAAACTTGAAACAACATGTGTACAAATAAATACGCATCATGATACCTTGATACATATACACATGGACTAAATCAATGGAATCCTTGAAAGATAAGATAAAACAGAGATAGGGAACCAAACCAGACCAAAGAATAAAAGAGTAAAAGGGAAGAAGAGAAAAAGAGCAAAAGAGATGAAAGGAGAAGAAAAGAAGTTGTGTGGTATTTCTCCCGGGCGTTTAATTCATTACCCCCCTCTACCTCATCATCTCATCTCACAAACACTTTATCTAAGCGAGCAATTATCATTCACTTCCATCTTCCACATCCCCCTTCAGTCACACCACACCACACCACCAGAACCAGAATCGGAGAAAAAACAAAACATATTTTCAGTAGCACGAGTAACACGAATTTTACTATTCTATTTCTGATTCTAAATCTCTAATAGATAGAAATGTACTTGATTCACGATTCTCAAGTCACGAGTCACGACGAGTCTCGGGGAGAGCTAGAGCTAGAGCTAGATACTATTTGTAGACATATTCATCTCATATCTCTTCCTCTCACATCGACTTTTTTTTTGTTAGAGCACTTACTTATTATGTGTATAACTGTAAATTTCGGGTTTTTAAAAAAATATATATCCTCTATTCGAAGATTCGATTTTTTCGACTACTAGTCTAAGTCTATACATACTATGTATCCAATCACATTCATCTCAAAGGCTCAAATGAAAAGTTTAGAATAGAACAGAACAGAAAAGGAAAGAAGAAAATTCACATCAGGTGGTCAAGTGTCCATAAACCACAGCCTTCATATTCGCAATCGTATTCATAACATATCATATAATCCATTCCTTTCCTATTCTTTACCCTCGTAACCGTGACCAAGGCGCCGTATACACCACCCAAGCCAACTTTAGAACCCAAACAAACCCTTGAAGATATCCATATCCATAACATCCATAACCATCCATTCCACCAACACCCGCACCACCCGTAAATCTCTCTCACAAGCACAAGCCTCCCCCCTATCTCCCATCTAATCATCCCACTCCTCATCCAACTGATCAATCAAGCGATTCTCATCCTCACTTCCCGAATGTCTTCTCCCACTCTCATTCGCACTAACCCCCCTATCCCTCCCACTCCCACCCCTCCCATCATTGCCCGCATTCCCCGAATTTCCATTGGCCGAAATACTGAGAGCGCTGTAACCTCGGTGCGTAGGTAGACATCTCGAACACGATGATGTGGCGATGGTGAAAATATCCTATTGGAAGATGGTTTTATTGTTAGTTATGCTTTTTTGCCAAGATTTTGTTCTAGGCCTAGGCCGTATAAATGGATTTGTGAAAGAAAGAAAGGAGTAAGGAAATATGCAATATGTGATTATGGAGATGGGTTGGATTTGACACGCTTGTGAGAGTTTGTATTCGGTAGGTAGCGGATAAGGAAAATGTGATATTCTTTGATTGAAACGCCGGGTATTGTATGCTATGATGTTGAATGCTATCCTAACTGCAGCCTGAAAACCGAAAATAAATGCTATGCTGAATGCCGCTGTTCGCTCGTTCTCGGATAATCTTTCTGATATATAAAAAACTTTGTGTGCTTCCACATGAGAGATCTTGTGTTCCGGGCAGAGACGGATTACTCGGAACGTATATACGACTTCTGTGATCTGCGACTCGACATTCCCCTTACTTCCATAGTCGGCAAAATGGCCGTGCCATCCCTAACGGACGCTACACGGGGAAAGACTTGATATTTCGATCTCATAAAACATTTTTGCCCGCTCACCTTTATGAAGTTTCCTATGCCAGCCCAAAAGCTATAATTGGGCAGCTGTCTCCACCCTCTTGCGTGCGCGACATTTCGTTGGTAGAAGACTCCACCGAGGAAATATACCATAATGGCAATAATTCCTATGATGGCGAAGACAGCACCGGGTCCTATTGTCTGCTTGGCAGGTTCGGAGCCTCCGCATGCAGCTTGGGAACGCACTTCGAAGAAGTAGGCGCATTCTTCCGGATCAGTCCCTACATATGAGGCGGATGCCGTGGCGAGTGGATCTTTCTCGCAGTGGAAAGATATTATGCTAGATTTCCGACGTATCGATTTATTGTCGTCAGCATCATCGTCATCGTCCCAGCTCCGTTTCTTGTTCTTTGCTCCACACGGTGATCCATTTGTATACTCCAGAACGAGCTTTCTCCCGCGGAGTGTTAAATTCCCCGCCTGTTGTCTGAAATATGTTGGTTAGGATTTTACTTTGAGAAGAATGTCCAACGTAAATCCAGCTTACCCTACAGAATACTTCTTTCCATCAAACTCGTAGAACGCGCTCACATTCTGCCAATGATTCTTGTCGATCCCAACAACTTCCTTCACCTCCTCTACCACTGGCGCGCATACATTCAGTGTGAAGTTTCCTTTGTAATCATATCCCCTCGCATGCCAACTATCCGTCTTCGCATTTTTGGCAGGTTTCTTCCCTTCTTCTAATGGTTGTATTGATAATGGCCTCAAGTCAAAAAAAGATCCGGTCGTCGATGAAATTGTACATGGGTCCGCAGGCTTAGGTTTTTTGTCTTCCAAGCCTGCACCTTCTACTCCTAAGTGCAAGGCAAGTCCAAGCAGGAGGGCCGAGGGTAAGGATGTGAATCGCATTGTTGGTTGGTTTCGCGCGGCTGGCTTTTGGAAAAGGGATACTATTCCTGGCTGGGACGGTGTGTATGTCGGAGAATGTTAATTATGAAAATTAATTGAATCTGTTGATGGATTTCAAAGTAGCTCATTCGAGGTATAATGTTGGGTGAAGCTTGAAGGTTCGTGATACTCCAGGTACCGAGGAGGACACATAACGCCAACACACCCAATAAGGCTTGGGCGCTTATGATCACGTGTCGTTAGCAGGTTATGAAGCAAATAGGAAGGGTATTGAATATGAAGCTATTGAGCTTAATTGAATGGACCAATTTGTGAAATGATTATGGAAACCTCCTTAAATATAAATTGATAGCACAAGCACAGCATAGCAGTTAATGACCACTAGTGGCAAGTTGAGATGCTATATGGTCATCATTGTCTGCAAGGTAAGGGTACCTACATGAGAATTCGTAGCAAACCATTTCGAGTCCCCTTGGAAGTTCCGTGTTAACATTGAGAATATGCTGGGCTGTCATTTGAGACCATGAAAATATCAAGACCACGAAGATATCAAAAACCTAAGCTTTCGATCGATTCTCCTTACCACACCATTCATGATCCGTATTCTTTGATCACTTCGGATCTGAGAAGCTAGCTACCGGGTGGAGCGTTTTCAAAGATATCCTTCAGATTCTTTCTACAGCGCCAAGATCAACAGATGGAAGACAAGATATTACTGTACCACTCCAAGCCTCCAAGGAAGATGATCATCGGCGTTGGCGGTCGTTGTTGTTCAAACTGAGGTAGGAGTTTCGGATATAAAGAAAGCACAGAATAAAAGATAGTAAATCAATAAGATGTCCTATCATTTCTAAATTGTCTCTTTCATTTGAACACGCTATGAATCAAGATACTGAACTTATATCTCTAAGTGAATTTCAAAATCCTATCTTGAGAATACCTCTCTCTAACAAGAAAAGGTGAATAGATAGATATCTCCAGTAGGAATTCCCCGCTTCTATAAGTTTTTATATCGATTCCTTAATTTTGCTTAGTACAAAATCGATTTTTTAAGATTTATCTTTTATATTTAGCTTTAAATATATATAATATTAGTATAATTATTACTAGCTTAATTTGCTATATAATTTTATAAGATTTCAAAATTATAATAATTAGTTATTTACTAATTCAAATAAAGAGTTTTTATTTAATTTGATTCGATTTAAACTAATAATAATAGATTTAAATAAAAGAGTTTAAAAGTTTAAAATCTTTATAACTAAATTCAGAATAGATAATATAAAATATAATTTTAAATTGAACTCTTTTAATTATACTCGAGCACTAGCAATGGAATTGTCTCTAAACCTTTAATTGATCGTTTTATTTTCTTGTAATTATTATTAAATTTGTGAATATTATTGGGTATACTCGCGTATTTTGTATATATGTCTTTTAAACCTACTCGAGTATTATAGGATCTTTGACAAGAAATAGCAGATGGGCGGAGGGCCTGTTATTTCGAGGTTAATGATCAAAATCATATCGAGAGAAGAGATAGGTGCTAGGCATTGTCTGGTATATATCGGATTAATTTGGGCCAATGGGGTTTCCCCCGATCCAGTAATAGTGCGCTTAGTAGATGTGAATTTTTGACGGGGCTAGGACATGGAGGAAGTTGTAATTGTATAGCGGGCGGCAGTGCGAATAGTGTTGAAGAACCTAGTAGCCTCGACTCAAATTCATTTCTTTTAGGCGCACTGTTATGTAGTATCGACGGTCAACGTCAAGACAAGATGCCGAAGACGGTCGACTCGATGAGCGTCGACGACATAAGGCTCGGTCAAAACCCAGAAGGTCCGGTGTTACTACCTGTTGCTAGGCTAAAGGGGCCTTTTTCTCGGGACCGGTCTTGAACTAATTCTCAAGATCCATTCTTCTACCCGCCTCCTAGAGAGACCAGTCACCACAGCATCCATGGATTTTAGATTTTAGACTCTACCTAGAGATGCTTGGTTCGTGACTCTAGACTCTGGAGTCTGGAGTCTTGTACATCGACCGAAAATTTCATCTTATCACACGGCAAGTAGCCGCAGCTGTTCATGGGCGCATGATGGCCATAGATGCCGACTTCGGGCCCCATTTTTTTGGCCGAGAAATTACTGTATCGATCGATGTGAATGTGAATCGTTATTGAAAGTGGATGAATAAAAACTCCCAATTTGGCCTCGAATCGTCAGACGGTCAGCCATGATTTACCGTACCTGCTTGTTGTTCAAGGATTGGGTGAAATGTTGATGGAATTTTCAAGGTCCATGGATCATAGTATATGGATCTTTACCGTGTACCTTTGAGTCTTAACTCTTTGAGGGTATGTAACCCGAGATATGGAGTCTGAATCTGCGCTATGTGGCACATCTCAATTCAACAATATTATAGGAGCCTGTTGGATATCAAAAGTGGGATGGTGCTTGATATTTCATGGTACAGACAGAAATAAGGTCAATCATGTTGATATTTACAGCCTTATGGTAGCTGTCGATGGATTGGTCAATTGGAATTAGTGCAACGACAGCCAAACAGAAGGCTTTCAGTACATGAAATAAGGAAATAAGACAACTTATGATTAGACAAGGCTCCGTGGAGATATGTTGACAAGATCGATAAGCTTTCTGCAGGAGAGAAACTCGAGCCAACCAATATCATGTTGGAAACTGCATAGCGTCCAATAGATGCACACCATGTTCTCCTTATAAGGGATATAGAATAATACTATGGAGAAGGATGAGATGTACGCGCGCAGCATTCACAAGTGCTCGTCGGTCTATCAAATCTGTACTTGGATGGACGACCTTTTTAATCAATTATAATTCAAGATGGCGTTTTTAACTTCTATTGTTGTCAGATGCGGAGTTGGCCGCCCCCTTGGAAAAGTCTTTCTCTTTGGACGATATCAATCCATGATGAGCAAGTTGCAGCCGAGAGAAAAGCCACGATAGGTAAAACTCCAATTGAACCTAGCAATGGATCACTATGTGAAGTTAGCAGTTGACAGGTGATCAAATTATCCTTGCCTCAAAGAGTTATCCCGAATGATTATTGCAACGGCTATATCCGAATGATAGCTTTCAGTCAAGTTCAACTTTTCATGATCGAGGTGAATGACCAGGCCCTCGGGAATAATGAGGCTTACAATTTGTTCAGAACTTTGGAAGCTTTTGATGTTTGAGCCTTTGAGGATGATATCTTGGGGAAAATTTGACCAAGGTGACTAGTAAGCAGTAAGTGGCAGGCTGGCAGCACGAGTACCCGAGTACCGTAGGTAAGTGGGCAAGGGGATGGAGAATGGCAAAGAGTTAGGATGTAAATCACTAGTCCTGTACCACTCATCCTTTCAGGCAGAGATCAATTAAGCAGACAAGCAAGGGAGAGGAGAAAGGAAGCCAGAGCCAGTCAAGCAAGCAGACAAATGAATGAATGACCGGTTTCTCAACGGCTTCTGGAAGCCAAGTTCTGTAATGATGTACAAGTATAGATATCGGTGGCTGATAGATTTATGCGTGTTAACTATTCAGGTAACGTAGTTGTACTTTTTATGGAAGCCATAGAGAAGAACATTTGGAAGCCCGTTAAGCCAGGGGGGCTATGGTTTATTAGGCCTAATTCTGTCCAATTTTCGTAGCTCATTGACTTTGATCTGGTCTAGTTCATGCCGATATACTCCGTAGAGCCACAATGATTTATATGGAGAAATTATCCCTGGCGAGGTTCCATCAAGATTACAACTCTATATATAATAAGATATAATAGTTATCGAATTATAATATATAACATCAATCAAATGTCTTTATATATATATATAATGAAAAATGTATTATATTAAACTATAATGTCGTATAGTAGAGCTCTTTCGGCATTATATCTAGCTAAAAAATAGATTCAAACAACTACTATACGAATAGGTACCGGTATCTACAAATCTGACAATGCCGAGCTGCATCATCTCCAATACCTAGCCCTTCTACGATATATATTTAATTAATGAATATCGGTAGTCCGAGCCGTATCAACGCCAACATGCCAAAAACTCTCTGATACCCAGTGCTAAGTGGATCTAGAAACATCCAGGGTCTTATTGTACCGTGCTTTCCGAATCGGATCTAACACCCCTCCTTAACCGTGAAAAATATTCTCTCCATCTAAAAGGAGGGAAGCTCCTCAACTGAGTTTTCATTACACAACCTTTTGACCGAAGTCTTACATTCTCATTACTCCATCTTTTACTCTATCAAACACTTTACACCACGTTATTTTTACTGTATCAGACTCAGAATCAATCACGCAGCCTCGTACGCCAATCCCTACCTTATCTCCCAATTTCACCCCCCTTCCCCCAGAAAGATTGAAAGTCCGTGGAACAACGCCTATAGGGCCATATCACGTCTGATAACGAATGGTCTGTTACCGCTTTAGACGCAACCTCCCTCGTTGTCCAAGCTTCCGTCAAGCATTTGTGCTATACCGGTACGGTACTGTTAGTGGTGTACATTCACTCATTTGATTCGTTTGAAACCGTACAAATTGCCGAGGCCAATATCTGGGGTCAACTAAAAGGCGGGGTTTTGAGTATCACATAATCTTTTCGTTATTGAAATGGCAGATACCTCAACAAACATGTCTATCGACGCGAAAGAATCAGTCCGAGAGGGCACAGATGAATCTTTGGATACCTCTACACCAGAGGCCGAAACAGAGATCCCCCCCGAAAACGTTGGTCAACAAAAAAGAAAGGGTGGTCGAAAGCCTGTATGTCGACAAGATATTCTTAGCCTGTAGTACATATTTGCTAACGTGATTCCTCAGATTTATGCCACTTCAGAAGAACGTAAACAACGCAATCGTCAGGCGCAAGCAGCCTTTAGAGAGCGCCGTACAGAGTATATCAAGCAACTTGAAGAAACAATTCGAATTCATGAGACAAATCTCCATAACCTCCAAAATGCACACAGAAGTGCCGCGGATGAGTGTCTCATGCTTCGATATAAAAACTCCCTCCTCGAAAGAATTCTTCTAGAGAAAGGTGATCATACCAATTGGCGTTTTTCATAAAACAATCTGACTTTTTCTTTGCAGGCATTGATGTCCAAGCCGAATTACGTGCGAAGACAGGAAGTCCTCACCTTGGTCCAACGCACATGCAACAAAACATGGCCCATCCACCTACTTTTCATCGAGCCGCCGCCATGAATAGACATCACCAGGCTAGACGATCAAACTCAAACATTGCACCAAAGCTAGAGCCCGGAGTCTCTTTCCACAATCCATCGTCACAATCGAGACCTACACCATCATCACATGCCTCGTCACCGACCACAAACTCGCCAGGCTTCAATAATCAGGGCGTACTAACCCCACCTTCTTCTGACTCTCAGGTGCAGCATCAACAGCAGCAGCAACAGCGTCTTCACGCCGCCAAAACACAAGCACAGCATGCATTGTCAGGTACCACAGGACTTCTTGTTAACACTAGTGTGGGATCGCCATTAGGGGCAAAGGTGCAAGGAAATGGAAATGGTACGGGTAATACGGGAAGCGCTCCTGTAGCTGCTGCGTATTATCCGTCGTTCCAGAATCATATTGAGCAACTCGGCAAGCTGACCCGTCCCCTGTTATCGTTTTATTTTTTGGAACCATGTTCGTCCTAGATTGATCCCGTGATTATAGAACAGGAGTACGATGCGCAAACCGATATGGTTGATGATCAACCCGAAATCGCAGGCCCCGGCCCATACCCCGAATCGATTCCCGCTGGTCAACTTAACCAGCAACAGAGAAACCAACAGCAGCAACTTGGTCACCCTCCACACTCGCAAGGTATGCACGGCGATAACACACCTCAAGCCTACAGTTCTATGGCTCAGCTTCTCGATCCATTCGACGCGATGCTCGATATGGATCCTTTCGGCCTCACAGCAAGCATGAATTTTCCAACACAATTCACTTTTGATACGAGCTCAATGCGATGAATGATTATCACATATGATACATGGTTAGGCATAATCTCTCTTATGATGTCGGTGGGTGTTCCAGGGAGTTTTGACATTCGATTTTAATGTCTTGTAGGATCAGGCAATGGCTTTTTATTTTTGGTCATGGGAGCATTTGGGAAGGAGTCTAAAAAAAAACAAAAAGAGCTTAAGGGATGGGACAAAAAAGTTTATAAGCAAGTGCTATGGCAAATCTCGATGTAGCATCAATTGCATGTCTTCCGAGGTGATTATGGTCATAAGCACAATTTACACCAAGCACTGTATGTATGGAGCATTTCATTCTCTCATGACGGAGATGGCTTTTAAGATGGCAATGGGACATGTATATGAATACTGAAGGGCAAAACAATCAAGAAACTCATGAAAAGGAGACACATTGGATAATGTTCCTCTTGTTTCAAAGCACATGTTTTTTCCATTTTCTTCCTCTTATTTATCTTTTATTGATGTTCGTTCTTCAGTGAATGATGTCCTATATCTCTTGAAATATACCCAAGTTAATGATGCTGATGTTGATGTAAATATCAATGATGTAAACTTTGTGCTTGGTAATGAATAAACGATTGATATAATAGAGTACCTACCAACTTGAAGTCTATTATGAAGTTGGTCGTATATAATAGAGTGCACCTACTATGTAGATAGCATGGACTTTCATGAGGTCTGTGAAGAAGAGAAGACAATTTGATGAATCATAGCTTGGAAACACAATTATAATTATATCAACAGATTTTATATCATAATTTTCAAATTTTCCAAAACAATCACCCTCTTACACCCTCTTACACCCTCATTTTCCCTTAACCTTATATTAACAATCTCGCAATCTAAAATAATTCTGCTATCAATACTATTAATTATTTATCAACAATAACTTTATCCTCAACCCCACATTGAAATTTGTTAAAAAAGCCCTGGTGTGCTGCTCGCTTATACCTCACACTAAACTGGATTTAGTTTAGATTCTTTGTGTACTGAGGAGTGAACCAACTTTTCAGCATCACCGACGATTCACAAGTTTACCTTGTTCTTCAACCTCAATTCAGCAATTTTCGAGAGACAGCTTCCTTGTGTTCAGGAAACTGTTAGTCTCGTTTTTTCAAACTCACAACTCCCGAATTGTCCTCTCGGTAGCAAAAGCCCCTTCGGAGGCCCTCGAGAAGCAAAACAAGATGTCGGGTATCGCTTCCAAGGTAAATATTCCATCAACAATAAACTTTTCACGAATTTGTGCTTGAAAGAAATGCGCCATTCCCACTGGTTCATCAATCATCGATCATTTGAGAGTTTCAAGGCTAACATGTGTTAATACAGAACCTTTACGATCTTCTGGGTACGCACGAATTTACTTCAAATACAAAACGTGGGGCACGCAAACTGATGAAAGTGAAATGTAGGCAATGATCATGAATATGATTCCGACAAGGAGCCAGAGGCACCAGTGAAGGTTGTCGACAAAACTCCAGCTCGCAACGTCAAGCGCAATGCTACTGGAGAGGCACCAGCAGCCAAGGCTCCTGTAGCTGATGGACGTGGTGCTCGCCGTGGAGGATTCGCCGGAAACGAAGGAGGTCAGTACATGGACAATTCTATTCGGCGCATTTCAACATAGACAAATCTTTGTAAAAGTTGAACTTGGTGCGACCATCGATTGAATGTTTTTTTACTAACAATTTTCTCAATAGCTTTCCGTGATCGCAACGCCGGTAGCGCCAACAACCAAGGCAAGCCAACTGATGACTCTGTCAGACAAGACCGTCACCCAAGACGTGAAGGTGGTGCTGGACGTGGCCGTGGTGGTGCTCGTGGAGGTGGCAAATTTGACCGACACAGCCGTGGAGTCGGAGGGTAAGAGAATCCCTTATAATAGAGTGCGTAGCGCAAGATCATTGACTTTAAAAGTGATTCCGAGAAGCAAGCTGCTCACGGTTGGGGTGCACCTGAAGGTGGTGCCGAGCTCGCCGATGAGCAAGCCGGTGATGCCATCGCCAAGACCGAAGCTAAGGAAGTTGTTGAGGCACCAGCTGAGGCCGTTGCCGAAGATGTTGAGCCAGAAGACAACAGTATCTCTTACACCGATTATCTCGCTCAATTAGAGGAGAAGAGAGCCGCACTTGGCGCTGCCACCCCTGAAGCTCGCAAGCCAGACAGCAAGCTCGACAAGAAGTGGGCCAACGCTAAGGCTATTGCCAAGGAGGAAGAGGAAGACTTCGTCGCTGGAACTGGTGGCAAGGCCAAGCGTGAACGTCAACGCGTTTCAAAGCAAGTCCTTGAGATTGATCAACGTTATGTTGAACCCGCCGAACGTGGTGGTGGTGGCGCCCGTGGAGGTTTCCGTGGAGGCCGTGGACGTGGTGATGGACCACCACGTGGCGACCGAGGAGGTTTCCGAGGACGTGGTGAGGGCGGACGTGGACGCGCTCGTGGCGACCGAGGCCCACCACGCCAAAGTGCCCCAAGAAACGCAGGTACCTCAGCATCCATCCAGATTGAGGACAAATCCGCTTTCCCAAGCCTTGGCGCCTAAGTTTCATTATTGAAACTGGATCCGCAGATCTTTCACAACATGGCATGTCATGATATGTAGAAACGATCACAAAAATTTGTGTGTTACGCAATCGTTATATGAGAAACAAAAAATTTGATCAAAAACAGGGCCAAAGTGTTGCATTGTGAAATGGTTAATGAAGGGAATAGTTCATGGTGAATTACAGGGAGAAGCTTTACGAACAAGGGAACGTATTGGATCTCGATATTTAGTGGACATTTTTTCTTCTACATCGTCTCATTTTCAACAGGTTGTCATCTGTTTAGTCTTCCTTTGGTCTTATTACCTGGCTGGTTGTGATATGGGGGGTTGGATCGGGTCGCACTGGATTTCACTCTGGGTACCTGAACTTTTTTCTTTGCAATACTTTTACTTGCTTGTAGCGGTAGATAAAATGCAATGGATTTCTCTCTTATCATTTTGTTTGGATCTTGTCTTAAATCTTGATATTGTGGTCTGAATCGTTGTGCAAAATACTCATCTGTATATAATACTCATCCGTAAATATACATATATACTATCTTCTCTCCAATTATGCTTAAGACTCTATAAAGTATACTAGAAAAGTAATATATAGATTACTAGTACTCGTAATATAGAAAGAAATAAGCTATATGTTTATTAGATATATATATATATATGTTATTTAGTTTAATTTCTAAACTTATTAGTTCAATTCTATATTTTATAATTATATTTCATTCAACTATAATATAGTCCAAAGATAATTTTCTATAGAATCTAAGATTACTTAGTTATTATTTTAAATTAAGATCTTTGAATTATTTTTATTATTTTTATTATCTTTAAATATTAAATTATTAATTTTTTTTATAAGATTATTAATATTCGAAATACTCTACTCTCTATAAGCAAAATAATTTATACTTGCTTTTTATCAAGAATATTCTTATTATAGATATTATTGAAAAATTGATATAATTATATTATAATAAGAATAATTACTTTGTATAATGATTTTATAACTTAAATTATAATATTTATATTTATTATATTATAATTAACTTTATTAATTAATATAAACAAGTAGAAATATTGTTCTTAGATAATACGAGTACTTGGATTTAATATTAATATTAAAGAACTAGAAATTGGATTTTGAAGCTTTTAGATAAAATTAAATTAAAAACACATTTTGAATTCATTCTGATCTTAATACTTGTCTTGCTCCCTACCCACACCTCCCCTCCCCCCCTTGTGCTCGGTCTTAAAATCTTATTACTTGTTCTACTAGTAGTATTTCCGATTTATTAGTAGTTCTCTTCCCTTCCCTTCCCCCTCTCCCTCAAATCCCCTCAGCATCCCCTTCTCACCCACTCACCCATACAAAACATAGCAACCCAAAAACAACCAAAGCAACCAAAGCAACCAAAAAATCAAAGAGAACATACCAGTACTCGTATTTCCAACACCCATTTCACCCCTGCATACCCTTCCAGGGTTGCTTCCATAGTAATAGTCCATCCAGTCCATATAGTCCATCCATTTCCTTCCTTCCTTCAATAAACAAACCACCCAATAAACCACTTATGTTATTACCATCCCTCTGTCTGTCTTCCTATCATGAGTTCTGAAAATAAACACTACTTTGTTCTATTCCATCTACATATTCCTTCTACAAGTATTATCATCTATATCTATTCTGATTTCCTTTCACATTTCACATTTCATATTTATCCACATCCATATCCATATCCATATATATCCATACACATACATCTCTCTCTCTCTCTCTCACACACACACACACACACACACACTATTCCCTTTTTCCCTCTCTCCCCCTTCTCTCTCCCTCTCTCTCCTATACTCCACTAAGCATCCATCCATCCAATCCAATCCAATTCAATATACTCCTTCCTTCCTATACTCTTCAAAGTATATTTTAAATCCGAAAAAAAGACTGTATTGTAGTACATATCTAGTTACTAGAGTAGATTGATAATATGTTTATTTCTATCTATATTTATATGGTCTTTTGTATAGACATAGACCACAATACAATAGTAGTTTTACTGTGAGAATCACTATGCTTGTTGTCAAAAGGGATGATTAGATTAAGAATGTATTTACACCCACATTCACATTTAGCTCACTAACCCTCTTCTTTTTATCTTATTTTTTCTTAAAATAAACGTAATGATACAAACATATATACATACATAAATACAAACAATAAACTCGCACAAACCAATCACTACCAGTGAACCACCCACCCAGCTATAAGTTTCCCAATTATGATTTCCCATCCATACATACTCATAATAATCATTGATCATTTCCATTTCCATATCCATATCTATAGAGTAAACCCGTGTGCCCATCCATCCATCATAAAAAAGAATCAATTCAATGCAATCCCCGGCCTCCCTTCCTGACCTAGCCATTTTTTAAAACAACCCTACCCTACCCTGACCCTGAACTGTACATTTGGCATGGCTATACTCATTGACAAACAAAAAAGTCATGGAAAAATAAATGAATGATGAAACAACAGGCCCGATAATCCCCCTTGAACAACGCCGCATTATGAGTTATCGTAAACATGTATGAGTGGATGATGGGGTACTTGGTAGATGGTTGGTAGGAACTATGAGTAAGGTGAAATGCTCCATGCATGAAAGCCGAACATGAAGCCGAGTAGTAGGTTAGGCTTTTTGTTATACATAGTGAAAGAGGAAAGAAACCCATGGTCACAAACATGATAAAAACCAGAGAGATGACGTTTAAGGCTGAGTCGCAAGGTTAGATTCAGATGCACCGGGTGCAACGGAATTTGCAATGGGTGCGTGATAAGATCCAATACTTTGGAAGCCCCTATTCAGATTGTCAGTAAATCATCAACTTGTAGGAAAGGGGCAAAACTAACCTTGCAAGATCGAAACCTGCTTCTTCCTCCATTTCAAATCCAATATTTAGAATCTGAAGCTTTTCTGGAGGACCATTTCTAGTAGGGCTCATAGCGGAACCTCGTCGCATTGGAGGTGGACTGCTGCTGGGAAGAACACTAGATTTGTACCCTTTGATGGGACTGGTGTCATAACCACCAAATGCTCGAAGGGGAGTTATCCCAACGAACTTCCAAAAGGGAGCTGGGGAGCTCGTTGGCATATGCTGGCTTGGTCGCTGTGCAGTACTTGGTGGTGCTAAATGAGGATGAACCCGATGAGGAGCTGGCGTGACGAATGTGGTACCTTCATCTTGTTGGTAGGAAGACGAAACAATGGTTGGAGAACCAGGAATATTATCAGATAGACCAAGCGTGCCATTCTGAGCTCGTCGGTGTCGGGGTAGTGGACTTCCATCGTCCGGAAAGTCCTCCTGCAAAATCTGAATTCGTGGCGCACGGTCGGGGGTAAATTGTGGTGCTCTGGATCGGTACGAATTCAAACGTGGTGAGGCTGAACTTGGAGATCGCTTCTCCTTGATGACAGAGCCCGGGTTGAATTCATCTTTGATACCTCGACCAGCAGTTGTAATTGGCGATCCTGGCTGTGAAGATCCTCGGTGGCCACCTCTACCAGCAGGTTGATATGCGAGCGCTTTTGTTGCCTCATAGCACTCTGTCTTGATCACCCACTTCATTCCCTTTCCCGGCTCGTGCTTTTCACGTGGCGTCTTCTCATAAGATTTGCTCAGTGACAAGTTGTGGCGGATAGAGTTCTTTGATCTGTGGTTAGTTTTGATTCAATCAAAAAGGAGATCGAACCGATCACTTACCTGCCAACCGTTGGGCGGTTGATGTCTGTAATAAGCGTATTTCGCCATGATATATTGGTAGATGCCATTCAGTGCTAACGTTTCACCTGGCGTAGAAATAATTGCTTGCGCAATCATTTGACCATAACTGTAACCTGGCTTGATATGACAATTGGCATCATCGCTGAGGTCGACATTTTCAGCATCATTCATGACCATGGTGCCACCAGCCGAGTATCCAGGAGGCGATCTCTTGGTAGAACCCGGAATCCTGATTCGAGAAGCGGCAGGAGTACCAGGGCGTTGGTAATTAGGTGGGGCTGGGGCAATTGGTTGTGGAGCTCCGTTCTGACCTCGAATTCCATTAGTTGAGGGGGGTGGTGGAAGGACATCAGGGGTTGAGTCTTTATGTTTCCGAGCATCATCCGTATCCACATCCGCAACCAACTCAGTTCTTTGTAGGACTCTCGAATCAATCTTGAGACTACCTTCAGGTAAAACAAACATCATCTCAACACCCGATATATCGATAATAGCTCCACTGTGCAATTCTGTCGTTTCACCACGGCGAAATGTCGTATAGTCAACCTTGACTCCATTGCGACCAATGACTCGAATTCGCCAGCCATCATTGAAATGAATTGAAGCATGTTGTCGCGAAATCATCTTGCTTGGACCAAGATCAATATGGACATCGAAAACAGGTCCTTCATCTTGACCATCAGCGGGGTTGCGTCCAACAACATTGTTCAGGTCCTTGATATAGTAAGCCCAGCCCTTTCCAGCCAACTTTGCGAACGCAGAAATTCCTCCTCTGCTCTCTATCGTATGTTTCTCGTCCGCATGATCTTGGCTAACTTGTACGAGACCAGGTAACCCCAGATGTTGAGTGACCCTTGAGATGATTGCTTCCTTGTCGTCCATTGTAGGTGCAGATTCTTCTGGGGAAAGTTGATTCGAGATTGGAAGATCGGTCTTAATTTCTTCAGTCTGTATCTTTTGTCAATGAGAGTTACAAATGCGCAATTTCACAGGCAACTTACCTTCTTTCTTCTCTTGGCAGGGCGAGAAGGTGAGGAGTCTGGAATATCAACCTCATTCAATGACTCTCGACGTGGCCGACGGGCCCTCTTACTGGGAGATGGCATTTTCTTCGATGATAGCGTTGACCCGGTGATTACTGTGCATAAGATGTCGTATGTTTCGGTATGGGTTGTTGACAACTAGAAATGACAATGAGTATTGTGTCGTCGAGGGTATGCAGGTGCAGAGGGGAGGGGGAAAGGTGCAGATAACCCTTGCGACAAAAGTGTCAAAGAGCTTAGAGGGGAGGGAGGTTGATGCGACAGACAATATAATGTAATGAAATAACTTACAAAAAAGATTGATTGATTGACTGATTGATTGATTGATTTGACAGCAATTAGCAATTAGCAAATTGTACCCTTCTTCAGATATCACAATGATTATTGATTTGCTCTTTTTTTTTTTTTTTTGGTGTGTAGGAAAGAAACTGTTTCTCTTTGCGATTCTCCTTCCTTTACTTTAAAATCGACTTTCCTATCGCATCGTATCTTCCGTATCGTCCGTCACGCGGCAGTGGCAGTTCTCAGTCGCGTCTTTGTTTAAGGTGCTTGCCTTAGATATTAGTTTTAATTCAGAATTTGCTGTAAGTTTTCCTTGCAACTCAAGAATAGAATATGGGAAACTGTGAATGTTTATATTAGTTTGAAAGATGTGTGTAAAGTGAGAGAATAAATGAATTTGAAAGGGCTTTTGGAGGAATGATTTTCTCTTTGGTTTAGTCGCGAAAGTTGGTGTTCTGTGAAGTGAATTTGAATTTGACAATAACAGTTGATTATATGATTGGTTAGATAGGAGCTTAGAAAACAATCGGTTATATGATTGGTTCGATAGAGAACCTAGAAACCTTAGAAAACAATCGGATATACATATAATCATATAATTCGATAATGAAATGGCTGGATCAACTCACTTATATCTTGAAAATTAAATTTTGATCTCTTCTAATGTATATCTATAATATTTACCAGATTTTATAAATGAATAACATTTATATTCATTTAATCAACAAACTACTAGGTATAACTTCTTTATTTTACGCGTTTCATTCACGACACTCGAAACATCCCTTCTCCCGCATCTATTCCATGTCTTTTCCTTATCAGATTCATATCTATCAAATTACCCTTACATACCCCATTTCCATTTTATCTCTTCCATATCTTTTTCTTATCAGATTCATACCTATCAAACTACCTACCTAGTTATCCTTACATGGTACTCATACAGTATAAACCCCAACACTCCCATCCCATTATATCCCATATCTTCTATATCTTTTTCTTTTTAGGTTTAATTCTATCCCACTACCGGTACTCGTACAGTATGAACCCCAGCATCCCCATCCCATCCCATCCCATCCCATCCCATCCATCTCATCTCATCTCATATCAAACCCCAAAATCCCAACCCCTCATTCTCCTCATTCTTCAAATCTACAACAGAACTGATAACGATAAACACCCCAAGACGACCTCAGGCTTTCTTTCAATTGCAAACTCCATCCGAAACATCTCATATCATAAATCATCCATCATTAACCTTACCTACCTATCTACTCTAACCAATTCATACCTACCTCCCTCCTCCAAGTTATAAATCTCGGCCCACTATCCATTCATCCATAATATCGGTAGTATGTTACTGTAATATACTGAGTTTGTCTTAAAAAGAAAATCCGAATACCCCGCCACAACATCCTTTCCACACACATACTAAATACCAATTCAAACCTCCACCCCACACACAGTACTGTATAGTATAACCTTCAACATCAACTCATAATACACTCACTCACTCACTAATAACTATTTCTTTCATGAAGAAATTTTATATTTCTCATCACATATTCACTTGATGTCTGTCTATATCTACTCGAGTACATCTATATCAAAATCAATAATCCTTTTTCCTCTCCTCTGCTTTGCTTTGCTCTCCTCTCCGCATCTAATCTTGTCAAGCCATATTCGAGTACAGTTAATTATAAGTCAAGTAAATAACCAACATAGTATATACTCGTAGTACAGACTGTATAGTATAGTATAGAATCGAATTGAATTGAATTATGTACAATAAATATTAATAAACATCCATACCAAAAATTTTCCCTTCATTTCATTTCATTTCAATCCATCAATTCCATCCATTCCATCCATTTGATCAGATGTTCATGCTCATGTTCATCCATCCTTCCTCTTACATGTCAATACCCATCAAGGAATGTTCTTTCCCACGGGATATCCCATCCCATGCTGACTCTTCATGGAACAATTCCCTCTTATAATTCATCCTTCCATGCCATTATCCAAGATCCTTTTCACATTGTGTCGTGTCATGTCGTGTTGTGTCGTTTCCTGCCTTGCCTGTCATACCATATCCATATCGTGGAATTCTTATCACAAAGAAATCGAACCCGAACCTTCCCTTCCCCAAAAAGCATCTAAGCAAAAGCCATAAGAGCCATCACACCCGCCATAGCCCCCATCACGACGCCATTTCTCGCACCAGAATTGGCCTCGAGCGGTGCAGTCGGCGCAGCACTCGTAGCAGCCCCGCTACTCACACTAACACCCACGGCACTAGTGACTTCCGCGGAAGGCTGCACGTAGTAACTGGTTGTTTGGCCAACCACTGTGAGGGTGCTGGGTTGTATGTAGGTTGATGTTTGGACGTGGGTGTTGTTTGCCCAGTAGGTAACTGGGAGGGTGACGGTTTTGACGACGGATGGGACGGTGACAATGGCGATGGTTTCGATCGTGTTGCCGATTGTTGTTGGGACCTGTGCGTGTTAGTTGTGGATTTTGATGGGGGTTTGATGGGAAAAGGGGAGAGGAAGAACGGTGGGGGAAGAGACTTACATAAATGGTGGTTGCGCCGGTTTCTGCGGGGAGGGTAGATGTTAGGGTATGAACGGCGGTCACTTGAATCGTGTTTGTTTTGGTGGCTGTTAGGACGATACTATATCAAGAGAAATGATTAGATTTGGAGATTCTTTTTGTGGGATAGAAGCATGAACTTACGTTGATCCAGCGCTGATGGTAGTATATACACTTTCGATACAAGTAGTAGTTTCGTAGACATCGGTGGTCTGATACTCAGTAGCTTGAGTTGAGGTGCTGTATTTATTAGCTTGAGCTCAATAGTGGATAGATAGATGAACCTACTATTGTATGATGGTTGTAGGAACCTTCACTTGAGTGTAAATTGTGCTGGTATATACTTTTGTGATGGGAACACCGGCTGGACGTTATCTGTCAGTATATGATTTGGATAGAATAGGGATGGGATAACATACAAATTGTCTGTACTTCGGTAACTGGGCATAAGCTAGTAGAAGTCTCGTAGACGTATGTTTCGATTCTTAAGATTGAGTTAGAATAATGTATTATAAAAGTAAGTGACCGGAATCTGCAAACTCACGTCTTAGTTTGTGCTGGCAAAGTAGTTTGCGAATAATCAGTAGTATATCCATTGGTAATGATGAGGCTAGTTGTTGTTTTTGTGACAGTATAAACAATTCCAGAAATCGTCTGGACCTCAGTAACTGGGCAAAGACTTGTGATGGTTTGAAGGACCTCAGTTCCGACACTATATTGATGATTAGTTTCTCATTCTCGATGATAGATTTTCAGGATTGTGTGGTTCTTACGTAGTAGTTTTAGGTGGGAGAGTAGTTGATGCCTCGATTGTAGTTCCAACATTTGTGACGATGAATGAAGTGGTTGTATAAGTTTCAGTTACCAAGCTTCCCGAAATCGTCTTTATTTCCGTGACTGGGCAAAGACTGGTGATGGTTTGAAGGACCTCAGTTCCAACACTATTTTAATATTAGATTATCATCCTCAGACCATAAGATATAAGGAAATGGTGGATCTCACGTGGTAGTTTTGGGTGGGAGAGTAGTTGATGCCTCAATCGTGGTTCCAACATTTGTGACGATAAATGAAGTAGTTGTATAAGTGACAGTTACTAGACTTCCTGAAATTGTCTTCGTCTCTGTGACTGGGCAGAGACTTGTGATTGTGGAAACTACTTCGGTTATAGCACTGCCAAAAAGTTAGTTTCCTAAAACAAAAGGTTTGAAAAGGGGTTCTCACGTCTTAGTATTATCGGGAGCAGTTGCTGTAACTTCAACATTGGTAGGGACGTGAGTTGTAAATAACGATGTAGTTGTGTATGTGACAATCACTTCTTTTCCTGAAACAGTGGTAGTTTCGGTGACAGGACACAAGCTGGTGATTGTGGAAACTACTTCAGTTATAGCACTGCCAAGAAGTTAGTTTCCCAAAACAAAAGGTTTGAAAAGGGGTTCTCACGTCTTAGTATTATCGGGAGCAGTTGCTGTAACTTCAACATTGGTAGGGACGTGAGTTGTATATAGCGATGTAGTTGTGTATGTGACAGTCACTTCTTTTCCTGAAATAGTGGTAGTTTCGGTAACAGGACATAAGCTGGTGACTGTTTCGATGACCTCAGTTTCGACAGCAGTCGTATGAGGTGGTGCAGTAACAGTGTTGACGATAGTTGTGGGGACGACTAGTTTTCATTTGTCAGGAATCATTCATCAACATCAGGTTACATCCTCAATCACTCACCAGTTTCGACGACAGAAGTTGTAGTGTATGTCTTAGTGTATGTCGTTCCAGGAGCTGTGACAGTTTCTGTTACCGGGCAGATGGTAGTATATGTGACGACAACCTAAGAAATGAGTCAATCTCGATGTTCAAAGACATGTCACGGGATTATCGTACATCAGTTGTTGTTGTTGCCCAACCAGTCGGACCTGGGACAGTAACGACTCCTCCGCAACCTCCAACACAGCTAGTGACAACTATAGTTGATGTTGTGACATCGGTGACCCACTTTGTTGTCCCTTTTTCGGTTGTCGTAGAGGTAACCTATGAGAGATAAATTAGATCTTGCCTAGTAGATGTGATGTCATGTGAACATGATGTTGTAGAATTCTCATCGATGTTTGAATTCTTTTCGAGTATTAAAAGATCTCATCCAATAGTAAGGATGAAGCTCTTCTCAATACTCGGCAATGATCCCGATATATGAAGTCTCTCATCCTTTGGATCGGTTGATACATCCAAAGCATAGATAACATAACTCGAATGAGATCAAACAATGAGACTGCTCATCACCTTCCACCCCAGCCCCAACGATACAAGGCATTAACATAATGGGCATTAACATACCGGGCAGATAGTAGTTGAAGTGTAGGTGGTCCAGGTAGTAGTATCAGTCTCGACAGGAGGACTGGAGTATTCAGGAGGACTAGAATACCATCTTTCCTGAATCCCTTGAGCGAGAGTCGAAGTAGCCAAAGCCAATAAAGCGAACGATGTTTTCATGATTGCGATATGTAACGAATATGTTTTAAGATTGTACTAAAATCGAGTACTTGTATAACGATAGCACACTCTGTACTTTGCACCACAGAGAACAGGTATAACGACCGTCTTAAATGATTTATAGAAAGGGAAGTCCGGAAGCAACTTTGCTGGTGAGGAGGTTGGAAGGATATAATTTTTTTTTTTTGCAAAAGGCGGCTGGGACAACAAAATATAAAGGAAATAAACACACAAACACATGCGGGACAAGGGTACTATTATCTATGAATGCAAGAAAATCTTGATCCTACCATGCAAATTTCTAGTGCATCTCATAAGGCCGCATATGAGTTCATGCTGGCGATGCAAATTCGGGCAAAGTATCTGTCTCTATCTTGGTCTACTAAGACATCCAAAAGTCTTCCCTGACTGGCCAACAGGTATGCTACGTAACTTTTGGATACGAGTGTGGTGCTGACCAACAAGAACAACAACAACTGCCTCAATTCCGAGCCAAGGTTTGAGTGAGAAATCTAAGTATAGTAATACGAACAAGTTCACAAGTTCACATATATGAACATATGTCAATTTCATGATTTATTTCGCGGACTGCAATTGCGGAAAGAAAGGCTGGCATGAACATGGGACCCTAGTTGGCTCGATGCTGTGAAAGCAATATTATGATGCATAGAGGAGAGAGGAACACGAGCTTTTGCATGATAAACATATGTTCTTACATAGTGCCACCTCATGAATCATATTCCCGGGGGAAAGCGAGACCTGGTGATAAAATTTGTTTCTCTGTTGTCCGTTCTCGAGGCCTGTAAAATTATTGAAAAACGTGGTGGCCATTTTCTTGGGTACATTTGGTACCAAGAAAATAGGTGATACAGTAATTTCTTATCCGTACCTAGATATTGGTGAGTTAATCTCCCCTGCATAGAAAGTATGTTGATATTGATTTCTTCCGAAAAGATTCAAATCCCGCGAAGGGTACTTGAGCATCTCATTTCCGAAGGGTTTGAGAGAGAAAAAACCTGTTGTTCCATCATATCAGACGGTAAGGCGCCCCGGGATCTACTGGCGAACGCGGGGAAAGATATCTTCTATCTCGTATTTAGGTGGGCTGAAAAGTTGTAATATGCACAACAGAGGCGGGGGTGAGGAGTGGGGTGAAGCCGGTAAAAATGATTTAGGATATCATATATTGGAATATGATTCAATTGCTGTACTTTAAATAGGTATCAGGTAAAATTGCATAACTCTTTGGACAACAGATAATAAAATGTGGCAGCGTTGTGGCGATCGAGTAACATTGTGCGACGATGAACTCCCGTTGGTAACCTTCTCTAACGATAAAATTCCGTCGGTAAGCTTTTCTCGCTTGTGCTTCATGTCTCCATCACCCTGTCGCCCTGTCGTTGCTGGGCCTAGGTCATATTGTAAAATATAACTGAGCACACCACACAACAGTTTGAATCGTCTCAATTCCTTCCCGACATGTAAGCTGACAAAGTCCGCATGAATTGTTACCGAGTTGAACAGGGTCCGTTGGGAAAATGCCCAGGTAGCTTTTTGATGTATGCAAATTTGAGGTGGCTTAGGGTAGTATTGACTTGGCTATCTTTACCTTACTCGTATTCAGCCACGACTTCTTTTCTTAGCTAATCATAATCATCGTCGGTATCGCTATCCCAACCCTCTTCATAAGATTCCGCAATCTCGCCAAGAGAATTACTAAGTGCCTCTCTTTCATCCATGCGAATAGCTCTGTTTACTATCTGTTGAAGGCTTTTGATTCTCAGAGCAACAGATGTATCGGTTGAAAGAGATGTGCTAATTGATAGATTGGTGATATTCTCATCTTCTTGAGTGAAAATACGAGGAAAGCTATCAAGAATTGGAAAGGATAACGGTGTGTATGTCCTGCGGATATAAAGTAAGCAATTGGAAAGAAACTCAAAATGGATAACTAACTTTGAAAGCAATGGAAGGCTAGCAGCAATTCTTCGAGTTCGTTCACGAAACTCATCATTTCTGTCGTTTTCTTCGTCACATTCCTCATCCCCTCTATAATTCTCAACTTGACCAAAAACATGAACCTTGCCGGACTTTTGACGACCGCGATTCTGCTCCCCGGTTTCCGTGGGAAAGAAATCTATATCAAAATTGGCAGTATCGCTTTCTTCCGCCATGTCCTCACCACGACTTGAAGTTGCTGCCAAGGTAATCCTTGTATCTGTGGCCTGGGAATGACCATTCCTTCCCGTATGGATATTTTCATTAGTTCCCACTTCAGAATTCTGTTGGACAGTCATGCGTAATTTCGCAATGTTCTGGTTTCCATTAACATTCAATGTGCTGGCCAGTTGGTCTAATGTCTGCCTCATGCCGTTTTGAGGCTTCAATCTCGAAGGCAGTGTCATACTTTCCATCGCAGATGACAACAGGCCGGAAACTTCCCAAAAGGAATTTGCGTCTAATTTGACGTAACCTGGTAAACGTGTTGATGGTAGGGTCATTGGAATGAAAATAGATGTCTGTGGGATGATTTCCGATATTGATTTCGCTGTATTTGACAACTTCAGGAAACGTTTTTCCTACCAACATGTCAGTATCGATCCGATCCTCAGCGATTCGGCACAACTTACTCGGGGTATTTCTTTGATATTATCCTCCAAACCCCAGAACCATACCGTGGTCTTACCATACTCATCTCTCAAACGATCCATGTATCGAGCAGCAAAGCCACCCCAAGCATCATCGATACTCCCCATTATCTGAATGCCTTGCATGTGATCAGCTTCTTCAGCAAAAGGTCGAAGATCACGATCCAAAAGATCATGCTCTTTATCTAAAGAGCTAAATAGTTCTTCGCCAGCCTCCCAATTCTCAAATGGCATTAGTGATGAGTTTAACTCATACTCGTTGAGTTGAACTATTGACCTTGGATGATAGTAAACGCGGTTGAAATCAGACCAATATCGCACCGATTCTGAAGTGAGCTTTGGTGGTTCGAGACCACCTTCCAAACTTTGTTGATATGAACTCTGTTGAATGGCCGTTTGACGTTGGACTACAGCGGGACCGTTCCTGAGAAGGACTTTGAGTCAGCCCAACTCATGATTTCTCGATCAACTCTTTCGCCAACTCACCATAACCCATCGGTAACAACCGGTTCATCTATTTGGTACAGTGCATTAATCTTCCTCAAAGAACCAAATCCTCCTTTAAGATCATAAATCAAAGTTCTTGGAGTAAAGGTCTCATTACCATCAGCTCCAATACCAGGTCTGAAATGAATATCATGATCGACTAAAGATTCTTCATTTGTTGAATATGTGAAGTATGATTCCTATTGGCTAGTCAGAAGGCATCGATGGTCTCAAAGGTAGATGTAGTGTTACCTGAGTATTCCAGAAATGGGTAGCAAGATAATTACTCTTTTGCCCTAACTGAAGGGTAATGACTTCATGCATATTCGACTATCTCAAAGGTTTTGTGAAAAGGCGTCTAGTCCAACACTCTAGGTTTTGACAGTTGTCAAATTTCTTTGGTTGCCACTCAGCACTTGCATGAAAGACAGCTCAAATGCATAAGCTTACCCGGTATATACGACTGTAAAGTTTTCGAAAATGTGGGATGGATACACTGTGGAGATATCTGGTGATGTTCGAAGGAAGAACAAACTGTGAAATCCTCTAGAATCAAATTATTTGATGCTGATGATATATTACTAACCATACAGGGCGGCATCGCAAGGATTACGATAAGATAACAGAACCCCTGCATAAAAAGAATCTACCCCACATCTCGAAGCTATTCCCCTCTATGAAATCATCGATACCATCTCGTCGCCTCATTTTGAGACATTTTGAAGTTCAACGGCTGTACTTTACACTCATCTCAAAATGTCTTTCCAACAAGAACTCAATTCATGGTTCTCTCCACCCTCTACTGATGTACAATTACCCCCAGAAATTAATTCGAAAGCTCCCTCTTCATCTAAACTTCCATTCCCGAATCCCAATGGAAAACCTACTATCATCACATTTCTTAGACATTGCGGCTGCCCAGTAAGTTCAGAATGTTCCTTTCCATAAACCTTTACTCTTGGCTTTCTATCCTCAACCCCTGCTTCGAACTACTTGCCCACCCCAAGATCCTACCCTACAATCACAATTACAACCAAAACATCTAACCTCCCCCTCCCCCCCCCCTCCAGTTCGCAGAAAAAACCTTGCTCACCCTCTGTCACCTCGCCACCTCCCACCCACAAATCCACTTCATAGCCCTCTCGCACTCCACACAAACCTCCACCACCACCTGGCTGCAATCCCTCGGGGGCGTCTCCCTCTCCAATCTCCAAGTCATCGTCGATGCAGAACGAGACATCTACGCACAATGGGGATTAGGCACTAGTTCGGCCTGGCACATCCTCAATCCTTGGAGTTTAATGTCCGTATTCAAGCTTGGACGCGAAGAGCAAATATGGAATAGACCGACGGAGAGCGGGTATCGCTGGCAGATGAGTGGGAGTTGGGCTGTGGATCGAGAGGGGTTTGTGAAGGGGGTGGGGTGGCCAAGAGTGCGGATGATGTTATGGATTTTGAGGAGGCGGTTAGGTTGGTAGAGTAATGTAATGGGGATATGGGGTTTTGATGCGGATCTTGGTTACGAAGGATGGTTGCGAAGGAAGGTGCGACGACGATTCTTGAGGTTGGGAAGCTGGTAATACTTGTAAGATATATTGGGATAACCCGGGGTGCTTCAAGGGGTTCTGGACTGGAATTCAGCAACAAAAGTTGGATTGCTAGATGTCCACATTGACCCATTTCCGAACTTCGGATATGAGGCCTGTACATACTTCTATTTGTATATATTCCGTTACCAATTTAATATTTCTCTATATCAACCTCTGTCCCCGAGCACCCCTCCAAATCATCATTCTCCTCTATTTAGCATTCTGCATAGCAGCCGAATCCTAAAGTGCACCAAAGATCAGTCATTCTCACTCATACCAGATCAAGTACTCTCCTTCTCCCAAGCCACCCTCAGAGGGCGCCCCTCTCTTCACCACCACTAAGAATCCACTCACCATAAAAACCTGATAGAACGCCAACTTCCACTTCCCACCCTCTTGAACCAACTCTGCACGTCCAGCCCATTCAACCTGTTTATTCATTCCATATTAGCAATGCATCATTTCATATCCTCCCTGCAAATACCCCCTACATCCTCTCTAAAAGAGATAAAGATATAGTACTTACATCAGCCTTCTTCCCATCTTTCAAAACATACTATATTCGCATCCAATGGTTAGCATCTCATCTCATCCCATCCTATATAATTTCCCAATCCCTTCATCTCCCTAAATTCCTCACAAACTCCAATCCAGTCTCCCTCATTCCAAACCCAAACCCAAACCCAAAAATCAAAAAATCAAAATCGATTACTGCAGATAGATTGAAGAAAAACTCACAGCCACCTTCCCAAACAACATCACCTCCTTTGAATCTTTTCCAAAAGGAAAGATTTTCTGCACTGTGTGCAAGCGACCTGCTACTTTTTCCCACATGGCCTTTCTGAAGGCGAGGATTTCTGAGAGGTGCATGGTTGGTTAGCTTTTCGTTCTTTTCTTGGCTGTCTTTCTTTCGTCGGTGGAAGGTAGCTTCAAGAGATTATTTGAGGATATAAATTCTGGAGCGAATGGTTCGATTCGTTTGTTGTTTGGTTCGTTGCTCCCTTCAGTATCACCTCTCTCGATTCCACCCTCCTCCATTCTCCTCACTCTCTTGATTTCGTGTAATTTCAAGCCCTCAATCTTCAATTTAAATTCCAACTTAAAGAACAACTCTTTAAACGTTTCACTTCCTCTTTTCTTCAACCTTCCCTCGGATCCCTGCCCCCCCCACCCCCCCCCGACTCTTTTCCCTCACACAAAACAGAAAAGAAAAGAAAAGAAAAGAAAATCTCAAACTTACCCTCCTTCCCCTTAACCCTCTTAAACCCCCATAACCAACTCTGCTCCCTCTGCAAACTGATCCGCATACCTGGTCACAACATCACATATTAGCCACGTGGATCCTCATCTCCATCTCATCTCCAACTCCCAATCCTAATCACCTCACCGCCACCCACTTCCCACTTCCCACTCTCATCAACCCCATCTAATCTCCCCTACCCCAATTCTCGAACATCCCCTCCACATCCACATCCCCACCCCTCCTCAACCCCCATCTCATCCCCCCCAAAAAACATAAAACCCATAAAAGGCTCATACATACTCCAAATGCGCACGCTCCTCATCACTCAACCCATAAAACCTCTCAAAAAACTCTTTAATGCCCTCCTGAGGCTCTATCCCCTGCGGATACATTGATGCATAAGTATGGGATGCCATTATTGATTCTCTTCTAGTATTTCTTCCAAGTAATCTCTTCCAAATTGAGATGTTTTCGAGAAGTACGTATGATATGATGTGAGTGAGTTAGATATGAGATTATGGATACATATACTCGAGTATGGTTGTCAAATAGTATATCATAATTGGGCAAGAAGTAGGTAAGCCAACAGTTAGGACGAAGTGGGGTGTTTTCGGGGAGCTGAAAATGTGGGGTTGTCTTACGGCCCCGAGTTGACGATCTATCCCTCTAGATTCCTTCTCATCATACCAAAAAAAAACATTCATCACACAATGAGGCCAAAACAAAATCATTTTAAACAAAAGCTGTCATAGGATAGAGTAAAAGCTTTATTTCGTGTCGGTGTATACCTATGTATATATACACTACACGCTATTTAATGAGAAGCCATTTGATTTCATCAAGCTATTGCACAACTATTGCTTCCCCATTTTAAACATAGGAGCAACAAGCCAGGCAACTAAAAGTAACCATCAATTCATACCAGCGCCATTCAAGTCCACTTCATTGAAACCACATAGAACCATCAATAACTCCTTGGTATAGCAAGCAAGCATCCAAACAAACTCCGGCCATTAAATTCGACCTCATGAAACTGAGATCAACCAACTACTCATCATCATCTGTTCTCAAAACTGGGTAGAGACTCTCGGTAGGCTTCTCCTCAGTCTTAGCTGGAACATCTTTCATTTCTGTATCAGTCATGGAGGTATCTTCTTCTTCCTTCACATACTCGCCATTTTGAAGACGTTCACTGACATATCGACGGAGAGCTTCGATGACACGAATATTCTCGATCCATGCCTCTTCAGCTCTATCACGAGCACTCTCACCACTATCAATTGATCGATCAGCAGGTGAGCTAACACCAGATAGAGCTGGATCAAGATTATTTGTAACATCTGTCTTGACGATAGACTCAGGACGAGGGGTTGTTTCCTTTGGAGATGGTGTTGGGGAGCCAATAGTAGAAGCCTCCGAAGACTCGCGATATTGGCTAGTGTTGAGTCCGCCGGCACTTCGCTGGAGTACGCCACCAGAATAACGACGGCGAAGATCACTGTCAAAATTTGTACCAAGTGTAGATGTTGGTGCAGTTGCTGAATGGTGTGGCGAGTATCCGAGAGACACTGCAGGGAGATTTGGATATGCTGCAGTTGATGTAGAACTATGTCGTGAGATAGGAGACAATCCACTCGAGGACATGGGAGAATTGCCAGAAGTGTACGAGACGGAACTTGAAGGTGTCAAGGCTGGTGTACCAGATGAATGAGATGAGTGGGTTGCGGTCATTGGTGCAGAGGCGTAAGAAGTCGAAACATGTGATGGCATTGAACCAATGTTGTGGATTTGACTTTGTGATGGCGAGTGACTTTGACGGAAGTTGATACCTTGATGGGTGTAGTGAACACCAGGTTGATGTATACCAGCAGCGGCAGCAGCATTTGAACTTTCGTAGACTGTTGATTGCATTTGCTCCAAGAATTGATCCATTGAATTGAGATCATTCTTGGTTCTCAAGTTTGGTAGTGGAAGGGAATATTGGTGTTGTGGCATGGGACCTCCATGGCCATGTCCCCCATGACCTCCGTGGCCGTCCAATGGAATTAATTGAGGTGCTGAGTGCATATAATCAGAGATACCTCCACCTGTACCGATAGGAATGCCTTGTAATTGCATTAATCTCTGATTAACTTGATGATAAGAATGAGCATCGATTTGACGACGCTTAGCAGCACCAAAGAAGTCATTCAAGTTGTCAAAATTACGTCTTTTCTCGTCCCAAGCTGCATGCTGACCAAGATCAGGGTTATGGGACATTTGATAATAGCCTGGGGCTCCACCATACGAAGATTGTTGGGCAGGAGGTGCATAATATCCAGGATGAGCACCGTGATGAGAATTGCCATAGACCGCGGCAGAGCCAGGATGCATTGAAGCATTATGGTCATAATAACCGATGGGATTGGCTGCAAGGTTTTGCAAATTAGCAATCACTACATAAAAAGAAGTTAGAGACAATTGTATGAACAAGGGCAACTTGCGCCCTTACGTACCTTTACCGCCGCCTTGTCTATATCCTCCATTTGGACCACCAGGTTGTTCTGGAGATCTCAACAAAACGGAATCATCGGCATGAGTCTATTGGTAACTGTTAGAATGACGGAAGAAACAAAGGTGAGCTCTCAATCATACCTTGACATGTTTCTTCAAATCTTGAGGACGTTTAAATGCCTTTCCACAGAATTCACATTTATGTGGTTTAAGTGGAACATGAACACGAATATGAGATGTAATATGATCGCGTTTGACGGTAGTAGTGCGACAAGAATTCCAACCGCAAGTGAGGTTCAAGTTATTGGTACTCTTTCTTCCGACATGCTTCTCGCAGATGTGTTCCTTGAATTAAATGTTAGTATAATGACTTTGATTGATGAAAGTGATATACTTACAAATAAAGATTCTGGAGTTTGACATCTCTCAGAACATTTCTCCCATTGGCAGAGTAAACTATCATCAGCGATAACATTTTGTTGTTGAATTGATGTAGTTGTGGTAGTAGTATTTTCAGCAGTGGAACTCGAAGAAGCCGTTGGAGTCTGAGCTTGAGCTTGTGCAGGCTGTTGCTGCTGCTGTTGTTGTTGCTGGTCTTGGCTTGACATTATGGGGGATTGTGGGATTAGGTTGAAATCAACCAATGACCGATTGTCGGTTAATGACTTTGTATAGACTAACTGTGTGTGGAAATAGTTTGACAAAAGTTATGGGTCTTCTTCTCTATCAAGATTTGATGAGTAGAATGATGATGGCCCAGAATTTGGATTAAAACTTGATGAAAACTGGATTAACGGAAAACAAAAAGTCTATTCACAAAAATTGTTGATTGTTGTTTGTCAAACAAGTCTCCAAGCAAATGGGGGAACTTGGTGCCTACTTGTAAGAATGACGGAAAGACTGGGCGGGACTAAGTCTTGGTAAAAGGTCTTGGCATCTATATTGAGTTTGGTTCCCACTCCTAGTCTCTTGGCATTCCACTCGGATCAAACCTGAGCTTGTTTTCTAATTGGTTAATCTTTCTTGGCATGTATGAAGGGAAACATGTGCGAGATTCGTTCTATGTAATGCACCCAAATTGCCAATAATTCTCACTCACTAAGCTTACCTTTCATATCCAAGGGATTGCGCCCCGAGGGAAAGATCGGAGAAACTTGGCTTTTCTTGATTTTCTTGGGTCCCCGTATTCTCTTGGTATTTGGGCTGTGTTTTCTATATTATGCGAGCATACGAAGACTAATAAGAGAGAGTTTAACTTAGAAGGTGATTAATCTTAAATATCTAATACGATGGTTACACGTTGTTCCATTCTTCATGTCGATACGTAAAGAAAGCAACGAAAGGTATGTACTGACTAATATGCTAATATGTGAAGCCCATCTTCTTCTTTGCCTCAATTCCATTAATGACCTCAATAATATTATTACGTCATACCCGAGCTGTATTCAACTGTTATGTGTATGTATTCAACTTTTAGCTACCGTATATCATCACCATCACAAAAGGCTTATGGGTATATATTCTTACGGAAGGGGAGCCGGTAAACCTTTGACTGATATAGAACAGAACTTACCGGGGCCGTAATGTCATGTCAGGCAAATGATTACCATCCGTTATTCAAAGTTTTCCCCAAGGTTTAATTCATGCGGGTGATGGATAATGTTAATCTAATACATCCATAACTAATTATGAATGGTTCGTGGACATTGAAGATTACTTTTGGCTGGTACTCGAGTACTCTGGTGTTGCATTATTATTACCCTTAACGCTGCCCAGCCCTTGGCCACCCACTGTCATTTCATTCCTCCGCCCATCAACCAAGCTTTTCCACTCTGATGCCAATTTATTTCTACTGTACTTGACTTCTTCACTTTACTTCTTCTACTCGTATAACAAACAGCATTACTTATCACATGTTATCTAGAGTCAGTGTGTATATACGATTCTTGATGGATCACCAACCAAGATACTCGTAGAAGAACACCTATCCATCATTTCTCATGAGGGGCTGGCGACGATGAATCTTTCCTTCTGTACAATGCTTCAACTGTTCAAATTATTGAGGCAGATTCTAAGGTAGTCTTAAGCGGGCATGAAAGGGAAAGTATTGAGAAAAGTCTCTCTTTCTCTAAACCACAACTGCATCCAAAGGATCGTTTTCTTTCTATACTATATCATTTAAACAGTAGTCATTATACACAGACATCATTATCATCATCATCATCATTCTCTCTCTCTCTCTCTCACACCATTTCAATTCTAATCTTGTACAAATCGAGCTATTTTTATCCATATTTCCCCTGCCCCATAGCGGACAAAACAACACCCCTACCCTCACTCCAAACGCTCAAGCTCACGCAATAACCCCCCCAAAGCACCTCAACTTACCAAGTACAGAATAGTCAAATGAACCCAATCTAGCTTTTCAATCATTTAAGAAGACTTCCTTCTGGACCCAAGTCTTGCGGTACCAAAGATATTTCAAGCGTTCATCTTGCTTGCATTGGCGTTTTCCCAAAGCTTATTTATCATGCTACAGGTAGCAATTCCTTAAAGCTTATGGAGAGACCCGGAACATTGAAATGCGTAGTTTTTGGGACTGTTTTGGCGAGTCTTTTTGTGGATGTTTATTGGGGATTCAATCTAGAAGGCTCAAGTTGAGGGAGGACCCTGGTGAGAGTATCACCGTATTTTCGGTTCGTCCGGAGGTATATATAACTAGTGTTCACTATTTGAATCAATAGCTTCATCTTCGAGGTCAATTATGGTCAACAAGTAGATATATCTGTGAGAATACCAGAGAAGCAAACATACAACCTCCTAAAAGTTTGATCATAACACAATAGCAAAGAGTATACCACTAGCAGCTCTCAAAATATGTGATGAATGGTTTTTGAAACAAGTGATCAGGCTTCTTTGATTGACCGACTTCACTCAAAGATGTAAGCAAGCTTCTGTCTCGAATCAGTCTCTTTGAGAATCATACCTCCAGTTATTGGCCACATGCTATACTCCCTCGCGGATATCAGTTAAAGTCGCTGGACTACACTGTCATAACAGACACTATTCTTCTCTTACGGTTTGCATACCACTATATCAGAGCCTGGGCAACTCCTTGAGAACTCCTTGGTAGCTTTGACATTGGATATCTTACCTTCCATCACCATCATTACAGTTTTACGGGATTCAGTTATCCACAGATTTCGGATCACAGCATGTGGGAATCATGGCCCAAAGGTACTGATTCGATGATGATTTCTGTATCATCAAGTATTGAATTGAACCACAATCATACCAAGAAGCAAACACCAACTTTTATACCACAGTCAATGAATCCTCCAAGTGTCATGGAACAGGAACATATTCAGAAATCGAAATTAAAAGCATATGAAATTGTTTCCGTGAAGATGACGGAGGAGAATACTGTATCTAACTGAATAAACTTCAACTCTTATTTTCGCAGTACTGTACAAAGTCATCAATCTTCCACCGCAGATATCAATTATCTATTTAATTTCATATTTCAGATTTCAGATTTTGGATGTAGAGGGAGGGAGAGTGGATGTGGAGAGAGGGAGGAAGGGAGAGGTTCCCAATACTACCTGGTACCTAGTAAATATTGAGAGATGTAGGATAGGATAGGATAGGATAGGGTAGGTAGAGGGGGGACTTCAAATTTGGGAAGGGAGAGAGATTTCAGGTCATTTTGTATGGGTAGTTGAAGATGGATAATAGATGAATGATGGATGTTGGTAGATATATACTATACTGCAACCAACTCCTATCAATGTAAATGAGTAAGTAAGGGCTATTCTTATAATAAGAGTGAGAGTGAGAGTGTGAGTAAGAGTAAGAGTAAGAGTAAGAGTGATCTGTTGTTGAGTAAAGAAGTAAAGAAGGAATAGCACAGCACTCACACTCACACTCCCTCCCTCCCCGAATAAATAGTTGATTAGCGACCTAGTTCATTAATGGAGAATCAGAGCAGACAAACTATAAGAAAATTTGGTACTACTACTCAGTAGTGTATAGTCAAGACTAGTAGTCATGACAAGATAAGACAAGTAATGAATAAATAAACGAATTGATATCCTGCTGGTAAATCGAAAGTAGAAATGAATTAGGTGGTTTGTTCGAACCTCCCTCCTAGAACATTGAAATCTCTCAGTTCTAGAAATCGACCCGAGAAATTTGCTGTATGTGTGTATGTTGAGATAACCATCTGAAAATCGATCATAATTGACAGTTGCCTGTCTCTTTATCCATCTAGTCTATCCCAATAAATCGATCGATCTCTAAATCCCTCTGAATCCTCTTGATACAATATTACAGCACGAAAATAGCGCACTTTCGTCTCATCTATTGAGCATTGAGCACTTGCATCAATGTCACCAAGACCATCCATCTATCAAGATATTCCAAAACCCTTCTCGCGAACCCATACCAAACCATCCCATGCAAGCCCAAAACCAGCCCTCCTCCCATAACCCACCCCTTCCTTTCCAGCAATTTACTCCCCCACCCCACCCATGACCCCCTTTCCCCTCCCCTCCCTCTCCTTCCCCGCATAAACATCATACGCTTTCCCCGGTTTTCTCACCCCACCCACCCCCTCCCCATCCACATCCTCTACCACCATCTTCTCAATCTCACTTTCCTTTTTCGCATTCGCTTCATGCACATTCACATTATCGTCTATCTCTTTCTTTTCCTCGGTGACTTTAAGCCCCTCTTCGCCTTCCCAATCGTAATTACCGGCGCCTCCTCTCTGTACAAACATATCTGTTAGCAAAGGTCTATCTATTGCATTCCTTTCATCTCTCTCGGCACTGGTATTCAAACCCGAAGAAAAAAATCAATGCGTCCATCAAACCCCCGCAGAAAGCAATGCAATACGTACCCCGCCTTTGTAAACGATGCTCTGCATACTACTCCGTACGGTCCTAGGGGAGCTAGAGGGTGGCGCAGGGTTGATGGTTGGATTTGAGTAGGAGGTAGTTGTTTGAGTGAGACCCGAGGAAAGGAGGGAGGCGGGTGAGGTGAGATTGCCAGCGCCGCCGCGGCCGGTATCTATATGCGAGAGGGGTTAGTGGGGGGTTTGTGGGGGAGGGGGAAGATTTGCAGGAGAAGTGAAGTATAAGAAGGGAGAAGTAAACCAACGTTGATATTCAGGCGGATGCCCAGCACTAGCCACTGCGCGAAGAGCCTGCGAGATTAAAGAGGGAGTTTTATTATTATTTTTCGTTGCTATTGAAGCAGAAGACGAGGATTGGGCTTCGATGTCCTGCTGTGGTTTGGAATCGCATTAGCATGATGCTTGAAGTGTGGAGGGAGTGAAGGGGTAATGCCGACGATATGCAATTAGAGTGAGTACATGATAAATAGAACAAAAGGCAAGAAAACACAATATACACACCTCAACCCCCTCGCTTTTCTCCACATCTTGTTTACTATAGAAATTCCCCGCTCCACCCCGTCCTACTTTTTTATATACTTCTTGAGACATGTCTTCTCAATTTCCTCTCAATATTTCCTTAATTCCTCCCAATTCCTCAGCCTTGAACCCTTCGAATATATCGGTTCTCCAAAAGAAAATATATAGGAAAAAGAGAAAAAAGATATGTATTGGTAAAATCCAGATAAATCAATATAACACCAAATGATATTGATAAATACAAAATACTCAAATATCGTCGGTGTAGATGTTGAAATAAAGTATGTACTCGAATGTATCCCTACAAGTACCTCGTACCTAGTACCGGTAGTTGGTTTAAAATTGAAAAATGATGTTTTCTTGTCTTTGAGATTTTCCTTGAGAGATCATATCACATATCACATATCACATCATACCTATCATATCCATATCGTATCGTAGATAAGAAAGAAGATAACAACTTCTTCCCTTGGCCTTACATCTTGATTCTTGACTCGTTCCCTCCTCCGTCTCTAATCTCTAGATATCTGGGTGGTATAAATTGGTCTTATTCTAGATCTCTCAGATTTAAATCCTGAAATACCGATAGGAAAATGACTTGGCGGGGTAATAATATGAGGGGTACAGACAGGTACTTTCATAGTAAAAATACAAGTGTATTCCTATATATTTTTATATTGGAGTCAGAAATATACGAGTAGTATCACATCACCCTACCTATAAGTATACGAGTACAATACTCAGCCATGTTATACAAAATAGAAGATTATTTTTCTTTTCCCATTCCCATTCCCATATATTCTTCAATTAAGCCATCACATCACACCACATCACATCAAAATCTTTCTACAAAATATATGCGTGTGCATACAAACCCGCCTCCTACGTAGGTACACCCCCTCAACCTCCTATATCGGAAGGGAAACCAATATCAACAACCCCAACACCAGCATTCCCCAAATCCTTACGTGTAACATTCAGAGTTTTGACCCTTTTTCATTCCGGTTTCTAGTCAAAGCCCCAAAGGAAAGAAAGTTGTTTCTATACGCCTATTATAGTTTGTTGGCTGAAGATGATTACCTGCTTACTTACCCTACCTACTCAGATGATTCTAGATTTGATCAAATGCGGCTGTGTGTGTGACACTGTGGATATTATCAGGCGGCTTGGTTTGTTTTATTTCCCAGGGTATGAGAAGGACTTGTACAGTAGAAAGAAGAAAGAAGAAGTTGTCACATTGCAGGTATTATATATGGTAACGTCAAGTGTGGATGATCTTTCCTTGAGATATGCTCAGTTTGAAGATTTTCATGTGTGGAAGATGTAAGTTGCTATACAGTATCATTCTAAACTATTATCATGAGGTCAGATATAGGTTTTGATGCCTATTCGCAATAGTACTAAACTGCAGAATAGCTCATAATTTATCCCGCCCTAGAAATATCCAATATCAGTACTGTGGAGAAACATGGTGTGTGAAGCAAGGATGGATTAATAGGGGATGTTTCAATAGGTTATCTGTAGATGAGTATCTATAACAAGATCGATAATCTTAATTGATGTAGAGTAGACCTCTTGAAGCAGATTATAATGTTCTCGAGAGAGAGAGATCGATTATCAATTTGTATGAGAATCTTCAGTTATGGGAATTGTGTAGAAAGGTCCTCTCTCCTAATTATGAACTAAACGAAAGATACCCCGTTTCCCCGTTTCCCTGTCTATTACAGTAACAGTAACACTTATAAAGTTTTCGTTATACCAAAATTTCCATAGTATTGATCTAATTCCACAACCAGAGAAAGTTGTCGGTCAGAAACTCCCCAGATCGATCTATCTGTCTCTTCAGATAATATCCTTTGAGTAATATGAAGGAAACACCAACTGTTATCAATATACCTACTTGTATCTACCTATCTACTCGAGTAGTGGAATTACCCTTCATTAGTTCTTCATCTCTAATTGGTTATCCAATTCCAATTCATTCTTTAACCATCCTTCAATCATCCTTCAATCATCCATTGAAAACAAAACTTATACCAAAGGAGTTGAATATCGATGTCGATATCCAGCCCATCCAACTATCCCTCATCCCTCCCCCGCGCCCTGAAATAAATTAAAAACATCATAACCCAACCCATGCGAGCCATGCCATCCTACCCATGTAACCGCTGCAGAAAGCACTCAGTAAAGTAAGTAACTGATCGACCGAATGATTTTCTGGGGTTGTATTATAACGAATGAGAGATTGGGGAGAGGGGTCGTGGGTACTGTCAAAATCCTATCTCGGACGGTTGGAACTGATAATGGCATTATTAGATTTTTAAGACTGTCTTTTTATACATTTACACTTAATCAAATAACAAGAACAATTTAGATTTTAAAGACGGATCCAGAGATCTCATCCTTCCATCTTTGAGGAGTTTAATCTGTCATTCTGATATTTGGGGCTAAATCGTCCCAACACGATAGGCTACTAATCTGAGCATTTGTGGCGCAACTATCAAGGGGCTTCAATCCTAACAATGCTCCTTCCATCCCGTCTTCCTATATCTTCATCCTAGGTATTGCACTGTCACCACAAATTCATGTCACGCAAAAAGTCCTTGCCATGATACAGGCAAACAATCAAGAGCTTCCTGTGCCTGGTGGAGTTTTGATCGCTCGTGGAGCTACTGGATGGGTGTACAAGATCAATAATCGGATTGCCTTGAAAATTCCTCGTAAAGGTAGCCATGAGGAGTTCGCCTGTGAAGTCAAGTTCTACAATATCCTCGAATCACATTCTCCGCCATGTCCTGATATCTCCCGGAGTTTTTTGAGAGTTCCGAAGGGCAATTTCATGGCATTTTGTAGTGGTGGTTCCTTGGATCAACGTCTGCAGGAACACCAAACTCGGGGTGGAAAATCTCAACAATTCAAGATTCTTGGAATAAATAAGTGTGAGCCCCTTCATCTGGTTGAGCAATGGGCTGCAGAACTTTCCAGTGCAGTTGCGTGGCTCGAATCCCTTGGATACTGTCATACCGATATTCGGCCAGCAAATCTACTTTTTGACGAGCAGGACCATATTAAACTTACGGATTTTGATTGTTGGGAGGAGGTTGGGAGTCCCGCACTTGGCAGTGCTCCTCCTTGGGCGCGTGTTCTAGGTCCTGAGGCAGGAAGCGATTGCGGTTCATTTGGATATAACGGAGCCCGCGTTGAGCAGTTTGCGATAGGATCAGTCCTATACATGATGACTCGCGGTCATGAACCGTACGAGGATGGAACTTGTGCTCCTGAGGAGAGTTCCAACGTGGTCGATCTTCTCCAACAAATGAGATTCCCATCATTAGGTGAAGGGGTTTTGGACAACATTATCGACCGCTGCTGGAACGGTGGATATCCGCTTTTGAAAGATCTGGCCGATGAGACTAAGCTCTTGAGTAGGGCTCACAACATACCCCGCGCCGTTGCTCTAACGGAAGAATACTGTAAAGAGATTCAAGAAGAGTGTCAGCAGCTGATTGAAAGTGGATTACTTGAGGGGATAAAGGAAGGAAGCTTACTTATCTAAAGACTTTGTTCTATGGCCTGTGGTGAAGGTGGTGGGTGGAATTTGAGGGAATACACAAGAGAAAATTTCAACCAATTTTATGTCATTGCTGTATCCAAAAGGCTTCGGTATCGCAACTAGACCCTAATGTTGCTCTTGTAATCTATCTTGCTAGTGCTTGGGATTCAGAGATTTCAAACGATAGCCCTCTTGTCAAAACTCGTTAGCGCCTAGTAAATTTTGATCTAGTAGTCTTTTAATAATGTATTATTATCCGTCTTATAGAAACAGTTAATGTTGGTATCAACGGGAACACCTTTCAGGTCTACGATGGTAGAAAGCCCGACGAGTGTTCAGTGTTGATATCCATAAAAAAGCTTGTTGATTGCTATTCTACATGATGGGGACTATATGTGTATTGAGGTCCTTTCGCTAGTGCTTGCCCTAGCCTTTCGCTAGTACGGCGCCGGTGCTCCGGTACAGTAGATGATTATACCGACAGTTAATAATAAAAATAATATAAAGAGATATAAAGAGATATAAAACTCTAGAAAATTAAATAATTTAAATTTAATATTTCAATTTAAATTTGATTATCTAGTCTCTATTATTAGAAAAGTCTTTTTGCTCGAATTAAATTCGAGATAAAAAACGTTTTTTGAATATATTCCAATTAATAAATATATATTTTATATATGATTTAGAATTGAAATAGATATAAATGTAATTTGATAAAATTAAAAAATAATATATATAAAGCTCTCTTTCTAAAAGACTATTTAAATAATAAAGAGAATATTATTAAATCTAATAATAATAAATTTTATAAAAACTGAAAATACAAATATAATCTAATTTTTATTTTAGATTTTACTAATTTTTATTTCTATAGAAACGTTATATAAAATTTATAAAATTAAATTCTTTTAAAGATTTTATTTTAAATAATTTATTATTCTATTTCAGAATCTATCTTTATAATAAAAAAAATGCTAGTTTATTATAGATATCTTAGAATAATAAATAAATAAAATAATATAAAATAATATAGTAAAATCTAGTCTTTATCTTGTCTATTTTATATCTTAATATCTTTCTAATCTATAATTTATCTGTCTAGAAAAAAATAAGCAGCGATGATCTTAACCTCTACTGAGAGCGTATGCGTATGGTGAACAGGGGATAAGAAGGTCTAGAACTTTTCGGCGTGAGCTTGTGTTATTGTTGGAATTACTAGGTACTTGGAAAGCTGCAAATGTACTCTGTACAGTAATGATTCGGTTCTCGGCTGGGTATTTATTTGGGGGACGGCATGGCATGGATCGATTGATGTCTCGGCGCTGGAAACGAGGGGAAGTATGAGTGAGTAGTTACAGTAGGATATCTGGAGGGATTGGAAAGGAAAGAAAGGGAGGCAACAGAGACAGATAATATAATCAATGATAGCTGAGTTGTACCTTATTACATTACATATACAGTCCTTTGTATGCGCAGGCCATCTTAACATACACATCACCAGCCCAATGGAGATAGAGATGGAGATGGGAGGGATTCTTACCTATCTTGAGTTGGTAGATACGAGTAGATACAAGTTCATAATTGATTGAGTGTTTGAGTGGTTGATTTACAAATTATAATAGTGAGTTAATAGGGGTATCGGATAGAACATCAGATACGGAGGATAACCTCCTGAAATTATCTTTGTGATTTTTCATTATCAAAATCTGAATCAACGTCATGGCTTAACATTGGAGATTTAATTTCAAATGATCTTTCGGTGTAAATCTATCTATCTCACGATATCATTATTATTATAGAGTATTGTATGGTGATTTGTGCATGCATGCCTTTGAGTTGAGGGAAGGGGGTTCGAATTTATCGTAAAAGAGGCGAATATAATTCGAAAACAATCTACTCTTAGATGGGCCAGGTGAGATGGTCACGGTCACAAAGATTTTCCTTCTTGAACGAATCTACGAATCCAATCCATGTTCGAGAAACAAACAAAGAAAACCTCGAACTTCATCCCCTCTTTCGTTAAACCCTTTTATTCATAATGCATTCTCAATTGGGGAACAAAACATACTTGATGGCCTTGATTTTATTTCATCAAAGGGGAAAAAAAGAGTCGCTCATCTTCTTTTCCCTCTCAAAGCTCTTGATTTTGGCTGTTTCTCCTTTCTTATATTTCTTTGTTCTTCATTGATAGATTTGCTCATTACTTATTACTTATTGCTTATTACTCATTGACTGAAAACGATTCTATATCTTAAAGATAGAAAATGAACTTGAATTTGAGTTTGCATTTGCATTTCATTCAGAATTACATCTACCATTCATTGACCTTTCTGATTCCAAAACCCTTCATTTATTTATACCCAGTAAACATAAGCCAAAGCATAAGCCTAAGCCTCAAAGCCTTAGCAACATCACTATTCACTATTCGAGTAACCCGTCCATAAGTCCCTGTATAGAAAAACAGAGAGCTAGCTAAAAAGGAGACGAACAGGAACAGAAACAGACCAGATCAACAAGATCCTTGCGGGAAAACTTGTGGGAACTTCCACTTCCACTTTCCACGCTTAATGCTACGGAATCGGAAAGCTGACGAGAGACTAGACACATCAACTCATCAATCAACTCCATCAACTACTACACCGTACCATACCATCCGTCAATTGCTAACGTTTATCAACTTTCCATCAATTCAATCATTCACTCAAAACAATTCGTTGCACACACCTTCCCCAAACCCTACCTATCTATCTACACACCAAAAATCATCTCCCATTTCCAGGATACAGATAGAAACAACCTAGCCAAGTACCTAGCCAGCAACCTAGCCAGCACCTAAACTTGGTTATCAAGTTACCAAGGAGGCATTACCTTTTTTTTTGATCTTTCTTCTCCAAGAACCTTCTGGATATTTCATACAAATTCAATCGCTGGCACCAAACAAACAAATACATATCATAATCCATATTCTCTCATATTCACTTTATATTTTGCGGAGAAGAAGAATAACAGGGATATCGCTATCATAGTATCCCTTCATTATTGCTTTATACTTGTTAACTTCTTTTGCAATTCCATTCACCGAGAAACTCATCATCGACCACTCCGTGGCCTTTTACCCCCCCTCCCCCAACGGAAACTTGCGAAACCCCCGCCGGCCTGCATCGTCTCAGCCATTCAATCCTCTTGTCCATCCTGGATTCATCCTGGTTCTAAACATTTTATTTCTCCATTCCAGCTGCGACCAAATTTCCAAAAAATAAACTGAACTTCGCTTTCGCAGATTCCTTACCTGGTTGGCTCCTCTTATCAATATTTTTCCATGAAACCATCTACGACATGACATATTGATTGATTCACTCAAACTTTACCTCTTTCTTATGTGCTTTCTAATCACATTTACACTTACCCATCAACGAAAACAATCTCACTCGCCTACAATAACCACGCGGACAATAGCTTGAGCTCGAACCCGACCAATTTACGGAAACCAACTTCAATATTCTTTCCAAATTATTTTGTCTTGCCCTCATATTGTTGCTTATCATAGCTTCGAGGATTGAGGGTCATCTTTCCCAATTTGAAAGTGGAACAAAGGAAATAAATATTATCAACATGGCCTCTTCTAAAGTGATTACCCTGTTTCCCTCATCACATACCAACGCATCTATTTATAGGAGCACTGCTGATCATTCCCATCTTTCTCATAGGAAATTCAGCATTCCTCGAGACCTATCGGTCAAGTACGACTTACATTACCTACAAATTTGAGTTCCTATCCACGACAATCTCATACAAGAAATCATTCCCATTCAGTATCTGGAGGATCCCTTATACCAAACAGCAGAGTGACTCGACGCAAAAGTGTATCTTCGAACGTTAGTAATGTTGCAGCGATCGTAGCTGCAGCAAAGGAGGCTGGTGATAACCCTTTGGCAATGCCAATTTCTACACGAAGAGCAACAATGTCCAAAAATGTCTCGAGGCCCGGCCCTATGGGTAGCTTACCATCTCCACCATCGAGTCTGCCAACACATAGAATAAGGTTGAATTTGATGGCGAAGTTAGGGGGAGAGAGTGCAATTGACGACGATAACAATGACGAGGAAATGGATGAGAACGAAGAAGACGATCTTACAGAGAGCGGAATGAGAGGAATGCGTGAAGGATCGCAGCTTTTGAAGGACGGCAAGAAGGCCAATGCCAATGATCTCAGGTGTGACAAGTGTGGAAAAGGATACAAGCACAGCAGTTGCTTGTCTAAGCATTTGTTCGTGCCCAACATCCTTTCCTATCTTCCTCCACATGGGCTTCATCGCGGAAGCTTTGTATGGAGTGTTATGAACAGTTATTAACTTTTTGTTTGCAGATGGGAACATACACCAGAATGGTCTTATACCTCGAAGTTATTGATCTCAAAGCATCAACAAGTGCAGCTGCTAGAAGCGGCTTCCGTCCTTGTCGGAATGAACCAAGATGCCGCCGATACCCCACCAGATTCTGCAAAGGATTTCCAAAGTGATGATCAAGATTCTGCGTCTCCGGCGGCGTCTGGTTCGGATGACCATGAGAATGATCGTGCCAGCTCTGCGGATACGTCACCGCCACCAGCAGATATGCGTCTCGCATACGGTAGTGGTTCGTACAACAGACCAAAGAGGTACATTGGGCATAGCGCATTATATGGACTGTCGGACAGGTTACCTTACGGTGGAAGCGTTCCAGCCACCTTTGGTCATTCCTGTCATCAAAGTCATGAGCGTCGTCCCCCATCCTCTGGCATGAATGGCAGTCAAGGAACTGAAGGATTGACCGCAGGGATCGAGTCACTTACTTGCGGCCTTGCAAGTCCTGGTACTCCCCGAAGTGGACCACTCATTCCAGAAGACGCTCCTCCCGTACCTGAAATTCCAGCGCAATATTTGACTGATCTCTCGACGAGTTTCACTCCTAGCCTTCACCCAAGGCAGAGAGAAAGCTTTGCCAGGGAAAGCTATACCAGAGGAAGCTACGACCGACATCAGATTCATGGATATGAAGATGTGCAAATGGAGGATGGCTATGATAGTGTTGCAGATGAAGATGATTATGATCAGCATTCCAGATGTCGTTCTGATGAAGACGATGATGGCGTTTTTGGACTCATGGAGGAATAACATCCACCAAAGCCATCTGTACCTATTGAAGCAGCTCTTCATTTGGTCATTGTGAATCTTTCCTTCTCCTGTAATAGCAACATAATATTTGTATCCAGCGAGTTAAGTCTCCGCAGTCGATTCTCAGCACCAATGGGTGGATATTTGATCCACGGAGGTTAAATCTGGGGATCGAGCTGATATAGCAAAGCCAATACAAACAAATGACTTCAATGTACCAAAACTCAATAATAAGATAAATGCCTGATTCAGAAACCTTTTTCCCTTTGATTTGGACTGTGATGAAAATGACGATGGTGAGGTTGATGTTGATATAGTGAGAGTGATATATCGAGGTACAATGACCGATCAAGTGCGAAGGTACATGTACCTATTAGAGAGATTTGATTTCCCTTAAGATAAGATTGCTTGGCTTGAGGTCCATTCCGTTGCGTGGAGATAGCACTTGCTGGACATTGGTTGGCCCGTAGGGTGCGATATGATATCTGGGATAGAGTTTTGATATAAGAAAAAAAAGTTGGCAAATAATTGTATATGTACTAGGTAGTAATAAGCAAACGAAAGAAGCAAGTCATTGAATATAACAGATGAAGAACAATCTTTGAAAAAGCAAAAGCAAATGAATGAATATCTATTGATTATAACAAAAGCATATTGTATTATATTTAATAATAAGCAAATTGAAGCAGTGTGAATTGTTTAAATGGAAAGAAATATCAAACAATCTGGAAGTGGATACACATAGCGAAAAAATGGAGGAAAAAATAATCGTGATTGGCAGTGGGCACGAATGATTTGTGCAAGGAAGTTGGATGAAGAGGGAGGGGAGGGTTCACCCACCAGCCAGTGGTTGTTGGTGACGTCTGTGTTGTCCAAGCTTAAGCTGTATGCAAAAGCAAGCAAGCAAAAATTCATTATTATCAGCACAGCAAACAAACTTCTATTTACTTTTACGAAAAAAGCATTTGATAATACAAAAAAACCAATTATTGAAATTGAAAAACTTGTTAGGTATTACTTATAAAGAAAGAAGAAAATTAAGGAAAGGTAGAGAATCTTGTTTTTAAAGCAATTTTAAGCGCGTGTGCTTTTATCAGTGACGCGTTGGGTCTGGATTCTTCTGTTTGTTTATTGAGTGTTGGACAGAAAAGAGGACTTTTTTTTAAAGTTAGGCTGGAGGGTTCGATCAACGGAATTTCTTGCTTCTTGATTGATTAGGCTTGGATTCCTAAGATTCGATTGCGCGATACGATATTGAAGGGATAAAATCGAAGGCAACACGATACGAAACAATACGAGAATCAAGGAAAGGATGGCGCCAGCAACGAGATCATTGAGAAGAGATAAGGTGGAGAGTTTAGTAGATAGCACGGAGGCGGCGGCAGAACAATTGCAGAATGGCGAATTGATGGCTCTGGAGACGGTGGCCGATTTGGATGAGTATTATGCAATGAGGGAGAAGAAGAAGGAGAAGGGACAGAGGATGATTGATGATGATTCGATTTCCTTTTCGGCTTTCGACTCGCAGCGGAAATCAAAGGTGCCGGAATGGTTGAGGTTTCCGTTGGTGGTGGTGCTTAGTCTGGTGGGTAGTGGGTTGGCGTATAGTTTGAGTGCGAAATATTTGGATGGAGAGGATTTGGGGAGGGTCAGTAGGAGGTTGGAGGGCTGGGATGAGTTGGGGGTTTTGTTTGGGTGGAGGTCGATGGAGTTGGCGTTGGGTTGGTTTGGTAATTATGATGGGTATGATCTTGCAGCTTTGAGTTTGTTGTCTCATGGTCCTCCGGTAAGCTTACAGTTTTCTAGAGCTGAGCTAAGTTTTCAGTTTTCAGCTCAGCTCTATTGGCGCGATTACACTCGTGTTTTCGATGAATATATACTAATCTATTTGGGTATGTAGTTGTATCTTCTAGGCACTTTCTATGAAGTTGGCATGAAGACTGTCTTATCATCACTTCTGATCGATACTCTCACAACTTATATTCCATTCCGATTGCTTCGACCCCTCTCTCCTGCTCACGCAGACTCCCCATCTGTCCCAAATCGAGATATTACTTCAGATCTTCCCGTTCAGATCATCACAACACTCCTCGCGGCATCCATCTACAGTGTCACTCTCTACGGCGCATACATGTCCTACATGCCACTCTACCTTGCCACCTATTTCGAAGGTATCCCCTCCATCGCCGCTGCATACTCGGCAACTCCCACTTCTCTCCTCCCTATGACATTACTCCTCGGTCTCGCAACTCGTTCATTTATCTTCACACCAACTACAGCTACCAAATCCTCTGACTCCATGGCACCGCCGTTCAATCCTGAAACTGCTACATTGGGAGATACTATCTGGTGGAACCTGTGGGGTTGGTCGAAGAAAACCAAGATGGTTATTAAGAGAACAGCTACTTTGATGACAGTTACGGGTGTTAACACTTTCTTGCAAACATATATTACGGTCGAGGGGGTGGAAGCCGTGGGTGCGGTGGCGTATTCGGGGGTTTGGGTTGTGGCGGCGGGTATTTGTGGGGGTGTGCTGGGATTTGTGGGCGCAGTTTAAGGTTCTGGTCCTGGTGGTTGATGCAGGATGTGTGGCTTAAGGTGGATGGGAGGGGGAATATACAGGGGGGAGAGAAGAAAGAATTGTACATGGAAGATGACGCATACAGCGGATCTCGCCATTTCTTCGATCTGGAATGAATTTGTTGATCTTGCAGTGAACAGCTTGAATGCGAGACTTTTTGGGGTTTTCATTGGCACACGAATTAGGGAAGACTTGTTTACTTATTACTTATTGAAGTGGTCACTAGGTGTCAGGGGATAGGAAAGTAATCACATAAATAGCTACAAGTAACAGCTCGAGATTGTGATGATTATTGTATTGTTTAGCTTTGAAGCAAAATTATGTTTTATGATACACGGATACATGGCAGTCCATCCATATGCGATATCAAAGTTGTTTCTAAATATAGATATAAATTGATTCACAAACAAAGGGGTCGTGGATCTAAGTAGGGGTACATAGATTTGAGTGGAGTACAGAAGTGAATCTGTACGGAACATGCATACAAAACCTTCTGTCATTGTACTGATACACATAGATACTTGTAGATACATGAGGGCAAATGGTGCAACTTATTCATATAAAAGTATTGTGATATTAAATTAGTCTAGCTCAGTATCTGAAAGGAATAAATGCCTGCTTACCATTTCATCTTTAAATGGTATTGTGTTATCGTGTGACCCATGGCCAAACCGCAATCTCAATCAGAGAAGGGGAATAGGGAAAAGGGAAAAGGGTAAAGGGTGAAAGCGCAAAGTGGGAAGTCAGTACAATCAAATCATTAGGATAATCACTGGCATAATTGAAAATACGGACCTTATCCATATATATCATTTCATCATTTCCCCCAATTCAACACGACACGAGGGAAAGTGGTTCGCCCAGTTCAGTTCAGTTCAAGTCCAAATCAAATTCCCCAAGAAAGTTGATTGTCAGCTTCACCAAGTTCAGCTTCGTTCGATATCTTGTCTCTGATTTCTTGTGTTCTCTTTCTGTTGTATTATCTGCATATCTACTATCTGCATTCCAAATTCACCTTAACTTATCTTGATACCCTTTTGCATATTTTATATTTTATAATAAGATGGTACCTATTTAGGCTTTCGTAATACACCAACCAAGAACGAGGGTTTTGTTTATTAAATTGTCTTTGATTATTGATTGTTCTTTGATTAGAGATCAACTTTATTCTGTCCTTGTCATTTGCCATCCAATCTTATTATCATTTATCTCACCACCGTATTGCGAAACTCTGAACTCTGAACACTGAACTCTGAACTCTGAGCAACTCCTTCCTGGTCCAGACTCCAGAGCCGCATCACATCGCGTCGCCGATCAAACCAAAAATCAAATCAAACAACTTCCGACCCCAAAAAATAAAAAATACAAAAATACCATTCAACACCAACACCAGCACCCCTCAAAAATGGCATCAGATGCATCAAGAAGGTGAGTTTTTTCATAAGGCTTTCTTTTCCCCCTTTCTTTTCCAGTTACCATCTTACTTTCCCCATCCATCCCCATATATAAATACAGCTTCGATCTACTTTTAGCTACTTTCGGTAGCTTGGTTTTATTTTCCCCTCCCCTCCACAAAAAGCACGTGCATTTTTATGTTAGTTGCAGTGCAGCTTGCTTGCTTTCTCTTTTGCTACTCCTACTTCCTAATTATTCCCGCCGCGCGCGAAATATGGGGGACAAGAGCAGAGCAGAGTAGTACTACTAGAGCAGAGCCAAAATAAAATAAAAAGGACTCAGCTCAGGCAAATCAATCATCGGGAAAAGAAAGGCCAAATCCCCCATCCTCCCCCTTCCCCTCCCCTCCCCTCCCCCAAAATACAAATCCAAAAGATACCAGTACTGCCAATGATCGCAAAAAGGGCGCTAGGCAAGGATTTGGATTGGTGATGATATCGCGCTTTAACTTTACCGATGGTTTTTCGCGTTCAACGACAGATTATTGATTAATGCTACTACTTACTGTTATCTCATCTTTATCTTTTCTTACCTTTCATTCACATTTGACAATTTGGACATTTGACGACAAAAACCTGGAACGGGATTTTTTACTAATTTGATTTTTTTCTTACTCTCTTTTAGATGGCTTGATGAGTCAGGTATTTGGAGTTGTCGTATCAAGGTCCCACCGCAGTCGCATACCGATTATTCAAGAGCGATTGATGATAATAATTTCAACTCCAACTCGATCATGATGGCGGCAAACAATTCAATGGATAACGCCTTGGAGATGACAAGTCCTAGGCGCAAGGATAGGCTTGCGGAAACGATACAATCGATGGCAAACTTGAATAGTAATATCGAGAATATGGAATTGCCCATGGATCCGGATGCACAGGCAACAATTACAGACTTTCTCGATTTTACGGAATATCTACCTTCTGATCTGGTTCGGTCAATGGCACTCATTTCCGACCTCGATGAGAAATATACCAATGCGTCATTGAATATAAATGACTTGACGAAGACCTATGGTCACCTTCCCGACCTACCTGCCGATACAAAACCCGACCCTATCTCTCTGCGAAAGAATATATCTACATGTTTGATTGATGCTATCAGCGCTCGCACGTTATCGTTTGCAGAAGCATCGCATGTGGTTGAGAATGTGGAAAGGCATTACAAGAGAGCGCAGAATATATTGGCGAAGCTTGAGGCCATGGCCGAAAATTATCCGGAATCTCGAGAATCAAGTCCTGTCCCGCAGAAATCCAATTCACCCGTCGCAAGTCGAGCTCCAGGAAAAATACTTTTGCGGACTGGAGATTTTGATGGTCGTGGAAATATGCGGATACGCAAACGACGCGCGCCAATCATCACTGTTCCTGGTGAGGTCATGGCTCCATATGAGCTCGACTACGATTCTTATGATTCGTACAGCGATGAATCGGAATCGGATGCTGGACCACCTACACCACATCAACAGACACCTGCGCGATCAGTATCAGTGAATCCTAAGATCAAGCTGAAGGTCAAACCATCTAAGAAAGAGATATTGCCCAAGATCCCTCGAGCACCAAGACCGCCTGGAGTTATGGGAACAAATGTACATAGTGCGGTTGCCGGCATATCGACGAGTAATGCGTTAGCGAAGCTTCAACCGCCACCACCGGATGCGAAAGCGGGCACCGAAGATGCGCCCTGGCTTCAGTTGACCGCATGGGAGCTTGCTAAGCTCAGAAAGAGAATGAAAAAGAATGCGGTATGGAGCCCGAGCGATACAATGATCGCACGTGAATTAAAACAATTGGGACGAGGAATTGAAGCGTATCGTGCTGCAAAGAGTAAGGCTGACGCTGCAGGACAGCCTTTCGACCAACCGGGACCCCCCCAACTCACCGGGAAGACAGTCATTGCCGAAGGGGCAATAAGTGCGGACGCTCTCGGCTCGGATGAGATACAACTTAGCAATCGTGGTATGAAGCTCAATGAAGCTAAGAAATTGAAACGAGAAGCCGCTGCCAAAGAACTTGCTAAATTGGCGGCCGAGGAAGCAGAAGAATCAGTACGAAAGATGACGGAAGCTGCAAGTACCGTAAAGAGCCTTTTCAGGAATCACCCTGAGGAGGAAAAGAAAGAGAAAGAAAAAGCTCCTACTAAAACACCAAAGAAGCCAGTATCGAGAAAACGTAAACGCGAATCAACGATTGAAGATGTGAAGGCAAACGGCGAAGCGAGCTCATCAAATGTAGATGGCACAGCTGACGCAAATGAGAATCAAGGTGATAAAGTAAATGAAGCAGAATCTTCGAAATTAGGTAAGCCTCAATTCAAAAGAACGAAGACTGAAACCCCGGTTCCGCCCCCTCATTCCATCATCACAAATGCCACTCCCCGCGCAACTCCAGCCCCGACTTTGGAATCTGCCGTCTCCGTGGCATCTTCCATTGCTCTTTCAGCGCCTATAGATACACCAACTGCTTCTACTCCTGTTGTTCCAGTGTCGGCTACATCACCACCAAAATCTTCGACGCCAATTCTTCCCCCGGGTGCGGAAAAGAAGGAAGCTAAGAAGGAGGCAAGAAAAGCTGCAGCTGCAGCAAAAAGAGAAGCCAGGGAAGCAGCTAAAGCAGCTGTGGAGGCAGAGAAGGCTGAAAGAGGAGATAAGGTTGAGAAGAAAGAAGAGAAGAAACCAGACAAGGTGGAGAAAACAACTAACACACGTGCCACTCGAAAAGCAACTCCTGTTGCTCCACCAGTTGAACCTACTACACCAGGACCAGCACCAGACCCTCTTCCAGCTAAGAGACCAACATCTTCTCGTGGTAAAGTAGCGGCAGCAAAAGAAGCAGCAGCAGCCGCCGCCGCCCTCGCTATAAAAGCCGAAGAACCAGTCCCTGCTGCCCCTACTCCGGCAGTATCGGGCCGTACCAGACGTACCAGCACTGCTCGTAATACCCCCGCTCCAGAAACTCGTCAACCAAGCAAAAGAGCAAAGAGACCTGCTCCAGGCGTTGTGACCATCGGTACAGAGGGTGGTTCCACGGCTGTAAGCGTTGGAAAAAGACGAGCAGCACCACGCAAAAAGGCAGGACAGAAAAAAGAAAAGAAGGATGGGAGGGAAGGTAGTGCAGTTCAGGAGGTTTTGGATGAGGTGGATGATGATGGGAATCTTATTGATCCGAATGAACCGAGGTATTGCACATGTAACCGTGTTAGCTTCGGCACGATGATTGCTTGTGAGAATGACAATGTAAGTAGATTTTTCCCTTCCTTTTTGGGACGTGTGGTGAAGAGGGCTGACTGACGATTGATGAAACTAGTGCGAAAAAGAATGGTTTCATCTGGAATGTGTGGGTCTAACAGCTACTCCTCCAAGGACTACAAAGTGGTATTGTCCGGATTGTAGGATTATTTTGGGGATTGGTGAGAAGGGAGAGGTTAATGCTAGGGGGAGAAAAAAATAATGGGAAGGGTTAGGAAAGGAGGGGAAGGGGAAGGAGGAGGCTTGGCTTGATTCTATATTTGTAGAGATTTGCTTGGTTGCTTGCTTGGCTGGGTTTAGTTTGCCTGGTTAGTTAATATGGAGTTTATGGCTTGATACTGATCACAGTTTTGATTTGGGCAATGGATCGATGGATGGTGATGGTGATGGTGATGGAGGTTATGAATACATATATGGTGTTTTGTTATAGTAATTACAGTGCTCTTCGTCGTCGGCTACTCGTGGCTGAGATTGTATGATTTTGTGGATGGGGTGGGATGGGATGGGCGGGAAGGGGAGGTGCGGGGTGAGGTGGAGTGTGATAGGTTAGGGTGTGGTAGGGTCAAATAAGCTGGGTTCGGCTGGCCTTATCTTTTCTTGTCTTGTCTGGCGTAATGTGAAGTGGAGTGGAGTTGGCTTGGGAAGTTGGGTGTTGAGATGTTGGGTGTTGTGTATGTGTATGTATGATATGTGTGTGTGTGTATAATATGTGTATGGTAACTAGAGCCAATGCCAAATCCAAATCTATATCTAGATATGGAGTGGGCTGGGCTGGAATCAAGTGGATTGAAGTGGATTGAAGTGGAGTGAGAGAGAGAGAGAGAGAGAGAGAGAGAGAGAGCAATTTAGGATCTATTACGTCTATTTAGTCATTTATTCTTTTGTATGGTTATGGTAGGGTTGTGTGTATGTGTGTTTACAGTGATGTAAAGGAGTAGATTAGGGTTTTGGCGGGAGGGGGGGTAAGTGGGTGTGAGTAGTGTGTGGTTTGAGGATTGGGTTGGGAATTGATTGAGAAGGAAATTGAATTTGGAAGGGGGCTGATGGTTGAGGACTGAGAAGGGGATTTGAGATTGAATTTGGGAGGGGGTTGAGAAGGGGATTGAGGGTTGTATGGTATGGTATGGTATGGTATGGGGTAATGTGGTTGATTGATTCATTGATTGATTGATCCACAAATCGCAATAGGCAACAAGCAGATAGATGGTTTATGAGATATGAGATATGAGATATACAAGTCAGAACGCAGAATTCACATTGGTGGTCAAGTACAGAGCAAGGCTAGCTATCTAGCATGCATCTATCCCCAGGTTTGATATTGGACTTTGTGTCATTCTTGATGTAACTTGTCACGGTAAGCCTAGCGAGTGATTTTGTGAAGGGTATTGAAATTTTTGAATCTTGCCTTTTGCCTTTTTGCTATTGTTATATCGCGAGATTTCTTAAGGTAGGCTAATATAATTATTGTGATACCAAAACGCCCTTTTTACAAAACCATAAACTCCATCTTCCCTAACAAAGATTGACTTTTTCGTCGTGTTATTTTGGTAAATCTTCATAACTTTGCTGGTCCAGGCACTGGCGATTCGAAAAAGATCGGATAGCATAGTTCTTGTCGTTTCCAAACCAATTTCTGATGGCCATCCCCGAGCCATACGTGATGACAAACTCAAATGCGGGTATTCTCATAGGCCCCTCAATCATCCATCTCCATATCATCATCTTCCTCCATACCACCATCAACCAATTCCTTGAGCCTGATCTTCTGCTTTCCAAACACACTTCTCTGCTGGCTCTCCAAATCCAACTCGTTGACCTCCTCTCCCAACTCTTCAAGTCTCTTCTTCTCACTTCCGCGCATCTTGGGCAACAAGTGCTCATTCTCGGCCACCAATTTTCTGTTGGCTTCTCTCTGTCTAGCGGCATTGCCTTCCATGCGCTTCTTGTAAAAGACACGTTCGCGACGGGCCCGGACCTCGGCAACACGTTGCATGGCTTTGAGGGTGGTGGCGATGTGTTCGCGGTTGTATCGGACGGGAACGTTGCGGCGGGCGGAAAAGTTGAGGGTGCTGTCGACAACCATTTCTTTGCCGGCGGCTTTGCGGAAGGCTTTGGTCCATTTGAGTTTGCGGGGGTTACGCTTCATTTTAAACTAAAAGAGGGAGATGATTAGTTGAGGATTGGGGAATAGAGAGATGAGAGAGAAAGTTGCGATCTTGAGACTGAGGGTCTCTGGCGTTCTGGATTGAGAGTATGGATTGGACTAGATGGACGTACGTTCTTGTGGCATTTACTGCGACAGAATCTAAATGTTCGCGCATCGTTACGGATGAAGGTTATGCCCTTGCTTGGATAGCAGGGCTGCGAGCAAAAATAACAAGTTTCGATTCTATTGATGGGTTAGCAGAGTTTAAAGGTTGTCATAGATCAATCAATTCATTATCAAAAAGAGATTGAAATGCGATTGAGATCCGAAAATTCAATAATGGAAAATAGAAACTGTGATAGAAAAGATGATTTCGTACCTCATGTTGACGGTGTTATATTCTAAACCAGCTTGTCGTTATGCTGGATTGTTCGATGAATGGGTATTAACTTGAGAAATTTTGGAGGATGGCATGTCCGACTTTTTTTCATTAGCGCCATCCCGATAAGATAATGATGGCACGTGCATACAATTTTGTAATGACCCTTCGAAACAATCTTCACTTCCCTCATTTGACTCTATTGGTTTGCTTTTTTCTGCATATCCAAGGAAATCTTTGACTCCTTCTTGTACTGTATTAATACATTCGGCTTCATCAAAACACATCAGTCTTTAGTTGATGTGATATCCCTTCATACTCAATAGTTACCTTCTTGGTGGCCAATCACAGTAGCGAGAAATTTGTATTTTGATATTTTCCATTAAATTATCACCAAGCTCGACATCATTCACAGATACCATGTCTCTCTATTACGAGGCAGCTGAAGTTCTTACCGCCCCTAGTAATCAAGGCGGTAGCTTGAGATCAAGAATTTTCAACAAGAAAGATTTAAAATCACAACCAGCACAGGTTTATGCTCTGGCCATAGAAACCTGCAAGTGGAGTCCTATTCTAAAGGAAGTTATCGAAAATGCCGATTTATTGCGTTTAGAGCTAAAGGTAAGTTTGTCCGTTCATTAAGAATCTGGAGTAGTTGCTAATCTTGTTTATAGTTGACCTCAGCCATGTCTCTTCTGCTCGTACATGACTTATTGCTGGCCAAAAGAGGAGTTGCTTTGCCAGCCACTCATGGATTACGAGCCTCTGTTGAACGTCACAGGGGTAGATTAACATCCGAGTTGACCAAGGCAAGACTTCGAAGGAAAATGAGTACAATCGAAGTTCTAAAAGCCCATGTCGAAACTGGTCAGGAGAATGTAACAGATACATCCGAAGCACCTTACCCTCGTTGGATTCGCATCAACACTTTAAAGACTACTCTTGAGGACCAACTCGAATCTACTTTCACTGGATTTGAACGTGCAGCAACAATTAATGCCGTTAGACACCGGGGTTCTAAACGCTTATATATCGATGTTCACATACCAAATCTCATTGCTATATCTCCAAACACTGATCTTTCCAAGAGTGAAGCATATAAGTCTGGGGCAATCATCTTCCAGGACAAAGCATCATGTTTTCCGGCATACCTTCTTGACCCTCTTGCTGAAGATGGTAATATTATTGACTCGTGCGCAGCACCTGGCAACAAGACTACTCATATTGCCGCTATTCTGGTCGATCGACTTCCGGCACCAGAAGAATCTACTCAGGTTATTCACGCCTTTGAGAAGAATAAAGGACGAGCTGAAACTCTGGATAAGATGGTTACCTTAGCAGGGTCGAATGCGTTCACTACTCTTCATGCCGAACAAGACTTCTTGAAGACTGATCCCAATTCCCGTGCATACAAGAATGTTGGTGCTTTGTTATTGGATCCGAGTTGCTCGGGAAGTGGTATTGTCGGTAGGGATGATATGCCTGAGTTACATCTACCAGGTACCAAGCAATTCAACATCAAACCTTACAGTTATAAAAAGCAGCCGAAGAAGGCACCGGAGCCGGTGGAAACAAACAAGAAACGAAAGCGTGAAGATGATGGAGATGCGTTAGAAGTTTTGGTTGATGATGACGGTGCCATCACTGCCGTTGATACCGAGGCCGAGCTCAAGTCTAGGTTAAAAGCCCTTGCAGTATTTCAACTCGAACTTCTTCTCCATGCATTCAAGTATCCTGCTGCCCGAAAGATCACCTACTCCACTTGTTCTATTCATGCCGAGGAAAACGAATCGGTTGTTCAGAAAGCTTTGGCTTCTGATATCGCAAAAGAAAGAGGTTGGAAAATTCTCCGTCGTGATAATCAAATCAGAGGCATGAGGGAGTGGCCAATTCGAGGCTCTGTGGAAGCATGTGATGGAAACAAAGTAATTGCGGAAGGATGTATTCGAGCCAACAAAGGGGATGAGCATGCTACTATGGGATTCTTTTTGGCAGGATTTGTGAGAGACCAAACATCAACCGTTGATCCTGAAGCTGGTCTCTTGCGAGACGAATCTGGGAATCTTGTGCGTGATTTGATGGGAATACCGGTCATAAATGGTCAGGATGATGAAGGAAAATTGAAGATCGAGGCCCAAGTGGAACCTGAGGAATCTCAGGATCTCACACCGGAAGATGATGATGAGTGGGGTGGTATCGGGGAAGAGGTTGCACCGACTGTTAAGGGGAAAAAGGAAACGCAAGCAGCCCCGGTCGTAAAGAAGGAGAAAGCCAAGCCTAACAAGGAGAAAGTCAAGCCTGACAACGAAAAAGTCAAGATCAACAAGGAGAAAGTCGAGCCTAGCAAGAAGAAAGCTAATCTTAACAACGAGAAAGCTAAGCCTGACAATGTGAAAGTCAAGCCTGACAATGAGAAAGTCAAGTCTGACAACGAAAAGATCAAAATCAACAAGGAGAAAGTCGAGCCCAGCAAAAAGAAAGCCAAGCTTAATAACGAGAAAGCCAAGCCCGATAACGAAAAAGTCAATATCAACAAGGAGAAAGTTAAGCCTAACAAGCATTCTCATGATGCCATTAAGAGGCGTGTCAATATGAGTGCAAAGGATAACAAGCGACAAAAAACAAAGCGATAACTTAGAACCTATAGCGGAGAGGATTGTATCTTGAAGTAGAAGGATGTTGTGGGATGCCTATCGTCGCCTTTATATAGTGATAGGATACGAATGAACATACGATCTCTGTCGTTTCATATTGAATTCAGTTGCTTTACATTTGCCCGGAGACTAACTTTCGGATATGCCCATCCTCCGCTACGGACATACGGACACCGAAGGAAGATGTAGAGTAACCTTATCTGATTCGAGACCAAAGATTACTAATAAGCTGATTTCTTCACGTGCTTGGGAAAATTCTGCAGAAATGGCGCTGGTGATAAAGGTTACATTCGGCAATGCCAAGATCCCTCCGGTTATGTCGGCATCTACTAGACCATATATCATGGATGTTTACCTGAAGTTGGCCTCAACCCCATTTGCATAACCCAGGCTAGGCTCGCTAATCTACCCTGATCCACTAAAGGGCGCAATGTTTATACATATCGGAAGCCTCGAATACCGGTAGGGCGCCCGTTCGACGGGTGCCATGCACAATATGGATTAACCAGCATAAATCGCATAAAAGGGTAATATGCTACAAGCCGGATGTTCAATCAGCGGCTTCGATGAGTTAAGATATGATGCTTTGGAAATTAATTTTTTCTTGATTATTATCATATATAATATAATGTATGCTGTACGCCGCATATTTTGAGGATATTCAACCAAACATTCGTTGTTCGACTTCAACTTCGACAGGGATCTAATTACCCAAAACCAATATCATCCCACGACGACATTATCATGGCTCGAACTTCAAATTCAGATTCTTTGACAGCAATGGATATAGAAAGAGATTTGGAAGAACAGAAAAATGTTCAGAAGAAGGCAAGGCATTGGGAATTGGTTTTCGATCAGATACATGTCACGCCAGAAGTTCTAAACTACCCATATAAGGGTTCGGGGACGGAAGCAGATCCTTTTGTGGTTGAATATATTCCGGGTGATCGAAGGAACCCGATGAATTTTCCCATGTTGAAGAAATGGGTCATCACTATACTTCTTGCATTTGTAAGCTCTCCCCTTTTCTTCACCAAGGTTTCGGTTATTATTCTCCGAAGCTTAAATTGTGTAACCAACGGATGTGAAACATATCATCCTTACTCATACTAACTGTTTGCACAGGCGACACTAGCAGTATCTTTTGTTTCTTCGGCGTATACTGGTGGTGTTGAACAGATTCTCGAAACTTTTAATGTCGGTACGGAAGTCGTTACATTAGGGGTCTCACTCTTTGTGTTAGGTTTTGCTATCGGACCGCTTATTTGGGCTCCTCTATCAGAATTGTATGGCCGCCAGGTCCTATTCATAGGTACTTATGCTATGCTCACTGCTTTCAATGCTGGAGCTGCCGGAGCACAAAATATCCAGACGCTTTTGATCATGCGATTTTTTGCAGGAGCTTTCGGTAGTTCACCCCTTACCAATGCAGGCGGTGTTATTGCAGATATGTTCTCTGCTGCTCAACGAGGAGTTGCCATGAGTATCTTTGCTGCGGCACCATTCTTGGGTCCTGCCATTGGTCCGATTGTAGGAGGATTTTTGGGAGAAACAAAAGGTTGGAGATGGGTTGAGTAAGTTCTCTCTGCTTACACCAATTACTTAACGTAAGGTTCTAATGATGTCAATAGGGGACTTATGGCCATCTTTACCGGAGTCCTTTGGATTATTGGTGGCCTCACTATCCCGGAAACTTATTCGCCAGTCATTCTTCGCCGTCGAGCCAACAAGATGTCATCTTTGACCGGCAAAGTCTACAAGTCCAAAATGGAAGTCGATCATGGCTCGAAATCCATATCTGCGGAGTTCAAAACGGCACTCTCAAGACCTTGGATCTTGTTGTTTACAGAACCTATTGTGTTATTGTTAAGTTTATACATGGCAATCATATACGGAACCTTGTATATGATGTTTGGAGCATTCCCCATTGTATACCAAGTACAACGCGGTTGGAGTCCTGGTGTTGGAGGGTTGGCTTTCTGCGGTGTGGCGGTTGGAATGATAGCCGCAGTTATTTACTCACTATGGGATAACAAACGGTACAACGCTACAGCCGCGAAGCATAATAACGCCGCTCCACCCGAAGCTCGACTCCCACCTGCCCTCATCGGCAGTATTTGTTTACCAGTTGGGCTCTTTTGGTTTGCATGGACCAACTCTCCAAAGATTCATTGGATTGTTAGCATCATCGGCGCTGCGCCATTTGGATTCGGTATGGTGTTGGTATTTTTGAGTATCATGAATTATCTCATTGATTCATACGTTCTTTACGCCGCTTCCGTTTTGGCGGCAAACAGTGTGCTTCGCTCCTTGTTTGGGGCCGCGTTCCCCCTCTTCACTACTTGTAAGTGCCCTCTACATCCTTCTAGACTGACATGCTAGAGAGGTAGCTAATTATATGATTAGATATGTACAACAACCTAGGTATACATTGGGCAAGTTCCATCCCTGCTTTCCTCGCATTGATTTGCGTACCATTCCCATTCCTCTTCTACAAATATGGAGAAGCTATCCGGATGAAGTGTAAGTTTGCTGCAGAAGCGGCACGTGTACTGGCAGAGATGAGAGGAGAGTCTGCAAATGAAGACGAAGCTGAGCTAAGGATGGAGGACATGCAGGAACAGGAAGCGAGGACGTTAGATGTTCATGATGGGAGTGAGACAGAGGAGATTGTTGGGGTCTCAGAGAAAAGTGAGACGAAAATAAATAAGTGAGATTGAGGCTCGGAGGTCTGCAATATTCTAGTTTGACGGCATAACGACGAGGAGTTCTTGGCATTATCATTTTGAAGGTACCGGTGTTGGAAAATATTTCATACATAGAAGGTTTTGGTTCTGGGTTCGCATTTTAGATAGCCCATAGAAGTAGATTATAGTTAATGACCGAGTATAAACGTTCCTCTCCCAAGAGTCGATTTCATTGTGGTGTGGCTTCAATATGCATGAAAGAGATGTGCAGAACTTCACCCTTAGCCACATTTACGCACGGACTCTAAGTATTTCGTCTCGTCTTCCAAGATCATCCATCACCATCTCCAACCTTCCTCATCAATACCAACAAGAACTTAGCATGATTTTTTAATTCTCCGAGTCTATCTATACGACTTTCACTGAAGATGATGCTCACATACATCAATACCCACGATAGAGTACGTTCCTGCAATCATTGAAAATGCGGATGGATGCTACCGAGTGATTGAATCCGAATCTCTTTTTGAATGCTATGCTGTTGGATTGATGTTGGCTGAAGACTTCGAGACCGCGTAAGATGGCAAAATCAGTGCTGGATATAATCTCTGGCTTTCTCAAATCCAGTGTGCGCCCCGATTGCTGTCAATAATGCTGCAAGGCACATTTTTGCTGTATTTCGTCGGTAGGATCAGGCCGTCATGTACCTGCACCTAGTACCAACAGTCTAGGACTCGTTGTCACGTCTTTATTGGGATAGTCCTCCCCCGAGTTGCTTCCACTCCAGTCAAAGCTTTACGTGGCGTACCTTTCGAGTGATTTGTTGGTGAGGAAGGATCTTGATATACCGCTTCGCTGGGACATCGCAACGCGAAGATGCATTATTGATCTAACATCACACTCCTTATAACGATTCATCCGAGATTTTAGAGAATTACCCAAATCTTCCGCATCATCCTACTTAGTGTACCGCCTTTGTTGCTTGGACTGTTCATGTGGTTTGAAATATTCACTTATTTTCCTCCGACTAATTTCAAATTAATAATCTACACCATGTGGACTCTCCTACTTTTTTATTCCATCCCGCTGTCCTTACAATCTTGCCAGTCGCTCCAACAACTATTCTTAATTATGGCTCTACTCCTACCCGATGGAGTAACCAATATGGAGGCGATGATTTCGTTCTTGATCATAGACACATTAGCTCTGTGTCTACGTGTCATCTCAAGAATACAGACACGAAATTCGACCACGACTGGAAAGCTCATTCGTAATGATGACTGGTGGATCCTTGCTGCTTATTTGATGTATGCCTCGCATTGCATTGTGATCATCTGTGGTGAGTAAATACTGTCGCAGAAGTAAAGAGCATGTACTGATACGTCAGATAGATATCTCGAAGATAGCAGGTACACTCGAGCCTCATCTAGTCATGGATTCAGATCATCGGTTGAAAATGCTCTAGGTAACTTTCTATATTCGATTTATTTTGCCTGGTGATGTTGAGCTAACACATCCATAAATGTTATGGATTGGTAGTATCCACTTCTCGTTCGTTATCACAGCGGTTAAGGTCTCAATTTTATGCATGTACCGCTCTCTATTCAGAACGACACCAAATCTTATTCGTTGTGTGGATATCACAATGGGTTTATGCACAGTATGGTTTATTATTACTGTATGCTTGACGATCTTCGGATGCACACCTATCAAAGCTGCATATGATATATCTCTTAGAACCCAACCTACCACAAAATGTGTTCCGTATGGAGAGATTGTCCTTGGCTTCGAACTACCTAATGCAATATTGGACATCATTATTCTCGCCCTGCCTTTTTTCGTCATCAAAGGCCTTCATGTACCTATACGCAAAAAGATTCTCCTATTCTTGGTATTTTGGTTCGGTGGATTGTAAGTCACATAATCATTCCCAAAATCAAGAATAATGTCCAATAACAGAACGCAGCGTCATCGTGACATGCATCTTACGCATAGTATACTCTTATCAACCTCATGACGCAGAGCATTGCAAGGAAACCAAAGATCTTTCCTGTCTGCATCTTGCTAACATTATTGCAGTTTCAGGTTTCTCGACTGCAAACGAATGGTTGATTGAGGAAGGTAGCGCTATCCTAGGAGCCTGCGTTCCGACTTTCAGACCCATACTTAAGGCGTACTTCAGACTTCCAAAATCCATCAACGACTGGTTTTCCTCAGTTCCAGGTAGCTCAACTTCGGCCACAGCAAGCAAATTTTCGAATGGCCATATACGCAATAGATTACAACTTAGTCAATCAAAAGACGAGCAGGGGCCTTCATTTCAACTGAAAAAATTGTCACCAGCCTACATTCAACGCGGAAAAGAACGGCGAAACAGGATTCGGGACCATGATGAAGATTCAGATGACATTCTACTGGTCGATAATAGGATTTGGGTCACAAGACATGTTACAACCTCTGGATAGACAAGCGGAGTTCTCAATCGTTGAATTTTGATTAATTTGGTAGTTCTACATGCACCGCTATACAACCCACTACGCTTGAATTGAGCGGTGCTTTACTTGTTCAAACGCGGTGCTCATTGAAGTTGCTCTGATAGTTAATCTCTAGCACAGCACTAAACTTTCCGGATCCAAGTGGGTTGGTCAATTCTTCGTTTAATGCATTCATCCAGCCAGATGCGTTTCACTTTCAAGTCTGTCGAGGCTTTTCTGTATCTCTTCTTCATAAAGAATGTGTGTTTTCGCCAGACTCTTGCTCCACATGTATATTCCATTAAGGTTGGAAAGGCGGCTATCAAGGCGAGCCCCTCATGGCCCATGTATTGCGTTGCCAATAATGTTGGCTTCGATGCAGTGAACCTTCGCTACAATTTCAAGCACACACTTATTAGCTTGGGAGAAGTTCTCTCCTCACTCATAGTAAATCGATTGAGATGGCTTGCCAAGATTTTCCTGCTTCTTGAGTATGGTGGGCTTTTCATTGCTGCCAACACGATACGCCATCATTTGCAAACATTCGCCATGTTCTCCAGGGCGATGAGGAAGATGAGTGCCACATGAAGGGGCCAAAAATTTCTCGCTACAAATGTTGGTTGATGATTATGCTGGAATTCATTTCAACGGAAAAGTATGCTGAAAACGTTTCATTTTCAAACATTAGGTGGCTGAAAAGGTTGATGTTGTCCTTGTTAGTAAACAGGTTGAAGGTTCTTTTCACTTCGACCATTTTTGAATGATTTCAAGGGCCGGCCTTTAAGTTTAAGGCCTTTTATTCAATAATTGCCCCGCAGTGGATTGGGGACCCTTTCACCAAAGGTCAGTCTCATATACTATCATCTGTCTTAACACTGGAGCAGATGTTGGAAGGCCAGCATTTGCCACAATTTTTACAAACATTGTCCATCTAATATTTCTGTGTGAGTATAAGAATGATAGACTCGTCCAACAAGTGAAGATCAGAAAAGCCTTCATACACAATTCCCCATCTCGATTATTCATTACTAGTCCTCTTATCTTCCACTCTCTTCTTGAACGAGTAAACTTGAACAATTATCAATATGGTACGTGAAAATTCAACAAAAGAAACGGCGCCCGTATCGTCCGACAGAAAACCTAGATCATCGTAGCCAGGAAAGAATCCTGAAAAAAGAGCACGGTCATCGTCAAGTATTCGTGGGTCTTCTTCCCTTAACGATCCTTCCTCCTCCGCATACTTCAAACCCCACCGATCGGTAGAATATGCCGAAAGAAACTCCGACGACGATGAGGAGAAGGAGTTCAAGAAAACAGCCGAACGCGCGAAGAAGATGAAGTTACCGGGAACACCACTAGCAATTCAAAAATCTCCCAGCTCTCGCCGCTCGGAAATACCCGCCCGAACATATACCAATAACCTCGAAGGTAATCTGGCGACATTGAAACTCTCGGATCTTGAGGTCCCACCACAGCACAGCCGTAACCAAGGGCGATCAAGAACCGGCGGTGAACCAGTCAGCGGTAGCAAAGCCCGTGAAACCCAATCCTCACCCAGACCCATGGGATGTTTCAAAATTTTATCGGGCACCCATTATAAGCTAGAAAAATACTCGCAGAATGTGAGAGACGAGGAAAGACGCGGTACTTATCATTATCGATGTCAGATTTCTCGTCGCTGTCATGATATCCATCTTACAACTGTAAATGAGATCGAAAATCATATTCGGGCTCAGCATACGGAAGATCTTTGTGGATATATTGGAAATTCGGATGCGAGGAAGGAACATGTGAGGGTATCGCCGTGTTATGATGGGAGTCGGAGAAGAAAAGATTTGGAGACGAATACTAGGAGGGCGGCGACTGTGAAGGAGAAGGTGATGGAGAAGGATATTCTTGGTAGTGGTAGTGCTAGTGCTAAGAAATTGGTGTTGAGTAATACTAATACTGGGGAGGCTAATAAGCCGAAGAAACGCTAGGGTTAGTGGAATGGAGATGGTGATGGGATGAGGGAATATGGTGTTGGACGTTAGGTATCTGGGTAGGTGTTTGGAGTTTTGGCTCGGTTATTATTGAGTGGTTTGCTTTGAAATCTGATGCACTAGAAAATAGAATATACCTTATTACTCAATATATATCCTATTCAATGTGTGCGATAGTATATTAGTATCATTCTTCGAAATCTCTCAATATTTAAAAAGGCGTGTGGGTTTTACATACGATTGCATGCAAATATTCATAGTGGACTTGGTAATAATATTCTTCAGATATTGGTCTATGGTGCAAAGAAAATGCTGTTGTATACGGTGAAAGAGATACTCACAGATAGATTCTGCTAATATATCGGTCCCTGAATTCTTATGCATTTGATTCCTATGTCTACTCACCCCCCCCCACCGAAATACGGGATTCACGAAAGGGAGTTAATCTGCAAATTATAAATCTCTAGTCCCTTTCCGCGGTTTGTGCACAACCTACTTGAAAACCATCTAATAAAATTTACGAGTCTTTCTTTCAAATCAACAGTAGAACCCCTCCAATTCCCTCGTATACCCACGAAACATCCACTCAACCTTTGAATAATCCATCGATCCATCATTCCATCGATCCATCCCCTGACATAACTAGATCTCATCTCCTCTCCTCTCCTCTTCTCTCATAACAGCTAATCAAATGATCTCAAGACTCGAACAACAAACAACAGCCCATGAGGCCTACTCGTATATCAGTGCTGAGTGTGTAGATGCTAAGCTCGGTTCAGTGGCATGATGTGACGTGACGTGACGTTACGTGACATTCATGACACTTGTTAGATAAGTATGTACGAGCAGTATGTAGTATAGATATAATAAATAGTACCGTAATATTCGACGAAGAGATTTTGAAACAGCTAGCTACTAGCTTGATTTGCTTGTACTGTGATACTCTAGCGATACTTTGATTATCACCATTGCCATCACCACCGCCATCACCATCTCCAGCACCCAACACTCAACACACGACATCAACAGCTAGACGACCCAAGAATCGATAGTCGATTATCTATTATCGTGTACAGTAGAATAGCAAGTTGGATAAGATTAGAGAGTACGATAGGCAATATCTGTAGAGTACTCGAGTAGATATGCAATAATACTCGAGTAGTAACATAAAACCTACAATTATTTAAACTGTAAAGACGGTCAGAAGACTAGTAAAACTACAAACTAAGAACCAACTAACTTGAAAATTAATTGGTTGTATAAATGGCTTCAACTAGTTAGCGTATGAAAGTATTACAGATTTGAAGGAAAAGAAATAAAAGAATTTAGGTTTTGAAAACCATTAAGATAATATCATGATAATAAAGAAGAGATTTGCAGATACTTCGCTTCGCTTCGCGTATTGTGCTTTAATAGGAACAGGAAAGGAATAGAGGAATGGAGAAAACGATTATATAGCTATTGAAGGATTACGGAGGTAGCTAATGAGAAAGGACGAGCTCTCCCCCTTTTCCCATCAAAATGGCGATACACTACTCGTACACAGGACCAACAAGCGAATTTTAAATCTAAATCTAAGTCTAAAGACCATGTAATAATATAATTAATTATACTCGTAAAAGTATCAGTCTATCAATCGCACTAGCACAGTCTGGCCGGACTTAGAATACAAAGCTTTAGAATCTAATGTCTAATGATGTCTAATTTCTAATATCTAATTAATCCCCAGAACTAACTACTCGTTATTTAGCTCGAGAATTTCGAGAATCGTATTGGTGCAATACAAATATCAAACAGACTACAGTACGACACTAAGAGTAATTGCCCCGCGGCAACCCCCCTCTCTTTCTGATTTCAGCTTCACTAATACAAGTTAAGTTGTAAGGTACAATTCAATAATTAAACCCCAATAAATTCATCCATATCACTCATATCACCCCTCCCTAACCCAATCTCTACAATTCTAATTCTAAAGTCCAATCCCAATCCCCAATTCCCAATCCAAATCCAAACTTCACCCCCTACAATAAAAACCAACAATAAACCAACACCACCCATCCATCTCCGAGGCTAACTCGAATGTAGCACATATGATCTTATCTTACTCTTCCATGTAATATAATACGAGTATAGAAGGAAGATTTCCAATCTGCACAGCTATGATAGTTACAATACTATATACAGTACTAGTGCTACAGCCGCATTTCAACTTTGAAGCTGTAGGTTGTCTATGAGTATATACGCTGCCAGAAAAGAAAAGAAAAGAAAAGCGTGAAATATGTTTTAAGATTATATTACTGCGTCAAAATTGAAGTTGGGCATTTCGTTGGTGGCGGGGAATAAAAGTCTACAACGAACTTTTTATATGTATATATACGTAACATGCGATTAGGGGCGAGAAGCTTGACCTCTTGAAGAAGTTTCTGGGGGCTACAAATGATTATATGGTATACCATGGGTCGCATGTCTTGCGCCAGTGTAGAAATATGGATTTAGTTTCCTCTCTATGGAAATGAAGAAAAGAAGAGGTATAATCTCGCTCAAAAGAATATCCATATGTTGCATCGCTCAAGTTAGCATCTTTTCAAATTTCAACTCCCAATAAAGAAAGCCGACGACCCACCACGAACAACAAACCAATACTCGGCAATCTTGTAGCAGTAACGTAAAGAAAATATTGACTAAACAGAAAAACAGCATCACGAAACATATGCCATCCATCCAACAATGCCCGGCCAGCACTCGCAATCCTCGGCAAATGCAACGAGTATATTCGGCAGTTGGGGACCTTGCAGCGGCTTAGTGTTATTCCATCACAGTTTTCCAGCGCGGCTATCCAGACTACCGGTATAAAAGCGCCACTATATGTTACTACTTGGACTGATGCCATCTAGCTTGAATATTGGTAGGTTTTGGATGTGTTGGATTCAATTTCTAGCTTTATCGGCATTCTGGTCCCTGTACCGCTGTTCAAATTGGATAGAAGCGTCTTACACTAAGGCTGTTTTGTTATCGTGGAAGAATTACCTTCTTCTCTTATTGAGAAGCATCGAATTCGAAGTACCGAATTTGTTTCGTGCCCATGATAACCTGCGCGTTTAGTCAAACCAAACCATCGACAAACTCAGCCGCGCGTAACTATTTTTCAAACACAAAAACATCATACATCATCATGTGAGTCAAGATGCTTGCTTTGATGAAGATTCCACTTGGAATGAACGAGATGCTTCTAAAACAGACATGCGAATTTATCTCACGCGCCTCAAGTGACAATTCGAAAACTCCACGCGATCGGATAATCTTCTCCCAACAACCCAACACCAGATATATGCTGAGGTCAGTACCAAAGAAAACAAGGTTCCTCAAGTTATGAACCAAAAGATGGGTGGTTTCCGCAACCTATCATCACAACAGCGAGCCTTGTGTTCCGGACGCCCATCCACACCAGGCTGGCTAAGCGCCTAGGTTGAATAGCACCGAGTAGAAGTGTGACAATGTGTGTGATGGTGTTCACCGAGATGTCACCGTATGTATGATTGGAGGACCACCAAAAGATGAGGCTCCTCGATAACGATAGCCATGTTTTAGATTGGAGCGTGGAGGTGTCAACTCGTTACACCGAGCCTTGTTGTACATGCAGGCAGAAATAGTTCGTGATGTTGTGCAATACAAACGCGGAGAATGTCAGATACACTGCAGTATACATTTGGTATTGTTCGTATTAGGGCAATAAATCCCTAGCATCAAAATGCCGAAAAATATCAAAATAGAAACAAATTTAAAGATACACGATACACGAGAGAAGAGACATTGAAGAGAACGATGTTATTCCAAATGTTGTCTCGTGATTCAATCGACGGTGAGTACCAACATTGTGACTATTGATGTTGTGTGAGAATGGATAAGTTTTAGAATTCTAAATTTAAGCGCTGTTTCAAGCGGATCAGATTGGCTTTACGCCCGGCTTGTGATATGAGGGGTAACAAACGTTGAGTAAGATTAAGTAAGGGCTGGGATTTCGAATTTCAGCTGCTTCTCGGGTGGCTTATTGGGCGTACATGATGTTCCAGAAAATGAACCGAGTAGGCGGGGTGATTTTCTGCAGCCTTCTTGATATGCATTTGAATGAAGTTTGGACAAGAGGCATATCATACTCAACTTAGTAAGACATAAATGTAAAGAATGTATAAAGTAGTAAGATGACTGGAGAATTATATCCTCAGTTTGTATTGGACTAATGCCCCGCCACCAATGGATCGGTACGAGACAATCTTTGTACGCTGCCGCCGCACCCACAGGCAAAACCAAGATTATGAGAGATTGATAGTGTCGTTCCAAATCAAGAAATATGATGTACATGAGAGTTTCAAGTAAAATGATGCTTTAGTTGATGATCAGGTACTGAGCCACAGAAGATCACAAAAGAATCTTCATGACGAACATGAGGGGTAATTTTCTAGGACTCGTGACAAGCTGTTGGAGTCTTGAGATGGATATGGTGGAGACATTGAAGTGGGACATCAATATCATAAAAGTATATCTTTTTCCTGCGCGTTTGACGCAGTCGAAAAATACATGGGATCCCATAGCAGAGTTGAAGAAGGTTCTTTTGGCTTAGAGGTGGAGTCTAGGACTCTAGGAGGATGAAAAATAGGGTGGACGTAATCCGAATCCGGGTTATCAAGGATTCAATCCAAAGACAACGTAGAGTTCCCAGGCCAACAACGACCCTGGAAGCTTAAAACGATCCAGCTGGTGCCGATCAAGAGACATATCGACACCACTTATTGATGTAAAATGGTCATATCTAGATGTTCGCGGTTGGAGAATAACCAGAAATTGGTGGAATTCCATGACGGCGGTCACGGTAGAGGAGTGACAGCTCAGGGAATTAATGATAAAGGATTTCCAAGTTTGGTGAGCTGATGTGTTGTTTTATCTGTATGGTATGAAGTCATGGTGGCTGTACTCGTTGTAGAGAAAAAACTACTGGATGAGAGCTTGTACACATGTGAGATACAGGCCTGACAGTGGCCCAAAAGCCTGAATTTTCGATTAATTAGGCCATTGTTGTGGTCTAATGGGAGGCCGCGAACGCTGTAAGTATTGAATACGTGGTGCCAAAGAAGGGACCGACTAGATCACATTGTATATGAAAAAGCCAAAATCTTGAGATTTTTTTAGCATTGTCATGAAGCCTTGATGAAGGATTGGAGGGTTTCGAAGAAAGTATCAATACTTTTCCATTCATTGTTTTGAATATGAATAATCGTACAAAGGAGAAGGATTGATAAATAGATATCCACCCTCTTATCCGAGGTCCTGAGATGGTCTTGGGTTTCAGTCAAAGTACTTTCCACCAGCGGCGGGATGTCCGCTGTCAAATGGACCTTCCCTTTCATAGGGGGGAACTTTTTAGACGATCTCTTCAATAATCAATTGAATGAAACCCGAATAATCTTTTTCCCCACCTCACGATTCCTTAATCAGTTAGAACCTAACAGCTCCTATTATTGGCCTCCATACTGTCGTATCTATTTGAATTCCTAGTCTCAAAGATACTGTTAGATCTCCCAACTAAAATATCCCTTTTCGTCGAATCATATCTTTGTAGAAATCAAGATGCTCCACAAGAATATCTATCATTCATCGGAATTGTTGGAACTGAGGGGTAAATGAGTGATACTTGTTGGCTGAAACAGAAGCCCATGAGAAATCAGCTCAGATTGGATGGCGGGGCAGCCGATATAGTACAGGACAAGGAAGTCTTCGCATCTGCATTATTGCTGCAGGAGCAACGTCGGACTTTTTCAAAAATCATACTGTAAGCATGAGAAAGGGTATCTTACTAGGATGATGGCGACTTTTGCAGTTGATAGGTCGACCTCAGTGTCCCTGAATAAGGTCATGAGTTCTGCGACCCCATTTTGGTGATAGTAAACCCGCAATGCCGTCCGTAGCTTAGTACATGTTGTATGTGCCTTTGATGTGCTGGAGATCTGTCGCCAAAGGCGGTACAGATAGAGATATTGTTGATTATGGGTTGTTGATTGTCGATTGTTGATTGTTATTGAAAGTGGAATCGTTGGGAGATCTCTGATAGGGTCTCCAACAAACATGAAGAGGATATTTCTCTGTTACCTGGTGTACGGGTGATCACTCCTCAGTGGGGAATATGGAAACAAAGGGAAGAAGACCATCAATTGTCGTCAAGACCTGCCAAACGAATGATCGAGGTACTTAAGTGTATGCATGAGATTCCAGAAGAAGTTACTCATTGATGGAAGTAGAAAGAAGAAGAGAGATGGATTTGTACTTCGAGTACAGGATGGGGGGTGATGGGGGTGATGGGGGTTATCTCTTTTTGCATGGGGGGCTTTGCAGATGATAGTTACACGACATAGAATTTTATAATCTGAGGTCTCGGTTCACGAACACCTCTGCCTGCACCTCTCGATTTTTTTTAAAAAAAGAGGGCAAAGTTAAACCATAGAAAAGAGCTATACAAAACTTGTTCCATCCATTTGATCCATTCAGGGGATTAGAAAAAGAGGGGATAAGAAGTGATGGAAGGGTGTGCTGACAGTAACTTTGGTTCCTGATTCTATCTGATTATATCTGATGTTAGCTATATACCCCTCTTCATTTTCTAAGGAGTATACATATATTCAGATTGGAATTGGAAAATGTTCTCAAATGTTCTTTGCGGCTTTATCCCAACTACTCTAGTCACAGTTTGTATTGGTGGTAAAAGAATCCATCTATTATTACGAGATGATGATGACTGGATTTTACATCGAATTGTCCGTAGCTTGTAGCTTGGATTAACCTAGCGGTGGACAACCTCTTCATTATTAGTGACAATTCAAAGTTACTCAAATGTGCAGCAGAACGTGGTGGTCTCATGCACTCTGAGACCTTGATGGGACCCTCATCTGAAGCTTTCTACTGGTCCATCTATCACCAATGTATTGAAAGGTCTTTCGATCACGTCCTACTTTCACCTCCGAAGTTCCCATTCATTGTTTAGTTACTTGTTTTTGGATGAACGACTTTGAATGCGGTAATGGACTGATTCTCTAGACTGTTGATGGAATTGAAGCTTGACTTTGAACCACGAGAAAGTGGAAATGTTACTCAATACTTTATAGTTATGTACTGTATTCATTTTGCCATCATAAGATACATGGTGGCCATGAATCTTCATATGTTCTCATTACTCGTACTTCACAATTCAACAAACCCAGTCAGCCAAATTGATACTAACCTTGCGATATCTAAATCAAGCTGTGCTGCATCTATTGCCTGTTCAACGACTTGGCTCCGCTTCTATTCGATCATATCATTGTGGCGGGTGTTGGTTTGCTAGATCTACCACCACTGCTGAGACGTCCTCGATATTCTTCCGCCGTGGAAAATTTGATACTTTCATGTCAGGCTCTACTCGACTCAACCAACTCAACTCAACTTAACTCAACTCAACTCTCTACCATTCGACCAGAAAGGAACCAGGCCAGGCTTACCTCACAGGACTCGGCGTCGTATCGTATGGTTTCAATTCTTTCTCTTGCATCACCCTATCAGATCGAATCGAATCAATTCAAATCATTCAGAGTCATACCTTTCCTAATACTAAGGCCAAGGTAGCGAGGTTCATTATTTACCCTGCTTCATTCCCTTCCTATCGACGTTTACGTTGATCTGAAGTTCTCGGACATTGAATGCTTCAATATTCCATAAAAAAAGTTAAAATCCATTCATCGAGATTCGACTACCGGTATCCAACGGATACTCCCTTCAAACAAAGTTCGACTAATCATTAGATCATCCAAGGCTATTGGCTATTTCGATATCTGACAAGGCATAATAACTCGGTACAGCCTAAAGCTTCTCAATTTATACAACTTATCATTCGTGAATATATTCAGGGAAGTGGATGCCCCAGCTGGACCATTTCTTTCACGAATCGTAATCGTCAGGACGACAGTTCACCGCCTCATTGTCCCCATATCGCCTTATATCCTTAATTTGATATAACTACTCAGTATATTGCTGCGGTTGCCAGTACACACTGAGCCTGGGTGTTTTGGATCCATTCGAACCATACGAGCCCATTCCCTTACCAAGGATAACGATACGTTCATTCGTGTTGTTCTTACACTGCTTCGAGCCAGTTGAACCAGGAAAGCGGAGTATTAGCATTACTTCTTACCATTTCCATTACTAGTAATAAGGCGGGAACCAGATCAATCCACCAGGGCATTCTTTGGGAATCTTCCAAAATCCTCAGTGTTACCGTCATTCCCATATATCCTTCCAGAGTTACCCATAAGGAATCCTCCTTTTTATTTCGGTTCTTTCGTTTTGGTGTGTTTACTTTTTACCTTGTGTACTGAGTAATCGCACACAAGACAAAACGTTGTTATCACTCATCTATTCTTGACCTCAAATCTCAAATCACTATCTCATTATTATAATCTCAAATACAATCCCAGTACGGAGTTATCATTACGAACCAGTATCTTTTCATCCTTCTTACAACGACCGACGGAACGATTCTCTGTATACATCCGATCCGACCAGGCAAATTTGTACACAAATTTATTCCTCTTCCTCTATCTTCTATTTCTCTCAATTCTTTTCTTTATAGAATACTCATAAATACGGTTACAAATCACCAAAAAGCTTACGGAAGATTCTTTTGCTGGTTTCACGGGATCTTTAATTGGTTTTTCGTCGATTTCGCTGTGGCTTGCTGAGTCAAGATATCATCACCAATTTGGCCCTAACACATCCATCTCCTTGGTACCTTCACTTCAATCAATCATCAATCATCAATCACCAATCAGTTCCTAATTTATCTTCTTTCGACTTTCAATACTTTGCCTTTACGTTTCTATCGTGGTTCGCATTTCGGTCCCTTGATTGGAGCCCGTATTCATCTCATAGGTAGATTAAGATCCAACGGAATAAGTCCGTGACCTCATTCACTTGTCCAAGCTGGAAATCCTGGAGATTCAAGGATTGGGGAAGAGATCAGATCCAAGATATCCCTCCCTAAATATCTCAACCTCTCCCTCCAACCTCTTCGACAAGTCAACCTTCAACCTTCAAAACATTTTCCTATCGACAATACACGGTCGATATTTGAATAGTAAATCCTTTCAAATCTTTCAACTTTGAATCATTCAACAACCTTCCTTTTTTACAACATTCTTTAATATAAATCAGCTTGCACGACTTTCGCATTGCAATCATAGATTTTCATCTTCAATTTTTGCAGCACATCAACATCGACATCAGCGAGAACTCACTTCCATCCATTTCTTCGTTTGCTTCACAACAACAATGCAATAGATTTGCTACGAGAATTTGCAATTTACGAGCAACAAATTACGCATCCCCCATCTCCTACTACTCGAACCTAAGACATTCACTTTCTTTCCACTATGAGTTCACTACGCCTTCCTCCAGATCCATATAAGATCCTTGGTGTTGATAAAGACGCGACTTTACCTCAAATTCGATTGGCACATCGAAGACTTGTTCTCCAATGTCATCCAGATAAAGTTCAAGACCCTACATTAAAGGCAATAAAGGTTGATGAGTTCCAAAAGGTTCAAGAAGCGTACGAAATACTTAGTGACGTATCGAGAAGATCCGAGTATGACCAAACAGTCAAGCTACATAACCTGAGAGAGGAGTTGGGCAAAACTTCAACTTCGACTCCAACTCCAACTCCGGCTCCAGCCTCGACTAGTAAAACTTACGAATACAATGTTAGGACCGCAGAACCTAGACCGACAACATATAGTTCCTCATATCCAAAGACTTCACAAAAGCCACCAAGAGAGTCAAACGTATATTCAAAAACCCCACCGAGATCTTATGAGGATTTATACGAAGAACCTGCGAGACCATCTGTTAGGAGATCAAGAACTACAACTAGAGACTCAGAAAAAGATGAAAGAGATCGACGAAGACATCAGGACGAGGATGAGAGAGAGAAGATGAGGCGGAAGATGGAGAGGGAAGCAAAACGGGATCATGGGGATCGAAAAAAGACCCGCGACAAGGAGAAGAGGCGAGGTACCGAGGAGAAAGTACGCCCAAATACATATGTCGAGGAGGAATCCAGTGAAGATGAATTTAGAAGAAAAGCGGAACGAACTGCAAGAAAGGCAGAGGATGCAATGAGAGCCGAGAGAGCCGAGAGAGCCGAGGTTGCTGCTCGAGTTCAACAAGAGCGAGAGGCTAGAGATCGGGAACACCGAGAGTGGGAACACCGTGAACGAGAAAGAGAGCTACGCGACAGGGAAAGGGAGCGAGAGCGAGAGCGAGCACCCCCCGCCTTGAAAGACTCGCCGATGGGAGATAAGTGGAAGGATCATATGGCAAATGCGGCGCGTTATGTCCAAGCTTCTCGTCGAGAGTCGGATATCAAACCAGAGGTACCATTTGCACCAGCGCCACCAGCAATGCCTGCCATGCGAAGGGCAGAAACATTTGCCGCGCCATCATCCGCACCATACAATATTCGATACGAGACTGTACGCCCTTCGGCTCCCTATTCAGAACATCATAGTGATGAAGATGTACCACGAAGATCATCGGCAGCACGACCATCACGACGTTCTGTAGAGACTCCTTCGAAAACCAAGGATACACCAAAGTCAAGTAGAAGATCAACTAGAGAGTCGCCATATGTTAATGCCGCATCAACTTCACCTCCTACGAAACCAACTCTTCACAAACACTATTCAGAGCCACCGATAGTCGGTGTTGGATCAAGTAGACGAGAGCCTAGTCGATCGAGGACCGAGTACCCTCGAGAGCCACCTCCACCGCCTACATTTACCAGAGCAGCTACATTCACACAAGGCATGGGTACGAAGGAAGATATTAGGGATAGGGGTCGTGGACCAAGTAGAATTGTTCAGGAACCAGAATCAGAATCAGATTCTGGGTCTGACTCAGAGTCCCCATCACCAACACCACAATATTCTCATGTGAGACAGCCTCGACGTGAAGTTCCTGAAACTACCGGTACTACCAAAACGTACGTCATCAATGGCAACGGGCGAAGTGAACTCAAGGGTTCTTCTTATCGATCTGATCTCCACGATGATGCTTACACAAAGCGAAATCGAAGTCCATCTCCTCGTCGAACTACTCGTCCTCCCTTGTCACGAAGTGGTGGAAGTGCTCCTCGTCAGGTACGATCTCAATCACGAGGGTATCACCCAACATCCGCGCCCGTGCCCGAGCCAGCTGAGCCAATAATTCTCACTCCCCAACCACCCAAGTCTCGAGAGCCTTCTCGGGGTACAAGTCGTGGCGGATATCCACCACAATACAGTGTAAATTATGCTGCTCCAATTACACACGATAACATTGTTTTCACCACTGGAACACAGTATGTTGACAGAAGAACTACCGAATCGGCACATCCTCGCGATTATCCGCCCTATCCTACACCTCGTGGTCGTGAGGGGATCTACATATAAACATTTGCTCCACACCAATTCTTTTCCTTTTCTACGATTTGCTACATAAATTACCTTTCTTGTATCGACACCGACTTTTTAAAACATCATACACCTTTTTATACAGTAACGACAGCACAGCACAGCACATTATGATTCCCCACTTTTCTTTTTTCGGCTGGTTTTGCTGATAGGTTACATTTTTTTACTATATTTTTTTTTTACGGGGATAACACGAACACGATGAATTGATGCAATCAAGCAGACAGGCTATATCAGTTAGCTAATCGGGTTGAGAAGATCAGAGAAATTTTCTCTCCTACATCTAACCTGGAAAGAATGAGATAAGAAAACATTACGAATTTTTCTCTCGGTTTTGGCTTGGCTTGGCTTTCTTCTCCTCGAATTTGCTGCAGGGTCTGAAATCTGGCATTGCATTGGACTGAGTCGGTTATTCATCGTTGTTGTAGTTTTACGAATGGATTGATGGTACTCTGGATGGATGGATTGGGTGGATTGGGTGGCATGGGTATTGATATTTGCATAACATTTTCTATTATGCAATCTCACGATGAGTGATTGATGGATGCATGGGAAATGAGAAAGGGGATGAAATTGAAGAATTTACATATGGAGATGAAATGGAAGAAATGAATAGGGAGAAGATGAGAGAGTTTTCTTTTTGGCGCGGCAATATGTTTGCGCGGCATTGCTGGAATGGCAGGGTTCGGCATGGTATATGCAATGGGATTTCAAATGAAAGGAGTCAAAGTTTGGTTGTGTGATAAGGGGGTTGTTGAGAGATGATTATGCAGACCAGTGGTTTAAATATCTGGGTGCAAATTGATGGTTGATGGTTGATGGTTGACGGATGGAATGATGGATATGAGATATGATTGAATGAATGAATGGAATCTACCGAGTGCAAATTGGTTTTGGTGATTTTTGATTGTGAATGTGACTGTCTGATGAATTCTGGATACACATTCTCTCGCCCCTTTTATATATATATTTTTTCTCGATGCCCGAAAACTTAAAAGGACTCGGGGGTCAATTCTTGGAGATATATTGAAAAAGCTATCTAAGTCGGGGTCTGGGTCGAGATCTAGATCTAGATCTGGATAGGGTTTAAATGATTACATAGGTTGGTTGAAGTATTCAGGAAAGTATTCAGGAAAGTATTCAAGGGAGAAGGGGGAGGGGAAGGGAAAGAGGGTATAGAGCTTTGAGTTTTGGTGGATAGGATAGTTAGTATAATGAATGTACTGAGTATGCTTGCTTGCTTGTTCGCTAATGGATGGTTGGATATTATCTAGTATGTAGTATGTATGTATGTATACGAATGAAGGTTATTGTTAATAGTTAATGTTAATGTTGATGTTAAGGTATCTTGTGGGTATTGATTGTAGTGAAGGAAGGAATGGGGGAAGGAGTGAATGAGTGAATGAGTGAATGGAGGAATGGGTGGATGGGAGAATGGGGAATGGGGGAATGGGGAAGGGGGAATGGGGAATGGGGAATGGGGAATGGGGAATGGGGAATGGGGAATGGGGAATGGGGAATGGGGAATGGGGAATGGGGAATGGGGAATGGGGAATGGGGAATGGGGAATGGGGAATGGGGAATGGGGAATGGGGAATGGGGGAATAGATGGGTGGATGGGTGGGTAGCGAAGGAGTGAATGGAATGAACTATGTGGATAGTGTGCAATGTGTAGATAAGTATGTATGTATGTACCGGTACACTGACTGCTGTGTACTAAGTATAGGAGATGAGATGATGGTGAGGTGAGGCGCGATGAGGCAAGGCGAGGTGAAGTTGTGATCATGAATGAGATGAAATAGAGTAGAGTAGAGTAGAGTAAGTTAGGTAAGCGAAGACGAGAAAGGGAGCGAGCGGGACTAGAGTCTGAGAATGAACGGGTGATTATGGGTATGGATATGGATATGAGTACGGGCTGCAAGAAAAGGAAGGGTAGGAAAGGGAGAGAAGGGTAGGAAAGGGAAGGGAAGGGAGGGTAGGTGAATTACTTTACTCGAGTAGAGAAAAGGGTGGGTTGTATATAGACTGCTCGAGTAGAGTAGACTAAACTAGACTAGACTAGACTAGTCTACAGTAGTCAGGAATTCATTCCTGGTTATTATGTTATTATGTGTGAAAGCATTATGTCATGTCATGTCATGTCATGTAGAATGGATAATTGAGATACCCGATTATATCGTCTGTATTCTATAGAGTAGATAGTAATAGTAGTACTCTAGTATGCAATGACAATGTGCATAAATGTATATACAGTATGAGCAAGAAATACCATCACAAAGTATGTTAATATATACTCGAGTATGATGAGATCCTCATCTCATATTCAGCTGGAAAGCGAATCTCAAACAGAACAACAAATAAACGCCATATTATCCATCTATGCAATCTAAATGTTCTCAGTCTACCACCCGCCTGAACCTCCCATATTATACACCATATCTTCCAGCTCCTTAATACAACCGAAATATCTACCCATCTTTTCTAGGCCCGCCCACCCTCACAGCAATACATACAAACTACACATGCCACTCAAGCCCAAAATCATACTACACCAAAAACACACGTTATTCAACACCTTCCTTCCTCTCGCCCACGGTCTACTCTGTAACCAAATAATGGGAAGTTGGCTCATTTGAGCTACCATTCCATAGCCTCTAATTTTCTTGGTGATACATGCCATGACTATTTCATGACCAATGGCGCTAATGAAGAATGTTATGAATGTGGCTCCTCCTTTCCCAATGTATGAGCGGGAGCCGAGGTATACGTGTCGGTGAAAGAAGTGATGGACGGGAATATTCCATTCGCGGGAGAATTGCATCCAGTCGGTACTGTTCCACCAATCGTCGTAGAAGTGACGATCTCCGAAACCTGTATATTGTTAGTTTGGCGCAAGTCAGAGGAGTAGAGTACAGGTGTAAGTAAACCTGATAGGAAGTAGATCAGGAGTTCCCATCGAATGTTTATACTTACATGTTATCTCAGCAAAAGCACCGAGGATGAATTCAAATATCACAAGGAATACGAGAAGGAAAGTTATCATGAATGGAAAGAGAAGGAAACTGATTGATTCGGCAACGACGAGGACATTTTCGGAAAATGAGGTTGCAGTTTGAAGTCTAGTAGCCGATGCTGTCATAACGGGGTGGATGAATTCTTCGGATGTGATAGTGAGTAAGAAAATAACACCAAATGTAGCAAGAGTCTTGTAACCTAACTCCGACCAGACTATACCGGCCGTACGAGGATATTCGAGCTCATAACAGAGAGTGGGACAAAATATATAATCGACATAATTATACCACGTGAGGTTTCGAGGATAGGTGACCGAGCCCATTGTTGACGTCAATTCGAGAGCTAGATCTTCCCTAAGACTTGCAACTTCGTCAGCTTTGGTTTGTGTGAGAGCTCTGATTTCTGACGCTGTTCGTTTGTGACCTGGACTTGGACTTGGATATTGATATGCCGGAGCTTTTGAAGCCGTTGCTGGGGAGTCGAGCTCTCGTAATCGTCGTTCAGTTTCGCTGAGGTGACCATTGTAAAATGCATATGAATGCATCTTCATGAGTAGGACCATGGTATGAAGTAAAAGAAAAACCTGAGCTGTCCATGTCCAGTCTCGATAGAATGGTATACTATCTCACCTGTCAGCATTGTGCTCCATTATTGTAGGAAGTACTCTTACGAAACCCAGAATGCCATCCAAACAATTTGGTATAAACTTTGTATAGCCATACCGCCTTTGGTCCATTGAAATCCCAATATTTTCCCTGTTTTACTTCTGAAGAACTTATGTAGAGGAAGACTGATCGATGTAGATACAACCATTAGCCCATCTGCAACCCCGAGTTCCCAAACCTTAACTGTGAATAGCTGCCAAATTTCCACCCTCATAGGATATCCTGTATCTTTGATATTTCGCAACATTGTTGTGATAGCCATAATGGCAAGACCAATCCAGAATAAAACATAAAATCCTTGAAAGTCATGATGATCGCTGTGAGGATCCAAGTGCGAGACTCGTGAGGTATATTCGATTATGGGGAAAATACGACGTTTTTGCTCTGCTTTGATTTGTCTCTTCGCAGAGAACATCGATTGAACGGAGGGAGGTGCATCTTCAGGAATAGGTGTTGTACGTCCACTACGAAATGTTAATATGGTAATAAAAAATATTTGAGAGACTCACCTGGCGGGACCAATGAAAATACCATCCTCGGAGATGTCTTTGGTACCATTGACAGGTAATAACCCCTCTTCACTTATTGTTCGAATAATTGCTGGATTAAGGGTATTTCCGGGTCTGGGACGTAGGATATGATCATGACTATCTCCATTTGTATAGATATCTGCAGAAGTAGACATTTTGTACGCATCGAAATCGTTTTGAAATCTAAGTGAAGCTTGTCCCAACAACTGGATTTGGGATAACGAGGCTCCTCCAGAGCACCCCTTTTGAAGTGAATTAGTTTTTGGAAAAGTTGTCAAACATTTATATATGGTTGAATATACTGTATAACAAAAGGAATCAAATCAAATATATTTGCCATTCCCTCCATATACAAACATTTAGAATAACTCTGGACCAATTGACTGGTTCTTGCTTTCTTGCTTATGATGGATAACTCAGTATTCGAGGCTATGGTTTATATGTTCTTGTTGCACCTAACGGCTTTACCCGCAGAACAATCAATCTTCACCTAGCCACAATCGGTCCAATCGTAGCCTTGCGCGCCACATTAGCTAGCATGGATAAGAACTAGACCAAATCTGGAGTTGTATCCTGAAAGACGGGAAGGCATCAAGCGAATATGGTGGCCTCTGCATCACCAGTTAAGTAACTCCAGAAACTCTAGGAATAGAACAACAATTAAATTCACATCATTTCAGCTCATCTTCTGAAGCAAATTTTGTGACTTCTTAAGCTGGGAAATTTAAGAAGTTTGGCCCATTGTGGGCCTTGAATAGTGTCAGAATGAGTTCATGTAAGTAGTAAACAAAGATCCCTATGCCCCTCGATTTCTAAGCTCATTATAATATAGTGAAGCAATTCATTCGAAATGTGCGAGCGTCGAAAACAATCGCAGATGAGCGCGCAGTTGTACAAAAGGAAAGTGCTGCTATAAGAGCAAGTTTTCGTGAAGAGAGTGGTGATCATAATGTCAGGTAGGAAAGGTCACCGCTTGTTGATTTGACTATATCTGACATATTGGATTGGCAGACGAAATAATGTAGCGAAGCTGTTATACCTATTCACATTGGGTGAGAGAACTCATTTTGGTCAGATAGAATGTCTCAAGCTGCTTGCATCTCCAAGATTTGCAGACAAGAGATTGGGATATCTGGGGACAATGCTTCTGCTGGACGAGAATCAGGAGGTATTAACTTTGGTAACCAATTCTTTGAAGAAGTATGCGCAACTTTCTATTCTCAGAAACCTATGAAGCTGACTTGAGCATAGCGATCTCAATCACTCTAATCAATATATCGTTGGCCTAGCTCTATGTACCCTCGGAAACATTGCATCAGTCGAAATGTCCCGAGACTTATTCCCCGAAATTGAAACCCTTCTCTCTACCGCGAACCCCTATATCCGTCGGAAAGCTGCATTGTGTGCCATGAGAATATGCAAGAAAGTCCCGGATTTACAAGAACATTTCATCGAAAAGGCAGGAAACCTTCTGTCGGATCGAAATCATGGTGTTTTGTTGTGCGGTCTTACATTGGTAACGAACCTTTGTGAGATGGATGAGGCAGAAGGTGGAGAGGAAGGAATCGTGGAGAAATTTAGACCATTCAGCGGAGGCTTAGTCCGAACGCTGAAGGGCTTGGCTAGTTCCGGTTACGCCCCTGAGCATGATGTTACTGGAGTTACGGATCCATTCTTACAAGTTAAGATTTTACAACTGTTGAGAGTTCTTGGCCGGGGAGATCCAGAAACCAGTGAGCAGATCAACGATATTTTAGCCCAAGTTGCTACGAACACCGACTCTTCGAAGAACGTTGGAAACTCCATTTTATACGAGGCTGTTCTCACTATTCTTGATATCGAAGCCGATTCTGGTTTGAGAGTACTCGGCGTCAATATCCTTGGAAAGTTCCTTTCAAATCGGGACAATAATATTCGATATGTCGCTTTGAATACACTCATAAAGGTGGTCGCCATTGAGCCAAATGCAGTCCAACGACATAGAAACACTATATTGGAATGTTTGCGAGATCCTGATATCAGTATCAGGCGGCGTGCATTGGATTTAAGTTTTACTCTTATCAATGAGAGCAATGTCAGAGTACTGATTAGAGAGCTCCTTGCTTTCTTGGAAGTTGCCGATAATGAGTTCAAGCCAATCATGACCAGTCAGATTGGTATTGCAGCAGACAGATTCTCACCAAATAAACGATGGCATGTGGATACCATGCTGAGAGTTTTGACCTTGGCAGGAAATTACGTCAAAGAGCAGATTTTGTCCTCATTTATCAGATTAATTGCGACAACCCCTGAATTGCAAACTTATGCGGTACAGAAGCTATATACTAGCCTGAAAAAAGACATCACCCAAGAATGTCTGACTTTAGCTGGCGCATGGTGCATTGGTGAGTATGGAGAGACTTTACTCCGTGGTGGTCAATATGAGGAAGAAGAACTTGTTCAAGAAGTCAAGGAGAGTGAAGTCGTTGATTTGTTCTCGACCATCCTCAACAGCAGTTACGCCACTCAAATTGCAACCGAATACATCATCACATCCTTGATGAAGCTCAGTACTCGTCTATCAGAACCTGCGCAAATTGATCGAATTCGACGAATTTTATCAAATAATGCCACGAATCTTGACATCGAGGTTCAACAGCGAGCGGTGGAATACGGCAACTTATTTAGCTATGACTCCATTAGAAAAGGTGTATTGGAAAAGATGCCTCCACCACAAATCAAGGAAGAATCACGAGTCCTTGGTGAGGCTAGTAAGAAACCAAGCAAAGCATCAAACAGAAAGTCGAAGATCATCAAACCAGCAGAACAAGATTTACTATTTGACCTAATGGGAGATGGAGGAATGCCTGATGCAAATGTCGGTGGTGCTAATGGTGGATCTCAAAATAATGCAGACCTTCTCGCAGACATACTTGGAGGCACTGATTCATCTCAACCTTCATCTTCCCCAACCCAGCAGTCAAATATGAGTTCAATTATGGATTTATTTGACAACACGCCATCTCAACAGCCCCCTTCTGCCACGGCAACTCCTTCAAATGATCTCTTCTCTGGTGTATCTTCACCTCCACCTCAAGCACCTTCAATTCCCACATACCCATGTTACGACAAAAATGATCTTAGTATTGTGTTACAACTTCAACGAAATGCAGAAGGTGTCGTACAAGTCTTATCTCGATTCAAAAACTCCTCCATGCATCAATCTTTCTCTTCAGTGGCATTGCAAGCTGCAGTACCTAGAACACAAAAACTTCAACTGAACGCCATGTCAAACACGAATTTAGGGCCTGGAGCAGAAGCGACACAATCAATGAGAATTACAGGAAGTAGCGGAGTAAGTTCCCTCGGTATAAGAACTTTATAAATTGTTTACTGACTATCATAGCCGCCATTACGATTGAGATTAAAGATTTCTTATGCACACCCAACTGCGGGACAAGTGACGGATCAGGTAGATTGGTCGGAACCAAATTAGTAGTTTTTAGGTCACCGAATTATATTTAGAAATTCTACAAAATCTTACTCGATATACTGCATGAAGTCATGTTGTTGGTAGTCTCCAGTTTCTTCGTTCGTGTCTTGCAGCCTGTTGTGACTATGCTTGGCCCGTCTGGTGAACTTTGATTCCAAAAAAGATAAAAGCAAACCAATGATTGATCTCTACAGTACGGGAAAGGTGATCAAAACTGGCATATCCAAATCATAGATTCACATAGATGTTTTTTTTTTTTCATATGAGTTTCGAATTTACTCAAGTCGAAGTGGTGGACATCAATGATTTATTGTTCATTCAATCAGAACATACGAAAGGACTGCACAGGCATCAAGACGGCAAGTAAAGCCAGCCTTGTCTCACGTTGCTCTAGGGTTATCATGGCCGACGACTACTCCCTAACAGAAACATAGTAGTGTCTGTGATCTCGACTTCACTCCCGAAAGGCTGGCCTTCTCAATATTGTTTTGAGTCGCCCACTATGTGCCTTATTGTGTATGTGATTCTATTTTGAGATTTCTAGACTCCGTTCAAACTTAAAAGCCTTGGTCGTAGCGAAGAAATGTGTTAAATGTTTCCCGTCCAGCGTCGATATATTCCGAAAATTTGTTAGGGAGGTGAGCTTCCAAAATAATGTTTCTTTAATCTACATCTATAACAGTCTAGGTGCAAACGTGGGGATTGAAGCTATTGTGTCACTTTTCGATACTTTGAATAGTTGTTCAGTTGGACCGCAGTATTTTGTTGCAGGATGTGTGGGATTAGTTGAGGGGGGGGGGGAATCATGTGAGCTGTGTGAATATATTACTAGATGATAGGAGTTTTAGGTAGCGGGTGAGCGGAAGAGTATATTGTATTGGCTCCGTATAATGCCGTTTAGTAACATCATCGATACTTTTATCGCAAAGGCCAAGGAATGTCGATCAACCTTTCTCCTACCTGTGTTTCTATAGCTAACTTGGGCAGGTTTCGCGGCGAGTTCTTACAAATTCAATACTCTTTTAGCCCGACCATAGCAGTTGTAGTGAGTGACAACCATATGGTTCACACCATTCTGAAAACGGATCGAGGTACTTACGGCGTTATTTACAAAGATTTCATGAGAAATAGGCCTCAATGTCGATGGATGGTAAGCGGGATTGTGTAAGTACTCACGAGCACACCGGTTCTCTTGAGTCTCAAAAAAAGGCTTACTCTCGCTGCGGTATAGCCTTATACGGAAAAGGTCTCGAGAATATCGACGAAGCAAACACTTGTTATGTGTTCCGATTTGGTATCTCTGGACACAGGAATCGAACCATTGTGATTTGCTTCTTTTTTTATTAAAGGGATTTCTTCAAGAAGAGTATGATTTCAGACTCGAAGCCAGTGGACTCTTTTTGATACATCGCTACGCGGGTGTCTTTTCGTACAGAATAGTTGATTGTGTTCTCTCTGGAGAAGAAGAAGAATAAGAAGAAAAGAAGAAGAAGAAGTAGAAAGTAGAAGAAGGAGAAGGAGAACGAGAAGGGAAGAGGAGTGCAGAGGTCTAAACGCTGAAGAGGAAGAAGAGGTTGTGGAATTTGAGGGAGCGCCGCGGCAAATTAATCTGTATCGTATCTTATGAAAGGGAAGGGGAAATTCCGGACAAGCGATCGGAACTCGAAGACTGCTTTTAGTGGCAGTAGCAACGGGCCGCTCTTTTCGGGATATTTCTATATGTGTACATATCTGTAAGCGTTCGGAAATCATGGATATGCATGCAGTAGTTCAGCTTCTATTTCATCATGGTGCTTACCACAATTTGCTTGCGAAAGTCAATATCAACCGATCGCTGTTTATACCACTGCAATATGCTAGTGCAGCAAGGTGATGTTAGAATAATCGATCTTCTGGCACAGTGTGGTGTAAATTTCGGCAATAGAAAGTCCCAAGCCGTACCTCCTGTGGTGATTGCGGTTCAAAGTTCAATTTCTTTTCGATGAAATAGAGCCATACCCATATGATTATGCAAAGCTATCGTAAACAATCAAGTTCACATTCATCTGGTTGTTCAAGGCATTTAGATGATCCAGGGACGTACGTACTCATTTTAGCCACTGGCCAGTGATGGTGAATTTTCCATTAAACGTGCTGTGGGCATATTGAAAAGCGTCATTCGAGTCTTCAAATCAAATGCAAATAGTGGATATAAGATATATAAAAAATGAGAAGCGTGGTCTGAACCATCTGATACTCTAGCTAGACGCAAACATAGAGATATATAGCCCGGTATCCGAGGAGGGTTACTCTCCGATGTCCTAGCAAAATTCAAACATTGCGGTTACAATTAGTCAAGTGCGTGGGTCAGGACTTACATTATTTCAATATCAAATCCTCCCGAATAACAGCGCTTCGATGAAACTATTCATCATCTGCTATATGTGAAGGTACAGAAGTTGCTATCATGAATCATGACGCTTACAGTCGTGAATTTAGAAGCCAAGAAACCCAAAAGATCTTACGGAGAGAAGCAGGCATTTCCTGGCAGGACCGGACATAGTCGGGTAGGATACACTTTCAGATTTATGAATATTCCGATTAGGGATGGAGCAGCGCCACCTCATGATATGAAGGCATATATAAGGTACTCCACTCAACTCGACCAGATAAGGAAAAGAACATGTTAACGAATGATAGAAACTGCAATGTTAAAGCTCGCCTTCCTTCTTTAACTTTTAGACGATAACGCGGCAGAAAAGACTGGGAGACGAGAATGCTTAGTAAATGCTTACTAATACGGTTCGCTACATCACCCATGTATTCCTAGTCATTGTACGATTGACTATGGCCTATATCTATTTGGCACTCCTCAATACATGTAAGATAGTGTTTTCTGGGATTGCAGACATACAATAAGGAAGAGATAAACGGGTTAGTGCAGCGGTTTGCATTTTGTTTTACCGCTTGTTTGAGAGCCAAATTTACCTCCTTGCAATTGTTTTGCTTGTCTACCCAGCTAGAGATTGCAATACAAACAAAGGTTAAAAGTTAATCAACCCATTGGTAGCAAACTTATCACCAGCTTCCTGTGCCATCTTTCAACACAAGAATTACACATTAGAGTTACTGATGCCTTCCTGGTGAATTTCTATGAGGTATCCATGACAAGGCAGATCATGTAGGATGGCTCTTAGAGTCAGTTATGATTTAGTCATTTGCCTCATAATGAGTGAATTTCTACAAAATATCAAAAAAGAGTACTAATCATTTCCCTCATCGCCAAATTTTCGGGAAAGCGCGTGGTCTTGTGATTACCCGTGTCTGATTGTGGGTTTTGCATTGATTGCGCGTTTGCAGACCCTAGAACCCTGGCTATCCAAAAGAAACAAACAATTTTATTGGATGTTCAGTTTCTTAAGTTTACAAAAACTCCTATCGTTGCCTCAGAAGGATAACGATTCCCATTTACCTTCAAAACTCTTCTGAATTCTTTTGATTCCATGAGAGCGCCCAAAAATGGCATCTATTGCATCACGAGAAGTAGAACGGGCCGGTATCTTGAGACAAGAGGGTAATGAATTCTATAAATCAGGCAAGCTTCTCAAAGGTAACAGAAATATTCCCTTGCTTCTCAGTCCGTATTGCATTTGACAAGTTACAGCCATCGAAAAATATCAAGAATCTGCCAAACTTGTACCTGAAAGTTACGCTCCACTCGGTAATCTATCCCCTTTTTACTTCGAGGTGGGAACTACACCCAATGCATTACCTGGGCCGAAAGAGCTCTTGAACTCTTAAGGAAGAGTAATGGCGATGAAGATACGGCTTTGATTGAGAAGTTACAACAGCGGATCAACAGGGCAAGGGCACATTCATACAGATCATCTGAATTGGAGCAGCTGCAAATGCGATTCCAAATTCTCGATTCCTTGCCCCGTTATCGCCCATCATTGTAAGACTTAAGACTCTTCCTACATACTTTGCAATTCCCTAATCAGACTCTCCCATAGGATGATCAACGAAGAATATTACACAATTGGACACGATCAGCCGGCCTCCTTGTTCGATCTCACCATTAATGAACATGACCCCATGGCTAAAGTTGTCTCTTTTCTATTTGGTGTTATTGGTGACGCACGTCACTTGATTCGGACTATCAGTGGTTTTGCTGAGCTGGAAAAGAAGCACCGATTGAAGCAAAAGCAATATCACCTCAGTATGATTGATGTGAACAAATACGCTCTCACAAGAGATTTGATTATGTTCATGTTGCTGGAGGAATTGTCTGGCCTAGAAACGAACTCTGAAGAGGCCGAGGAAGTCTTGACTACTTTATTCTTTGTCTTCATCGCCGTCATTATTCCTCGCGTCGCTTTCGACCACTTGCATCGCACCATCGAACGAGCCCTCTCCGCACTGCAGTCCGGATTGCAGCCACTGATTTGGATGTATCTCCATGAAGAGGACTTTCACTTGTACATTCAATCCTTGAAGAGCTGGAAAGGTAAAGCTTTGACCATATTCACCATTGCGGCCGCAGTAGATGAAGTTACTCTGCAACTGCATCTAAGAGTGATGGAATTGCCTCCTTTCTTTAGGAATAGATAGCTACCCGCTGCATGTAAGAAGGAAAACAAACTCTACAAGGTTACAGCTATCCTCTTACCCCCCGAGAGAGTTCTCCAGAAACACGACCCCCAGATGCTGGTATTACTCAAAGATCATATCGACCAGCCGAAATCGAATGCTGCAAAATTCAAAACCACCTTCAAGAGTACTGGAAATTTAACACAACCCTCGTCGATGTTGAATGGTATGATTCTTTAATTGACAAGCGTGATTTTGACATTGGTACAGACGCTTTTAGTGCACTAGAAATACTCGCCGAGGGATTTAAAACTTTACCTACGAAGGCGAAGATTCCTACCCGCTTATATGATCGATCAATTTGCTCCGTTCTTCATAGACGCTGCCCAATCGATCAAATATTTGAAAGGCCGTCTTCAAGTCGAAGCAATTCATGGGGACTATGTAGATGTTGCAGAGAAATTAAGATTTAAGTTGTACCGCGATGAAGCTAGTTCAGGTTCACCAAGAGCCACGGTTTCGAATATAATTCGCCGTAAAGACTTTCCAGTCTTGTATGATCGAGTACATTTGAGCAATGTTCCGTAAGTACTGTACTTTTTTAATATGCTTTCACTTCACTGCAGCTGAAGGTTCTTCATTGCCCACATTCTTGGGCGATTCGGACTTCTCTACTCGTATTACACGCTTTTCTCTAGCTTTGCAAATCATCTCCGATATCGTTGCAGTCCCTTCAAGACTAACAGCTTTCTAGTGACTACATGGGTGGGCATCTCTCAACGTTTTTCTATGCTTCTCCACTTTTGAAGCCAATTCCCTCCAGCTCCGTTGAGTCAAACTGTCTACGAAATTCGGGATCCTGGAATAATCTCGAGAGCTTCCTTGCCGAATATCACCGACACCAAGATGCTCTAGCAACTTACCTCTGTGACAGTCTTATCTCGCGGTACATACCCATGGCCCATGGCTAATTATACTCACTATGGAATATCAGAATCTCTCCTACGAAATTTTGGAGATTTGCTTCCTCGGAAACCTTTCATGAAGTGGTTCTATGCTTTATTCTTTCGTCTCGCCATGCCATACAATTTGGAATTGTATAATGTCAAGATGATAATTTACTCGCCTCTTCCCCTTAGTATTGTATTCCGTATTATCGTCCATCTCTGTATCATCGGTTATCCATCTCACTGGATTTCCGAAGCTTTGTCTAATATACTAGAGAACAAAGTACGTACTTATACATACCACTTATTCACTTTGCTTGATTCATGTTATCTGAACTCAACATCCGTATCTCGCCTCAGCCTTCTTGTGTGAACACCAATTGTATCTTGCCTTTATACTTCGAGGATCCTATATTCCGTGCGCCTATTTCATTTTAGGGTTTGGAGGATGAGGAGGTTGTGGGAATTAAATAAGAGGATCCTTATCACTGAAGTCTTTTGATCATGTAGGGTTGGCTTTTGAAATACGTCGCATGGGGATTAAGAGGTCCTGCAGAGGGGATATTTAGCGAGGTGTAGTAGTTCACGGTTGGTAGCCTCGGCGACTTCGCTTCGGTGAACAGCACCAACACTTGACATTGACTATTGGGGAGCATATAGTCAATGAGCCTAAGTTGAAGACAAGTCTTTGCTACTCCATTGAGGCTACTGACTCCCCGTGACATCAGAATAGGCAATAAATGTCTGATTTCTGCATCCATTTAGTGATTAGTTTCACTATTTTGATGAACTAACATAACGAAATTGCGGGTAATACTGTTGTGTGGCCTGATCTCAAACTGAAGGAAGTCACTTGTGTCACCCAACGATTATCAAAATAATCAGCAAAGCCTTCGCTCGAATTAAGTAATGCAATATCAAGTTGTGTAAGGCAGCCTCTGCTTTGGTCGTAGCTACCTAGACAAACAGCTCCCATATTCCTGTATTCTGAGTGGTTTTGCCCCTCAATCAACTTCGATTGATAACAAAGAACTAGTCGCTGTGACCCAATCGCATCAAATGTATGCCAACCTTACCTTCACGAATGTGAAATCATTGGCGATAACTTTTTTATGCGTTGAAACACAAGAACCAAAGACGATATTTGCCTCAAAGCTTTCAATATGCAGTATTCAATGAAAGACCAGATAGCTCTGGTACATCGCATACCAATACAACGATCCTCACAGACGTCGGGGCTGCCCCTGTGATGGTAGGCGAGCTGCCGAGGAGTAGCTCCAAGTTCTATGTTTGCAGTCCGAAAATTTAGTATGGAGATTCAGATGCCCTCAATCTGTTGCATATCAACGACAGCCGGACTACAGCACAAATTGACCGCAATTGCAGTAACATAAACGGGCAACAGAGACATTGATAGGTCCTCATATCTTTACCCAACTGCAGGTTCTCCAAGGATCTAGACCACCTGAAAAAGAAAACGTGGCACCTCCTAACACGCAAACAGTTCGCCAATGCAATGTCCTACGACTTATGTCTCCTCCCTCCATTTAGTTGCGGAGTTTATCCTCAAAATTGACCTCCGTTTTACTTGGCGATCATGATTCGTGATTCATAATAAAGGTGGAATTTTCTACAATTCTTGTATGGTCAATAAGTACAAGCCCTAGATCCCGCTGATTCCAAGCCCCGTTGGAGCCTATTTCATCACACTAGCATGGCAAACCCTCGAACATTTGCAGTGGCGCCCACGTCTGTCAAAATTGCATCTTCTAAGGAGATATGAAAATTTCCAGACTATTGGACTCCCAAGCAACGCAGTTGTGTCTTGGATCCTTGATAGAGGACTCCCCCAGAAGAGCAAATATACGTTTTCTACAATTTCCCGTTCGTTGCCATAACCCGCTCGCTCACTTGTGTATTGTCCCTTTTTTCAGCAAAAGCAGTATGGGTAATTAACCAAAATTTAGACTTCTTAAACTGTTTCAAAATGACCCCGAAACCGATGATTGTTTTCTTAATTCCTCGTTTTCCTGCCGAATTTCTCCTTTTTCGTTGTGTAGCGATGAAAATGTACATAGGGAGGAAAACTGGAAACTTTTTTGTTCGTATTCGCAAAGCTCGCTCGTAGGCACCCCCATAATTTTCGAAGAAAAAGATACAAGTCACTCGGCTTCTAGCTTAGCCTTAGGCTTGAGCATTCATTATTCATTATTCATCATTCGTCATTCATCATTGCGCATGAACATTGTGAATTGAAGGTCCTTCTCATATCTGAAGAGAGCTCCGGTATAAACATTGTAGAGCAGAAACTGAAACCCATAGAATATAGAACAGGCACCGCTGCAGAGACTGAATCTCTCTGTGGCGCAAAAATATAACATGGCACACTTAGCGCGAAAATGTATTTGAGTTTCTAAAGGTAAGTCTTTGCGACAAAGCCAACCAATCGCTCTCCGGCAGCACTTGAAGAGCAAAGAAGGCCCGGCTACTCATGCCACCAGATAGTCCGCAACTCGGGTAAACCAGCACGTACCCTATGATGGTAAACTACAAGGGAGTAGCCTAGTTTCTTTAGTTCCCGAGCTGCGGACTTTCTGGCGACATGAGTAGAAGAATGGTGACCGAGGAAAACTCAGCCAGGGCCGCAACGGCTTCTGAATTCTCAGATATTATGCCACTAATCCCAATCAATAAGCAATTGAGAAAATTGGAGATTTTAGCCGCGGGCCAAGCAATTAAACACGCTATGCCTACCAGACGGCATGGTGATAGATACCAAGATATTGGTTGGCATATGGAATTAAGGATACCGAACCCCGATTCAAAGAGCTATGTCGAAGCTTAGACTTGAATATAGACGAAATCGTATGATCGTACTCGAGTATGATCGAGAGAGCGTTGAAAGGGACTTCCCGAGAGGAAGCTCAAAGAGCTAACCCACTAACCTAGTAGAATAAGGCCATCGAAGAAGACTCAAGGCAGAGATAGTTCTAGGGAAGAGAAGATTAGAAATGAAGAAAGTGCCGTCAATTGAGAAAAAGATCGTGTAAATTTATGGCCTTAAGTCATAAAGAAATCCAAACGGTCTTGGAGACATGGACGGACCACAAGCTTCAGTTCCGAAATATGATAGATTGTTGCTTTGTCCTTATGAACATAGCATAGCAATAACTTATTGGCAAGTCCCATTGTATTGTCAATCTTTTTGGGCGAAGAATAATGGGGAAATTGAAGTTGTCACGGTTCTCGAGATCTCAACCACCCTAATGATAAAATCAAAGGCAATGGATACCCGGTGATAAGCTGTCTTCATTCGCAATACAGTCTAGAATACCGGGGGAGATACACGAAAGGAATCATCAGTGCTAGACTGATACGTAACTAGCCATCTTCAGCCACTTTTGAGGCAATGTACTGAATCTATGGAATTGTCACATGCTTGTCACATGCAAAGCATATCGTTGTTGCAATCTACTAAAACGATACACCTTCGTAAGCAAAAGCTAGAGGAGCGTGCTCACTTGTCACTCCTGACCGTATTCGCGTTCATATTCATGTATGAGCGATTATCTAAGTACCATTGCACTTGTATCATTGGTACATAACAATTTGACTTTCGGATAACCCATTAGACTTTCCAAGAATGACTTTTTGGCGACCTGGATTCCGATAAGAAGGGCTTTAGAGATTATCCTCTTGGCGACCAACGTTTGGTATGAAAGGCCAAATCCAAATGGATATTGCGGCCAATGCGGGGTCCCGCGGGGTGCATGAACCATGAATGTTGGTCGGCAAGGTGCTGATCGCTGGTCTTATCGCACAATCTCACCAATAAAATTGAATTTGATAGCCTTGTTGACTCAGTATACAAATCGAGATTGTGAGGGGAGAGCGGGTATGTTCTGAATTCGTAAGTCCATGTAGATGGATCATACGATTGCTGGTAAGGCCAAAAGTGGATATCGATGCAGAATTGATCAAATGCCATACCAAACAAGCATTAGGCATGCTGCATCGAAATCTTCATGGCGAAGGAGACTCTTCTCCGCTACATGTTCCCAGTAAACGAATCTTCATATCTTCAAAACTGCAGTAACGCCTACTGTATTACCAGACCAACCCTGCAGTAAGATACAGATGCGGAGTGTTGTGTTCGGATTTGACAACAGACATGGTAAGCAATTGTTCCTGACCAGCTGAGGCCGGGTATTCATTGAGTAGTTCATCCTCCTCCCCCTCCTACCGGTATTGTCTTATCTCGGTTAATTGATCTTTAAACCCAGACTACTCGAGTATATATGGCCTAGCTTCAGTGGCTCTGCATCACTATTACGGTAATTCCGGAAATAGAATTATATATTCTGATTGTAACGCACAGGTACAATATAATAAGCACCAAAGATTCATCGACAAACTCTATTGAAAACACTGATTTCTTGGTGTGAGGTGGATATATATATACTTTTTTAACTCAGCTAACCGAGTTGGGAACGAACCGCATTGGTCTAGCTGCAGATCATATAAAAAAAACTGAATAGATTATATGATTGAAAGAATCAAGAAATAAAGTTTATTTTGATTCCATATTTATCATAAGCGACTGAAACTAGGCTGTATACAGCTTGGCTTCGTCCGAATGCGGTTCGTTTTGAACTCAGTTAGCTGGTTTTCCGGGTTGTTTGATTAGCCTATTTTGATTTCGTACGAGAATTAGAGGATATCTATGGTTTAGACAAGAGGGGGTATGAAATGGAATCTCAATCAATGACCGTACTTCGAATGCATCCTCTCTCTCTCTTGTGCCAACAATATTAAGGACAAGTAGATTATAATAAGAATCCTTGAGATTGATAAAAGGGGAAAAGGAGATAATTTGAGTGAAACTTTGAGATCCGTAATTGCCTCGTAGTATCAAAACTCTATATTGTTGAGTCACGGGCTTGATATTTTATTGCAACCTCAATTGTATCATTGCTCTTTATCAAATCCAACAGATTTGATTTCTGTTGATGCCTTGTCCCAATTTCAGATATATTTGAGCAGCGTCAAGTTTCAAAGTTTCAAGCGTGAGACTTTACACAACCGAAAGTAGCCTGTACTTGTGCCCTTAGGCGACTTGCCCCGAGTAGCAAAGGGGCTCTGGCGAAGAACTGAATTCCTAAATTCAAATGGCATGTTATTCATCGATATTGGGGATAGCCTGAAGGAGACATGGGAATGATTTTCCATGGCATTGGTTTGATCGGCGCTATCTGAACTTACGATATATATCCGACACCTTACCGCACTCAAAAAAAGTAGAAGATCTGCTTTGCCAATTGTTCCCCACAAGTCACGGGTGGGTGACTTTGGTTATTCATAGCCGCAGGGAACTACTACCAGTACCGGTATGTATCTACAAGCAATTCTCTCAGCCCCCTTGGTCAACATTGTAACCGAATACGCACCCCAGCATTTTGATATACAGTGGTGTACGTCCGTATGGACTCTGGAGGTGCGAGCCGGCGATACCGATTTACAGTACCACACGACTGCACTAACTACGAAAATACTTACGAGGCATTCTTCCCAGCTCATCCCATTCCAGCACAATTTTTACAAGACGATAACTATATCTTCATATCAGACCATACAATCACCTGTTTTACGGTTATCACAAGTCCAAAGAAAAAGAACTCGTACCATTTGGCATTGGGTATCATTCGTTTCAAAAGCCATAGCAAAGCTTACGCGTGTTCTGTCTAATCAATCTACTTTCGTTCCCCGCCTTACCTCATGGAACATAAGATCCTTTCTGTCCGCACTGATTTCTTTATGTCAAATAAACACAACCATCCTGACTCCTTCATTCCCGTTGTTGATCTATCTCCACTCGGACCACACCTAAGTCTTGGAAGTCAGAGGTAGCTTCGAGATCGAAACCAACATTTCGATCGGTCTTTTTGAAAAAGACTTCAATCCCTGTTGGCCAAAAAGTCCACATATATTCACCCCTGTTCGAAGAAGTCCTCTCCACCTTGATTTCGATTACTTGAATTGGGCTCCTTATTGGGCATTACAATTTCATTTACCGGAGTTACCTCCTACTACTGACAATTTGGATAATTATTGTAAAAGTCCCAAAAGCCTCTTGAATATTTAAAACTTCTTTTTTTTCTTCTTTTCTCAGTGTCTAATCCAACGAAACATATCTACGTACAACATTGCGCGGCGCTTACATACCGGTACATTACTACTGTTGCATCTGCCTTCACTTCAAGCCAAGGATCTGCCTCTTTCTCTATTTTAGTGATTTAGACTACTACATACCGGCACAATAAATCCGTGTCCATTGAGATATATATATATCATATACTTAATAACTCCAACCTTTTTTATTATACTTTTGAACAACCACCGTTATCAACAAACATATTCAAGAGAGACAATACCTCACTGCTGCGAAAACCATCTCTTCCCTCGCACATCATCATCACCACACCTCACCATAATACATTCCAAATTTACAAAATGTCATCTTGCGCATTCTCCAGAGCCTCTTCTGCTTCTTCAACCTCTTCCTCCTCTTCCTCGTCATCATCATCACACTCGATGGAACCAAGAGTAGAAGTGATGCGCTGCTCACGATGCGCCAAAACTGTCGAAACTATCAGCACCTTACAATATCAAGGCAACGAATTACGAAGAGTCAATACGGATGATGCCAGTGCCAGTGGGATGGTACGATTTGGTCACAATTTATATTATTGTGATCGTTGTGCCAAAATGGTCGGTTACAAGTGAAGCGAAAGTTGATGAAGGGGTTTCAAAAGAGAGCACACAGTGCGACAATCACAACTTAACAACAACGAAGGAAAGAGATAGGAACTGAATTGATGGAGAGACAGAAGCTATGGGATGAATTGGTGTGAAAAGAATACTTTCTGTAAAGAAGGGATGGACAATGAAATGGGATTTGGAGTATGGAGTTACGATTTGATGGCACGATTGATGCCTAATACCGATACCGAATTGTTACAATACAGTAATGCTGTTTGCAATACCACCATTACCTCCCGGTGAAAGACCATTGTACAGATGTGTTACACTATTACAATTTTCACACTGCACAACGCGGAAGCGTTTTAGATGTGTGGTTGTACCACATCGCATCGTGTCGCTACCGGTACTCCTACCCCGCCAAAATACTGCATCACAGCGAGCACAGCCAAATTCAATACAACCTTTCAACTCTACAACACTATCTCGCTTTCTTGCAATTGCCAACGACTCGGGCCCTCACAAGCCAACGATGCAGAAATGTCTTCCAAGTCAAGAAAAGTCCGAAAAAAATACGAGCATCAAAAAACAAGGTATCCTCAAAAGAAGCATGCATGTACACAGCCTCTTTAATTCAGCTTACCAATCGTTCACGCCAAGAGGAAAGACAAAAACCGGTAATAACTGGCAATCCATCATCCTTGCATTCATTCTGTTTGCTCTATTACCTCCCCATAGAGTGTGGAGCTTTATGATTGGGCTGGTATTTGGACGGGGCCGAAAAATTTCTGTAGGAGAAAAAATGCTTTTATGGCTTGAGAGGTTTATGGAGTTGAGTGTGCTCAGGTGATGTCACTGCATATTGCGAGGTCTTTTAAACCTTGGTAATTCGACAGTTTGGAGGGTCGTTAGATTTTCTGAATGGAGGTGCACATTAATAGCTTGAAGAGGGTATTTTTAGACCTCAGGATAAAGTCCGAGGATATATAGACGGGAGTTACAGTGATAGGGACATGTAGGTGCATGAGAAGAACAGGCAATGATGTCAGTGCACTTCGTGTGCCTTCATGTGATAGCATCTCGAGCGGTATCTTCAGGGATAACTCACTTGTTTTATTTACTTTGTAAATATTTAGCTGGACGGGACTGGATGTAATATTAGAAAATGCGAAACAGAAACAGACATAATCAATCATCATACAATACATATATACATACTACTAGCTAGCAACGCAAGGAGTGCAATCCTAGCTCCGAATCTAGCACGTGATTGACAAAGAGACTAATTCTGTGCATGAGCCACCGGTGTCGGTACCCCTTGGATTGCATAACGATGAAGATAACAATTGTTTGGTAAGGTTAAAAGGAAATGATACGAATTCACGTGATAAACCGATGAGCTGACACGTATGTGGAGACTCTGGAGAGTGGGGTATGGGGATCTGGCCGCATTACGCTTCGTCGAAAAAGCGACGATTAGAATAAGAATGATCTGGCCGTGTTTTTCTTTGGGGTTCCACGGAGTACATACGGAGTAGTGCGTAGTCATGCCACTTGGTGACTGGTCACTGGTGGAATTGCGTCGTTCTAGGCATTTGGAGACAAGACACTAGAGAGAGATTTGAGGACTGTTGGTGAAGTTGAGCATGGCTGGGGGAGGGTGTGTGTGAAGTTAAAGTTCTAGACTGAGGAGGTAAGGAGGAATGGGTTTGGATACAGTACCGGTATGTACCTAGGAGCGAGAGAGTCTTATGAGCTGTGGTCTGTGATAAGAGGTGTGGAGAGGCTTGAGACACGGAGACGGACGTGTGAGGAAAATCTCTTTCCACCACACTTGGCGAAAGATTTTTATGTGTCAATTTTGGGGGAGTGATGGAAACCGTTAACTGCATCGCTGCACAAATGTAGGTACAATGTTAAGCGGGTTTAAAAGAGAGATAGATGAAAGGAATGGGAGAACACCGGTGGATAACTGATGCTGGGAAACGGGAGTGGATATTGGAAGTCGTGGTACTTTTCCATTGGCCAAAAACGATCCAAAGGAAATGAAAGGGCGAAGATAGTCAAAAGAGAGGGTAGGTGGTAGGGGGTGAGTATGCCTCCATATAGATGTGAAATTCCTCGCGATAGTTGAACGCAAGAGGATTGGGCAAATGGGGAAGGTACGATAGGGTTCTGGGACGAGGATGCAGATGCAGATGCAGATGGAAAGAAAGTGAGGCGACGAGTAGCATGGGGATATTTGACGGGGAGAGGGATGGTTGGAATTTGACAGTTGTGGGCGGAGAAGTATGCGATGCTGAAGGTTTTCCACCTTTGAGATACTTCGTCGTGGATTGCGCTGTCAGTTGTTTATCGAAGATCGGTGATAACTACGTGTCCTTCTCTCATCATTCTTCACGGACTTTTCCCTTGTAGGCAAAAGATTCCCGAACCTGAGATGACTACCCTCCGGTTCCTAAGACACTTTCGCCCTGGAGTCAGGACCTAAAATGGTAAGATATACCTTTCTCATTGGAAATGTATCAGAGACTTGCAAGTGCTGTTTAGATATTGTATGAGAAAGGGATTGGACGATAAAGCCACAATGCAAAATCTGAATTGGGAAGCAGAGTTCGAGTTCGAGTTCACTGCGTTGGGCTCGGTACTTGAAGAAGGGGAGTCAGCACATACTTGGTTGGCTCAAAGTCACGTATTAAAACAGAAAACGGGGCTTGGAAGCTTATGTTTGATTACCCAACCCATCTCCCATCTCCTATCCCCCATTTCTGCATTTGAAGCACCCATTGGCCACCGGCAAGATGTTGGCGTATGGCCAGAACAATTATCAACAATTTGTTGCGAGATTCTCTCAAACGCGCTTACATTTCTCGATCACCCTGTCTTTTCTTAAGAATTCAGGCTTTCTTCCAACACAGAATCTTATCTTTGACTCCACGTTTGGCGTGACCATGCTTTTTATCATACAGGTCTCGACATTGTCTCACGGACATAAGGTTAAACCCTCCTTCTTCGTTGTATTCGTCCCAGGCTTTGATGATATTCTGAAGATCGACATTCATCAAATTGTTTGAATCATGAGTCTTTTTCACAGCCCTAGAACTCTTTACAATTTTCTCAAGACGGTCCAAATCGATGAACTCGCTGTATTTAGGGAGCTTTCCAGTGTTAAAACTATGAGAAAGTTCTAGTTCAACAACTTCCCTTTGATCCTTGGTGAAATATATTTCCTTTTCTTCCAATTTCTTCATAAAAGTTTCGGCTTTCTCTTCCCACATCGCCCCACAGTCGTATCCAAACAGCAAGTTAGGTGGAACTTCATCACCACACCTTGCTCGAATGACGTTGGACAAGGCATACTTCAAGAACTCTTTGTCTTCTCGGAAGTATGGGAGACAAATAAGCTCCGACAACGTTTGGCAGAATTGATTGCCCAAGTATGTATCATTTTCGATATACCGATCTTCCGCTTTGTAGTAAAAGCCGTCCACATGGCCATTGGCTGCTCTGAGACCTCTTGGAAACAGATCATGAGGTGCGCAATCAAACATCTCTTTGCATCTCCACCAAAGTGCTAGTTCTGAAGGGGATGTGCCCTCCAACAGTATTTGATCGTCATCCGTCCATTCTGGCGATTCCGAAATTGACTCGGCATCTGCTAGCCGGTCGAAATCTGGCATATTTTCATCAGAGAGAGAAGCTTTTTCTTTCCCCTTGTATGTAGGAGGTTTGCGCTTGTTCTTCGTTGAAGGTGGGGCTGTAGGAGAGGAGATCATTGAATTGACACTGTGTGTTTCAGATTCAACCAACTCATCGCTATCATCTGGATACTCATCCACCAATATTTGATGGTCATCCGTCCAATTTGACGAGTCTGGAATTGACTCGGCATCTGCTGGCCGGTCAAAATCAGGCATGTATTCATCGGAGAGAGAAGCTTTTTCTTTCCCTTTATATGTGGGAGGTTTGCGCTTGTTTTTTGTTGAATATGGGGCTGCAGGAGAAGATATCATTGAATTGACGCTGTGTGTAGCAGATTCAAAAACAACTTCATCGCTATCATTTGAATCCTCATTCACCATCTTACCCTTTCCTTTGACATCTGCAAATCTTTGAGATGACTTACGTTTGGGCTTGCTGGAGATTGGATTCTCGGGGAATTCATCTGAATCTGTATCAGATAGATTACCACCCCATTTGTTCTTACTAGTCTGATTTGGAACAGATGAGAGGAACTTTGAGATAGTGAGGCTTTTGTAGCCTCACTTCTTCTCGGCTTTGTAATCTTTGATGATTTCAAAGCTTTGTGATCGTTACCGTCACTATCTTCATCTTCAATCGACGATTTATCATCATTGAAAATGGGTGATTGCGCACGCGATGTTTTACCGCGACGCTTTGGAGGTGGAGTTATGTCCATCTCAAATTGAGAGTCGGATATACAATCCGTCCGTAGAGGCAGATCCTCTCGGTCTTCACACTGCTGATGATGCTATTTTTTTTATAGTATCTTGATATCTGCAAACCCTTTGTAGTGGGTTGTTGTGTTTGTTGTGTTGTGTTTTGAGGTGGGGGAAAATACCGAGAATACCTACAGATCTTTTTTGGCCACGCTAAAATTTCACTTTTACATACACCATAAACAAACGACAATTCTTCTTGTCTGTAACTCCTCACTTCTTGAACTTCAAAATATCTAGACCGAACTTACCTCATCAATCATGGAGATTCGCGCACCATCAGATGGTGCTACGCCAATCAAAGATTTGAGAGCAGTCTATCCTGGAGCCATCAAGAACATCGCAGTGACTCTTATAGGTATGCGACCATATGCTGGATCTGATCTTGACTCAGACATCCCCGCCGACCAAGCAAGCCAGAAATCATTAGAGCGCATCCAGTCCATGAAAGATGCTGGTAGACCTCTGCCTCAATGTCCTAAAGTCGATACGAATGGAATAGATGTTGCATTGATAATGTTACGCACTCTTCTGGCTTATCACATGGATTTGTGTATCCCTCAAGACAAAATTACGGCAGAGGAGGTCGCCTTCTACAAGGCTGCTTGGATGAATATTGGTTGGCATGAGACTGACGATTGGGAAGTTAAAAAACAACTCTTCAAGTCACTCCTCGGTGTTCGAGTATTATCTCCAAAAGATATCAACGAATCAAAGTTGTGTTTTGAAGGTATCCTTGCACACACCAAATTGCAAAATCTTTTCAAGGAGAGCACCCGGTTCAACATCACGAGTCACCTATTCAGAGAAAGGAAGATCGATGAACCGGAATCGGTATGGATAAGAGGTACATCAGATCCTCTCATCCTCTCCCGATTCAACGATTTGGAATGGGACGGAACCAAAGAATTAGGTCCTTTTATCAACAGACATTTCGACTCTGTCAAATACAAGGGGTATCTGCGATTACATTACGGCGCAAAGCCATTGTTTTGTAGAGTCTTATTTGAACCCAAGATAATCAGGTCCATATCTGAACTCTGGAGTTTCAGGATGGCTGGAACAGTAACGAAAGAATTCGAAGAAGGCGATACATGCTATTACCATGATGAAACGAAGCATACGTACGTTCTATGCGCCATTATTAGGTTGGGAAATGGAAGTGATGTCAAGGACGACATTCGCATATATGCAGCCAACGGCCGAGAGATCGTCCCCATGCCTTCTCTAGGAAGACCTAAAGAGTTAGTGGGGAGATCTGAATTTATGGAATCGGGAAAACGATGGTCCATTCAAGACGGAGGTCGATATATGCTCTTTTATGCGCGATCTATACCACCAGAAGGAGAACCAGATCCTGAGACATTCATTGACTATGATGCTCCTGAGTTTAAACCGAGACGATCTTGGGTTCCACCTGATAATTCGATAATTGAAGCTTCTTCAACGGAAAATGCCTCACTCGACCATTCCATGACCGATGTTCCTCCCTATGTTCCTCCCGATGATTCATATATCGAAGGATCAATTGATCATGACGTTATTACTGGTGATGGTGCCAAAGTCAATCTACCAATTCGAGGCATTTTGAAGGCACCATTAACAATGCTTACGGGGCCCAGACCAGGAATCTTTGCGGTTGTGACACCAGCATTCCTTTCAACAACTCCTGTAGTTCTTACACTCCAAGATTTCTCATCTCGCGGTGTAGGTTCCTCTTCTGGTCAGAATGACCGAGGTCAAACCTCCAATTCAAGGGGACGTGGCTCGAATATGAATCCCAACGGAGAGAGACTAGGCTCGCAACCCAACAGATGGGGGCAACCCAACAGAGGGAGGCAACCAAACAGAGGGGGGCAATCCAACAGGGGGGCAAGCTTGGAATCGGAACCCAAAAGAAAGAATACGTCTCGTGTCAAGTTTGCGGACCTACCTGAAGAATGAATAAGACTTGGAGATTGTTGTAATATAGGTGAATATAGCAACGTGGTCATGCACTAGGCATATTGCGTCCATATAGGCTTCCCGCCTTCAAGTAGGAATAGCCTTAACTCATATAATACAATTACTTTATAATAACTGATTGAACCAATATTTGACGTCATTGTAATCACTGCCGAAATAATATGAATGATAATTAGTATGAGGCCTCTGTCGCTCTGATGCCATTTTGATTACCAGTATCTCAATTTTTAATCAATATGATGTTTATGACAAAAACTTCAGGCTCGAGACTAGAGGCTTGATGATCTGTTAGCGAACAAGAAGGTAACCCAAATAACATTCTACACGTGACTCAAAGTTATCGATTCACCCGCTCTCGCGATCGAGGCTACGCTGCAATTAACATTTACAAAACTGACTGCTTGCTTGTTTATTCAAAGCTGGAACAATGAAGAGAACGAACAGCTAGCTAGCTTATCGAGAGAATTTCCAGGCGTCTTGTGGAATATGAAAGATGACATCTCAAATGCAATATCGGAATACGAATTCATCTCTACAAGATACTCGAGTATATCTGTACCTCCTCGAACCTCCTCACCATCTATGGAAAGGAAGGAGTGAACACTGCAAACACTGCAAACAATGCCGTGCACATATATAGGCATGAAGAAAATAAACAAGTTTCATACCAATATCAAGCACCCACTGGCATTACTTTGATTGAGAAACATTTGTAGCAGCTCCCGTCTACAAGAATCCAAATGTACTAGGTAGGATACAGATTCAGCTCAGGAACCATCTGCATACATCTCATTCCCCCTATTCACTTCCCCTTATTCCCCCCATCTCCATCTCCATCTCCATCTCCACCAATCCCATCCCATCCCCCCACATCCATCTATTCATCCCATTCCCACTCCCATTTCACCCAACCAACCAACCAACCAACCAACCAGTCCAGCCAATCCAACCAGTAACCAATCTAGCCTTAATTTCTCATCTCCACACCCAGGTCAGGTAATCAATCATCTTCTTCATTTGATTTCTTGATTTCTTGAATACTGTCTATCTGTCTATCTGCATATCTTCCGTCACCAAACACTATTCTATTCTTCAATCTCCTCTGAACCACAACTCATACCGCCACTACAGCCACAGCCAAGCTCGCTTCCAATTACACCACGGCAGAAGATAAGATACAAAAATGCTCTGTTTGCATTTGCTATACTAGCTAGCATTGCGTAGCTCAAGGTATCAACCAATTCGGAATTATCCATTCTCTCTCTCACTACCTGTATCACCCCCTAACAACCCAACAACCCTATACCCACACCCTTACACACCCTCACCCTACATTCCCCACCCACTCACCCCCTCTCTCCCACCTCCCCCACCACTCCCCCCTCTACCATCCAATATCTTCTCTCCCAGTCCATCCCAGTCCCTCCTAGTCCCTCCTAATACCTCACCCATATACACCCCTCCCTCACCCCCTCTCACTCTCCCTCACCAACCCTCATCCAACGACATCAAACCACCCAATATCACATCACATCTCCGCTCTGCTCTCCAATCGCTTTGGGGAATCAAAAAACAAAACACAAAAATCGAGAAGAACCACCCCATCCTGCCCCAAACGACAGCACAAAAAAGTATTAGGAAAATTTACTCGGTGAGAGCATGTAGGAAAATCATAAAATTCGTCATCCATCCTCTTTTCTTTACCACCTCTCCTCTATCCCCCTTTCCCCCCTTCCCCCTTCTCTCTCCAAACCCCCTTCTCCATCACTATCGAAAATCAACCAAGGAAATGTAATTTGTATCGCGTGTCCAGCACACACTGAGGATTTCAATAAACAATTAATGCAGATGAAAAGTTTCAACAAGTATGAATTTCTTTGGTATTTGTCAATCCATGAATAAAACGAAAACAATTGGTGATCGCTCAGACCTAGTCTTCTTGTCAAGTATGAACCCTTCCGCTCCATGACGCCATAATTCTTGCTTGCCTGCATGCTTAGTTCAATTTAAACACAAATGAAAAAAGAAGAACTCCGTATTGGTGGAGAGAACGTATTCCTTAATCCGTCCTCAAAAATTACATAATAACGCAACAACCGCAACCCTTATTCGATTCAGGAGAATCTTGAACACGAATTGGTGGTTTAGGATCTGGAATATTGACTCCTTGAGGTTTTCCCGTTGCGATTTTAGGCATTGTACTATAACTTCCAGCCCTCTCCACTTGCGATCGTGCACCTGTACTTAATGTTGGTGTGGAACTCAAAGCAAAAACAGGTGAAAGTGGAGAAACGGGGGAGATGGGCGCTGTAGGTGATTGCGGTGCGGCCAATGGCCATTCTGGAGCTGATTCTTCTGATTCTGGTTCTTCTGGTCCATCTGGTGGTGGAGAGAAGGAATCTGGGCGTGGTATGTGTTCCTGTTGATTTAATGGCCTAAATGATGTATCATAAACATTTCCATATTTTCCCTCCTTCTCCCATTGTTCTTGTTGCATACGTTTTGCATGAGTTGGAATCACTTGTTGATCGGGGGGTAGTCGAGGATCCGGTTTGTACATAGTAGCCAACCAAGGTGGATCACCTTCGGGACGTTTCGAGGTATTGATTATATCGCCGGAACGAGTTTTTGGTCGTAGATCTGGCGCATTTGTTCCCGGCTTTTGTTTTTGTCTTTGCGCTGACGCCTGCCGACTTCCAGGAAGTGCAGCATTTGCACCAATAGATCCTTTCCGTCCTGATGTCTTTTTGGTAGGAGATCGTTCCGATGGTGATGCTCTAGCAGGAGTAGGTGAAATTCTAGCAGGAGGAGGTGATATTCTGGCAGGAGTAGGCATGGGTATATTCGCAGTGGTTGGTGCAGAATCATCAAGTCCAAAAGAGCTTTTCATACTATGACTCCGGCTTCTTGCTTGCTTGAATGATAATGGATCATCCTCATCATACCAGTTGGCACTGGGTTTCCGAGGTATAGGTGTATCTCGTTCAAGGTAATCGATCGGTATTGGTAAAGGACTCGATTTCGAAATGGGTATCTTAGATATACCTTTCGTACCAAGGTCTCCCGCAGCCTCTTCAGGTAATCGTAAATCCCAAGCATTAGATCCATCTCCGTCCCCCATCGAGTTTGTGCCCATCTTCTGCCGTTTTTGTCCGTCACTTCTGAGCCCATTTCCATGGTCTTGACTACGATCTCGGCGACTAGATTTGCTTCCTGTCCTTGGTCGTGGTATTGTTATTCCAGCTGCTTGTAATTCCTCATTCTCAATTCGAGCCAATTTATCTCTGTGAATCCATCTTGAATGTTCTAAATTATCCATCTCATGTTTTTTACCATTCATACCTCTCCTCTCCCCAAAATCCATACCTTGACCACCTTTATTATTTTCATATAGGTCCAGTAAGCTATCGGGAGCGCTAGGGGTGTCGCTGATATCACTATGCTGGCGATTTAATTCATTTGCACCAACTGGAGCCAAATGATTGGAGTCGTGAGCAGTTCGAGGACCGAAGGTTTCTGTACTTGGACGTAATGCGTAACCGTTCGGTTGAGAGAGTTGTCGATTATGATTTGGAAAGTCGTCCGCAGAAGGTGAGGTAGGCTGAATAAACTTTAATTAGCATGAGAAATGGTAAGAACCAGAAGTATATTCCTGAAGATCGATTACCTCTACTTGAGCTGGTACAGAATAATTCCAAGAATCTTGACCATGAGAACTACTTGGTGGTGTCAAGCTGGTATGAGCTTGAGATGTAGAGATTGTTGCCATTTTGATGAAAACAACCTCCCACCTAACAATAATTCACTTTCTATCACAATCTTCTTTTATCGGGATCGGTTTATGAATTGTATATTGAAGTTCTCTTAAGTCGTTCCCTCAATCTCTCCAATTGGCGGATTGGCGAATAGGAGCTCTTTTCGTAACCTTTCTCAGTACGACAAATCCAAATTACAACGATTTTCGAATGAATTATTAATTGCAGAATGAATACCTCAAGGAACTTTTTTTGGTGGTCGATAGGAAAATAGGAGAGACTTTCTGTATGTAGATAGATGTAGTGAATGTGAATGTAGTTGGACTGGTGAACGTGCGTCTGCAGTGCGGCAGTGCCAAACAAGAGACACAACAGTGAATGTACCGAAAATTAATTTATTATTGAAGAAAAGGAAAGTAAAACCAAACGAAGATAATAGAAGTTGCTAATGAATGACCGAACTAAAGACTTATGAACATCGAAGGACAAAACACAAAGTTCTTTCTTTCTTTCTTTCTTTCTGCGAGCGAGGTTTAGAAGTCGGAAGTGTGAAATTGGTAGTGAGAGGTGAGAGATGGAGAGATGATCGTGGGTGAGGTGAGTTGAAATATAAATATAATGAAAGAATAAAAAGAAGCTATTGACTAACACCACAGTACAGACTGCAGATGTAGATGTTAGATGTAGAGTACAGACCAGACCAGACGACTTAATGATTGTACAGTACACCGGAATACTGATGAGTACCTAGCACATAACCTTTTCTTTTGATCAGGGAAAACCAAGTAAATAATCTTAAGCCTTGCGAAAGGAGAGTAGCTTAACCGAAAAGCGGATTTCACTAGGATTTGTATTGGTTAACATTTTGGCAGGTGGTCGGGATGAATATCCGAAGAAGATATCCGACCGGTAATTTGATCTGTGTGTTCAATAAAAAAAGTAAATAAAACTTCTTTTCATCTTTTTCTCCGAATTTCAATGCAAGAGGGATGAGTGATGGTGATAATGTGATGGTAATATGGTAGGTATGTCAGGATGAATGTCATTCTAAAATGTTGTGTTGTGAAGAAGTATGTATGGTCGAATGGTCGAATCAAATCTATTCATTCATCTATCTCCCTTCGCTCCAAATTTTGATATCTCAGCCTTCCTAGGTACGAACGAGGCTGGCTACCTACCTACCTACTTACCTATGTACCTTCGTCCTTTCTCTTCCAATAATACAATACTCAAACTATATATTTCCCATGATTCGTCGCCGTTATTGCACCATTATCAAACCATACAGAGTACCGGTATATTACTGAAAGGTACTTACTTGTATTAACTGTACTGTACTTCACCATGGCAGATTCCTACTATGAACTCGACCGTTTGGGATATGGTATAGAAGACTCTCAAGACTCTCAAGACTCTCAAGGCTTTCAAAACTTTCAAGACTCTCAACACTTTCAAACTACTTCATCATCGCAGGAACCTCAATTACCATTTATCACTCACCCTCACACTCGCACTACTGTTACTCGCAAAACCCGTTTCGTTTGTATTTCCGATACTCATAATGGTACCCCTCATGGATCATTTAAACTTCCAAAAGGCGATGTTCTCATTCATGCAGGAGATTTTACAAATCAAGGAAATTATATTGAATTGGAAAAAACTATAAAATGGATTAAAGAAGCCGAATTCGAGGCCAAAATCATCATTGCCGGTATGCATAACATCAAAGTTACTAGGGAACTCCCTTCATGAATGGATTAGACCCCATTAATTTTCTATTTCCATCTCATTTATTCCGAACAACTAAACTAATCATTATGCAAGGTAACCATGACATAACTCTCGACCCTTCCTTCTACTCCCAATATGGACTTTACTTCCATAATCAAAATCCACAAGATACCACCAAATGTCAAGGATTACTGGATCGTTCGCCTTCAATCCTATACCTTAACCATGAAGCGGCTGAAGTTTCTTTAGCATCACCTAACGGTCCACATACCACGTTTCGTATTTTTGGCTCTCCTTTTTCCCCTGCAAAAGGAATGTGGGCATTCGGTTACCCTCAACCTGAAGCTTCAAAAAGATGGGACGATATTCCACTAGATGTCGATATAGTACTCACTCATACACCACCCAAATATCACTGCGATGAAAGGAATGATCGTGTCGCAGCGGGCTGCGAATATTTACGTCAAGCATTATGGAGAATTCGTCCAAGGTTAGCGATTTGCGGCCATGTACATGAAGGACGAGGTGCCGAAATAATACAATGGGATCTTGGAGCTTCGAATATTAAGTTCAAGGAAAATGGTGTTATTCGTTGGGAAGATCCAGGTAAAGATAACAAGAAGATGTCCCATATCGATTTGACTTTGAAGGGAAGAGTGGGAGAAAATTCTTTCAAAAATGATGGATCCATGGGTGATTGGGAAAATATGACAAGTTCATCTACTGCTAATTCTAGTAACCTTACAACATCAACTGGAAGTGGCCTACCTCTATCACCCGAAAACATGACACCAACTCAAAATAAATGGCGGCGGAAGAACCCAATGGCCAAAATGGCAATTTCGAACGTGACAAAGAGTTTACTTGCCATACCTGAGGAAACACTCTTTTTGCCAGCTCGGGGACAAGGTGGAATGCCACCATCGTTACGTTGTGATATAGAGGCTCTTTCCGGACGAATGGGTCGCCAGGAAACTTGTGTGGTCAATGCAGCGATGATGGCTTCTAGTTGGCCACATGGGAAAGGAAGAGGAGGGAAGAAGTTTAACAAACCAATTGTGGTTGATATTGAGTTACCAGTTTGGAAAGAGGTAGAGTTGTGATATCACATAGGGAATGTTATGGTATTCATGAAATGGAAAACTCTCATTGACATGGTACTGTGGTAAGCCTTTTTAAAGTGAATCATCTTCGAAGCGTGGAACATCTGGACTAAACTGTTCCAATTCAAGGTGGAGTTTTAGCTCACATCTTGGATACCCAGACAAAGCAGAATCATCTCAAGCATACCAAGGTAGATCTATTTTGATTCTCCTTTGTTAGATTTTACACTCTCTTTATTCTAATTGACAAAAGAACAAGTCTGGAACAACCCACCCAAACCCAGATACCCACAAAATTTCATCAAATCGATATTCGAACGATCTGGCCACCACTAGGTACCGTACTTGTACCTCCAGTAACAACATAAATAAACTTCCCATCTCGCGATATTGTCAGTGCAGTCGGACCCAAAAGAAGCGTACTGTTACCACCACCTGCAATTGTCGTCTGTACTCCATGCGGGGTGATCTTCACCACGGAGTTAGGGTGTGATGCCACATATGCATTTCCTTCATCATCAAACGTAAAGTCATCATACGCAGCAGTAAGACTTAATGTACCCTGGTATTTCGCAATCACCTCAACTTTCCCCGCTTTGCTACCATCACGATTGATCTTTACGCGGCCAAAGGTTCCTTGATCCGAGTTGGTGAAGTATACATAGTTGTGACGTATCTGGATACCGTTTATCCCAACTGGCAGTTCAGAGTTGGTTGAAGCAAATGCTGGATCCGAAAATGCAATATCGAAGGCTCGGGTACGGGTATTGGTGCGATAGATACAGCCACAGAGGGACTCGGCACTCAGTACTACCCATGGTGTGGCTGGCAATGCGGCCATTCCGTTCAGTAGTTGTCTGTTGGGATTGGTGATGGGGATGGTATCAATGACTCCTGCGCTGCCGTCATGTGGGTTCTCTGGTATAGATACGGCATAAATGCTCATACTGTCATTTACAAAGGCGTACGGTAAATGTATACCACCACTTACGGCGTAGAGGTTTCTGTCAATTGTTGCTATGCCTGTGAGAGCATAGCTAGGGCTATCGCTGATAGTAACAACTGGAACTGGTGATGGCGTCGCGGCTACAGGATCAATCGTTACCAAAGTACCATTTGCGAGAGTACTAAGTAATAGGTGACCATTATCTCGAGTGTGGATATTCTCGATGAAGACTGGTTGCGGGAATTGATAGATGGTTTTGATGGAATTATTTGCTCCTTGGCTATCACCGAGGAGTAAAGGTACTTGAAAGAGAAAGGTAAACAATTTCATGGCGATGAAAGGAGTTTCTAAGTGGAACAAAAAGTACAATTAGGAAACGATAACTCGGACGTTATCCTTTGATGCTGTAGGAGGCAGTTTCATATCTTTATACTTCACTCCAGCCATGGGAAATATATTAATGACTCACTCTTATACAACAAGAAACCCCAGGTAGCGCAAGTACGACACCAGTCTCTCTTATACGATGAGGTCAACTTTCCGAGCTGTCTGGAGATCGTCCCATACAATGTCTGACTTTACCGATCTCGTGCGCTTGTACTGCCGTGCTAGCTGGTACAGTAGTTCTCTCCAGCCACATATCAAAATGAGATGTCTCTCCTGGAAATTCTCTTTGTTGGTGGCTAAGGTAAGGTGCGATGGAAAGTCAGCCAGTGGCTAACAATTTTCTGTGGAATTTTCGTAATGATGAACGATCTGAATTGCACTGGGATCGTACTAGTACCACGTCCCTGCTCCATCTACAAGCCCCAGAAATTTTGGCTAATATCTCGAGATATACTAATAGCCATCATTCATTTTGTTTTGTGGAAGATGAGATGCTTCGCTGACGTTCATTCAACGTTATTTGTAGGTTGTTGTTACTGTAGTAATTCTACTAGCAATTGTAGTGAACTTTTGGCGCCGGCGCGGACCACATTTTCAAGACGAGTTTAGTTGTTGTTTGGATTAATATATTTTTTATGCTTCTACTTGACAGGACAACCATTCTGCTCGAGTGAGCAATGATACTACGTATCTTAAGTACGGCTAGCTAGAGACTGTTATATCTCGATTCTACATTAAGTTTGACAGTAATCGCTTAACTATAATAATCGACTACTAGAAAAGGCGCCTACGAATCAGGGAGCCATAGTCTTGGTCTAGACATTGTTCTAGTCTGGGGGCATCAAGTCAGCAAAGAAACTTACTGTACTAACAGAGACTATTGTACAACACTGTTCATAGATGAAAGAAAATATTTGAACAATCCTATTCAGCTTTTACATTAAATTGTACTCAGATTGTTCACATTATGTTTAAATTTCGAAACAATTACACCGTGTTAACTATAATACTGACATGATTTCTTCTCTGGACATACTATCGTTCATTTGCAACGATCTGCAACGATCTGCAACGATCACAACATCAACAACATCAGCCAATCTTTTCAGAAAACCCAGAAACAACGAAGTTCAGATCTCAACCAGACATACCCAACATGTCATCAAGATTTTGGACCAACACGCCGTTGTCCGCAGAAGAGAGAGCTCGACGAAGAAACCTCTCCAATGAGGAACGTCAAGCCGAAGCCAAAGCCGCCCGAGAAGCCTACGACAGAGCCCAGAGCAACGAGGAGTCTTGGTACCAACCACGCAAAGAGCCCAAGGATTCCGAATTCCGCCGCCGTCAAGCAGCAACACCAGAGCCCTCAGCCACCTGTGGCAATCCTGCTTTCTTCGGAGGCGCACCCGAACAGAAAAGTGCCAAGAAGATGAAGCAGGAACAAAAAGCCAAAATCAGGGAACGACGCCGTGAATCTCGCCGCGAAGCTGAAAAGGCCGCCGCAAAGGAAAGCAAACGCCTTGCAGACATGAACCAATGGGATTACGCCAAGATGTGGCAACGTCGCGATCGCGAGGCCTACGGGTCAGCCTTCGATGATTTTTCCACATCCGCAGCGGATTTCATCAAAGACAACACCAAGCCATTTCCTAAACTCAAGAAACACGGTTGTGAACGCAACAATTGTGTGAATGGGAATGTGCTTGGGGTGTGTCATCATGAGGTGGAGGCTACTTTGAGAGGTAGTGGGTGCTTTGATGAGAAATCGGTTAAGAAGGAGAGATTGAGGTGGCATCCGGATCGCTGGACTGGCAAGGGTCAGTTGCAGGTTATGAGTAATGAATTGTTTCAGCTCATTCAGAGGATTGTTGATGGGGATGAGAATGCAAATGCAAATGCATCTCGTAGTCATGAATGATTGGTCTTGTATGAACTGAACTGAACGGATCCGAAAGTCAGGAGATCTGGATTTGCTGATGAGGGAAAGGGAAAGAACAAGAAAAAAAAAGAAAAAAAAATCGAAGGGGGATAAAAAGTAAAAAGAGTAGTTGAGTTGATCTCCCTATTGATTGTTTTTCCTTTGCTTTTTTTGTTTTCACTGGTATGATATGGAATGGTATGGTATGGGATGGGTCGGATTTTCAATGGATTCTACTCTACGAGTACTACTCGAGTACTGTTTTCCGGGTTTCTTCATTTTCTTGCGCTAATAAATGATACTTTTTAAAAAAAAATTTAAACTAATGCTTGTGTGAATCAAAATTGTGAAGGATTGAATTGTGATGTTATGTGATGTTATGTGGGTTATACTCGAGTAATATTAAGTAATATATTGAGAGCTCTTACTTAGAGATTAGACTGTGAACCCAAGAATCTAGAATCCGATCCGGGATGGGATTGAGAAATATACTGAGTACAGATAGAATAGATAGATAGATAGATAGATAGATAGATAGATAGATGGTATGGTTGCCTAGGTAGTTAGTTATATTGATGTTTGCGTGTATTACTCGAGTAGTAATCTACGGCTTTTAGGAAGTGGGTAGGAGACTAAGAGTTCATTATGATTAATGTACTAGTTAATGGGTTGGTTGGTGGGTTGATTGATGAAAATACCGATGGCCCCAGACTCTGCCCCTAATATATCTGAAGAATCTGTTACCGGTTCGTTGCCTATGGGTCAGAAGATCTAGAATCTCGATGGAGTATTATCGAAATGTAATTTTAGTATTTTACTGCTGACATATTGTATACGGTATACCGTGGCTTGGCAGTTATATTATACTAAAAATATCATTTATAAGCAAGCTAATGTTATGTCGCGGTAGACAGATAGTTGAGATGTTACTATAGATGAGTAGATGAGTAGATGAGGTATATATACAGGATAGATAGAAGTAGTCTGCGTAACAAAGAAGAGTATATATATATACTCAAGCCTAGTCTACTGTATGTAGTCTCGCTTATATTCCTCAGATATTGACATATTCAAGTTGCACAGTGACTGGCAGGGATGAAATTAAAGGATTCTTTTCCGTAGAAGGAGGAGAAGAAATTGATGTTTCTTGAATACATACATAGGATACACAATTGTATTTATACTATTAGACATTTTAGGAAATGGCACGATAAATTGGTTATATAATTTTGGGTCTTATTGAGACAGTGATGTTATGTTGTGGGAATCGTTATCTTAAGATATTAGTTAGAACTTAGCACCAACGCACCATGCAAGATTTTTCGAATGGAGAGGTAAGTGTGGGACTAGCTTTATGCATGATGCACCAGTGTGTTCAATAGTCTTGCAGTCTTCCGCCCGGACGGCAGTCTAGATGGCTAGTCTGTGATTCAATTGGACTAGATGAACTATTGGGGTGAATATGAAATAAAAGAAAGAATTCAGCGAGCCTGAGTCTAAAATCCAGAAGTCTGGACTTTTGGACTAGTTAAGTCTATATGTGATCAAAACTTGATCATCTAGTAATATAATATTCACATAATTATAATACTATTCTATGTTTAATCATACAATGAAAAGATATTATTTATATAATTAGAACTAGTCTAGCTCCGAGTCGTCTAGACTGCAGTGCAGTCTAATTAATTAATCTAGCCAATAAATATCGATGAATTAACTAGTCTAGCTAGTCTGCCTTTTCATTGGACTGCAAGCTAAGCTAGACCAGCCATGTAAAAAACCTAGTACGTTCTGCAGTCCGGAATCCAGACTATTGGACATACTGTTGTGCACTATGCGCACTGCTGCACTGGCTTGTATAAATCATCTTTTATCAATAGTTATGATGAATCGGAGATGAGTGATAAGTCCATCAATGGTATCTACTAGATTTCTATCCGTATTATTCGATTAAAGGAGACTATCTAGATAAGCGACTACTGTGTTGTGGCACTGAGTCACCTAACGAATTAGATTTAGAGAGATTCTCATGTATAAGGCTCATAAAACACAATGTATTTCCTGTATCGCTAAGAAATGGATGTACTGACTGTGTCGTCCAGCCGAATCCGAACATCCACCCTGATGCAGTCATTGCAATGCCATTTTCCACTTTAATGTTAATGTGGTCGTAGTTTAATTCAAGTTTGTGTCATCTACAGACTCCAGTATAGCCACTTATTCTGTATCAATTCTATCTAAAACCTAGCTATCATCAAACATATATATACTAGCTGTCCCAAGGATCCCCCATATCACAGAATCTGCTACAGAATCGTAGGATTTATTTTCAGAAGGAATTGATTCGCTGTTGACAAATCTTAAAATAACCCACTAACCCACGGATAATCCATCAACCCACGTGTTGGTGGGTTATCCGGAGATAATCCACGGAAAATCAACACGGGGCTGGTTATTTGAAATCCTAATGGGTACCCTGGGGGTTGCGGGTAATTTTTGCGCAGCCTTAGCCTTAGCCTTAGCCTATTGTGACCGTGACTATACAAGTAGCTTCCGATATTTGTATACATCCTTCCTGATTACTCGGGTATTCTGATTATTCAATGTCCGAGGCTATTATCTTTCCACATTTTAAAATTCTCCTTGATCTCGCTAATTTCTCGAGTCCCCCCTGAGCCTGTGGAGATTCTCGAATTCTCGAATTTTATCTTTTCGAGCGAGTAAATAACTTTGGTAGCAATAATGAAGTATCACTGGCACGAGCCTCAAGAGTATCACATTCTCGGCTGTCTTTTATAAAGCTAAACTTGTGTTTCCAGATTGTCTCTCTGTGGCCCCTCCCTTTGCATTATTCAACTTCTCTTTGAGTTTGCCATATACTACTCTATATCTTCCAACCCCTTATTTGTTGATCTACTTGATAAAAATCTGTGCCTCTTTATTTCTTTTAGACGTTTTTTACTTTGCACTCACAACCAGATATTTTTAAACTCCATACTCAGTTTCTTCAACTTATGATACACTTGTCACTCTTTCAACATCAGCAAACAGGGCTGGTACTGACCAGTTCTTTTTTGACAGTTGGGGTTCTTCACATTAGATTATTCCCTACTTATAGCCCAAATGCCCTTACATAGAATAAATAGTATACACCTCTTGTCCTGACAATACCCGTGAACATGCTATGTATTTTCTATTTCTGCATATTTAATTCTACGTCTTCACTTCAAAATATACGAAAGCTTGACCTCAAACTTTGTGTATATATGCAAGTAATATGCGAGTAAATATTGTACCTCCTACTCTTCTGGTCAGATCAACATTTCTACATTTTAGACTTTATGATGAGTTGGTCTAAGTTTTTTTTATCATAGTTAGTGCAATAAACTTGCATCCTGCATTCCTCATCCCCTATTTTCACAAAATTAGAGAAAACACTATGCATCTCCCTTTCTTTTCATGACATAATTAGCTATTAACCTTAAGTTGTCAGATTAGACAATCTCAAACCCTTTAAAATGCTTCTAAAAGGAAATACTCTCCAGCCTCAAACATCAGCGAAGAGGTTTCTTGAATTTCAGATGCTAGGTTTCTGATACTGACAGTCTCCCTGTAGATACTAGCGAGTACTTGTTGAAATTCAAGACTCATTTTGAAAAAGTATTCATGGTTTGACTTGAGACATTTGATAGTATAGCTTTAGATATCACATTTAGGAAATAAATGAACATGATTCGTCCCTTTGATATATTCCCAGATAGACTATAAAACATCAAGGTTCTAGTTTGACCATAGCAACTCATAGCTGCACATTATTCGACGAGATAACTTCAAGTCCCAGTGATTATATACTATAGGAACAAAAAACCAAAACGTTCGATGGTAATATCCTCAAAAGTTATATCTAGGAATCGGAAGGAAACAAATATGACCCATCCCTTTAATATTCCTAAAAAGGCAGTAGAACTCTAGGGTTCAAACTTGACTATATCAACTCATAGCTACACAGTATTCGACAAGATATCCTCAAGTCCCTATAATCACTTGAGCTACAGAAAAAATCCAAGATATTCAATGATAACTTCTTCAAATAACACATCTAGGGGGGGAAACAAACATGATTTGTTCCTTTAATATCCTCGAAGAAATTGTAAAGTTTTAGGATTCCAGTTTGACTATAACAACTCATAGTTTCACAATATTAGACATCATATCCTCAAGTATCTACACTCACTTAAACTCTAAGCTTTTTTGTTCCTGTAACAATGGTGAACACACCATGAGACTTCATATCCTTACTTTCATCATATAAATTAATATCCTCACAGTATTCGACGGGATATAACCAAATCATGACAATGCATTGAATAGTAAACACTTGTCCTTCTTACAACATCTATGAATGCATTTCAAATCCACAACTTGTAGCTTGATCCAAGTAGTTCGTACTCTTACAGCATCCGACGAGATATCTTGAAATTCTACAGCTCCTTGAGCCATAGCTAATTCCCGTTCTTAAAGTATTTTCAAGTGTATCATCAAATCAAGATTCCAACATCACTATACCCAACCCAACAATACCAACATGAGATGATACCATCCCATAATCCAGATCCGACATGCACATCTATTCACTACCCTACCCCATACACCAGACCACCACCTTCCAAAATTCACCACAGCAAATTACATATCCGATGCACCCCCTCGCGTAATCAAAAACCAACAAACTAATTTCCCACCTGAACCTATTCCCAACTTGTAAAACACCAGCAACCATCGATTGACAACAAGAGACTTCCAACTTCACATTTCAAGCACTTTTGTTATCTTCATTCCCTTGTCCCACCATCCAAAAGAAATCCAACCGCACCATCCCACCGCAAAGATGCCACCTAGAACCATTTTCCTTCCTCCACAATCCATGCACCTCTTGAGTGCCGCTGATCTCGAATGGTACACCAAGATGTACGACTGTAAGTCACTTATTTCCTTACGTTTCCTTATGTTCTTACTACTTCTTTATACATCTCCCTTCATATAAAGAAGCACCCACTAACCCACCACCCTCTCCACACAAAGGGGTTGTAGCAATGCAACCATTCAAAGCCACCAGAACCTGGCCACAAGTCCTCCGCGACTACGCCTCCCAGTTCCCCTTGGTCGATAGAACCTACACCAACGACGGCTCGATTCGCGACCGCCTCTCCCACCATCGCAGAGATTTGACTATGCTGGAGGACAGGAACAATCAACTTGCTGCCCAGTTATTGTTGGTGTGTTTATTGGCTTGTATATACTAGACGAAAAGAGCATGGGCTAATCGGCAATTAGAACCTTGCCAATGGCAATTAAGAGGCACTTTCGCTGCCAAGCTGCTCTTGGTATGTATGTTTGTTTGTGCGTAAATACTGTGGGACGAGAGAGATCTAATAAGCAGATAGAATTTTAAATAAGACAATTGCGGCCAAATTGGCGATTACAAGGTTATGATTGAGTGATTGATGGGTAGATGGATGGATAGATAGTTTCTGGGTAAGGCGGTCCACTTAGGTACCTTTTTGTGTTGCTGTTTTGGGCGTTTTGGCGTCTGGAATACAAAATACAATTCGTCGCAAGGCAAAACAAGCTGCAAAGATGGAGATGTGAGATTATTTTTACGTACTATACATAAGCCAGTGCTCATACATCTGCGTTCTTTTCTTTTACCTCCAACATCGAATCTTCCTCAAGCTTTTCATTTTCTTCACCCTCGGATATCGAATCCACCTCAAGCTCTCCGTTTTCTTTTACCTCCAACATCGAGCCCTCCTCAACTTCTTCATTTTCTTTTACCTCCAACATTGAATCCTCCTCAACTTCTTCATTTTCTTTTACCTCCAACATTGAATCCTCCTCAAGTACTTCATTTTCTTTACCCTCCAACATCGAATCCTTTGTAAGCTCTCCATTTCCTTCTACTACCTCTAACGTCGGAACTTCATCTCCAAGTCCATCTTTTTGTAAAGATAGACCCTCCTTTTTCGAGGACATAACAGTTGATGTATGATATCGTCCCCCCAGATAACATAAACCATTCCAAGACTTTTCCTTCTTCAGCTGCAATGGCTTATATTTCGAAGCAATCTTGATCACCTTACCAAATACCAACGTATGATCACCCACATCTATGAAACCCCCCTTCCCATCTTGCAAAATCTGACATTCGAATGACCTTCTGATCCCTTTGGAGAATGGGTGAGGGTGTTTTTCGGGCCTATTAAGAGTACCTCCCCTTTTCGATATCATAGTAAGATCTTCAGAGGAGATGGGACCGCCGCGGGAGAAACGATCGGCGATTCCGGCGCCCAAAGAGTTGGCCTGTAAAATGTGAATGTGAAAGCGTCTATGCATTTCTTTGGGTACGGATGCAATTGTATCGGGATGTTGTAATGCTTTTAAAGCATCGAGTGTTCGGGATGGTCGTTTGATGTTGAAAGTAATAATTGGTTCTGGTGAGAGTGTAAGGGTAGCAAAGGAAGATAATGTCATGCCTGCTGTTCCTACTGGTTCTCCGGCTTCAGGACGTAGATTCGGTGTAGTGAGGACTACAGCAGAGTGTGGAATATGACGCATTACATCGCGGACTTCGAGTGATAGTCCTTCTAATGCGGGTGATTCTTGAAGGGTTTCTGCTGGAGCGTCTTTGGGTGTGGTGGTTGGTTCGATGGTGCTGGTGGAAATTGAAGGAGAAGGATTGGGCATGCTACTGCTCCTCCTTGAGTATCGATCAATGCATTTTGAGAATGGATTTGATCGGAGAGAATGAGTGTGGACTAAGTGATTCAAAAAAGGAGAGTTAGTAAGATAAATGTATGAGAGATTGAAAGTAAATAAAAAGAATACCATACATGTCTTGAAAGTCTTCTGCTGTGAGCTCCAGCTCGAGAAAAACTTGTGAAAGTCGCCTGCAACCAAAGATTGGTTTGTGTAGAGCGAACTACGAGTATATCGAGCAGATATCATCTTTCCCAATACTACAAGATCTTAGGTCCTTTGTGAATCAATTGACACAAAATTAAGAGTTCGTCGATATTTATCCTGCAAGACGGACAAGGTTTCACAAGGCTGAAGATTATATTCGACTCATCATTGGTCTGACGCGGTCACCGTAAAGTTTTGAAAAGCCTCGTCAATTGCGACTAAGACCTCGATTTTCGCAACCAAGCAAAACCGATTGAACCTCCCCGCGACTTTCAACCGGTTCTTCAAGGCCATTCTAGATATCTCGTGTGGTTCTTCCTTCACCTCACCAATACCATCACACCACAATCCCCTCAAGGACCCACAAAAATATGTCTCTCCCAACCCTCACCCTCCGCCGCACCACGAGCTCCCTCCCCAGCACCTCCACCCTCCCCATAACCTCCAGCATAACCCAACAAATCCGCCACGCCACGCTCCTAAAACGTCCCATCCGTCCCTACACCTTTACGCAACTCATTACTCTCTCGGATGGATCGGCCTACCTTACCCGTTCGACCTCCCCAGCACCAATTTATCGCAGTACAAAAGATACACGGAATCATCCTTTATGGCAACCTTCATTGGATTCACTGAGGAATGTTGAGAATGATGAGGCGGGGCGATTGAGTGCTTTTAGGGAGAGGTTTGGAGGAGGATGGGATGGGGATATGGAGAAGGCCGAAGGAGAGAAGAAGATCCTGGCAGGGAAGGGAGATGTGAAGGAGGATATTGTAGAGAAGCCGGCTCCTATGGACAGTTTGATGGATCTGATTAGTGGAGGAAGTCAAAGGGATGGTACGAGTATGAAGGGGGCTGTTAGGACGAAGAGTGGGAAGACTGGTAAATAGATGAAGAGGGTAGAGAGGGGTAGATGAGAGGGGTATGATAATGATTAGGATGGAGGGGCTTGCTTGGTATGAAGCCGAGAAAGGATGACATTCATGATCATCTTCTTAAAGGACTTTTCCATATCAGAGGAAGATACCAGGAACACATCATGTCGGAATGTACGATGAATCAGGAAACATGATCCAAATTTGGGATGCACATACATGTATTGTCATAGAGGCACAAAAATTGCATGCGAACAAGGATTGGGCGTTCAGACTTGAATTATTATTCTATGTACAAAAATACTACAACCAGTATACCATACTACTACCAGCTCATGATTTGGGAATTGATTCATCTCATCATTTCTGTTCGCTCCACCTAATTGCTTTTCAAAAAACGTGATATCATTGTGTCATTCATTAATCTTCTTCATCCGCAGTTGCTACAGCTGCAGCGTGTGATTCTGTAGCAGTTTCGCCAGAAAGTCCTGCTTCTGAAGGAAGTGCTGCTGGTTCCACAGGAGGTTTGTAAAATAATTGATCATCCTCTCCGGCATCGAGTTGCATAAGAAAAGTCTCCCAGAGTTCGATAAGCTAAGAGGTATTAGCATGGCATCTCCAATCTTGAAATATGAATGACTTACCTCCTTTTGAGCTTCAACAGCACTCTCTAAGAACGTTTCAACGGCACTTTTGAAATCCTCAACCTTTTCGCGTTCGAATCTGTCGAGTTCCGATTTCATAAGACGACCCATATCCTCGAACAATAATCTCGCTTGATGAACTTTACGTTCAGAATCGGCCACTTCTGCTTGCATTTGATTCAAACGATCTTGTTGTGATTTTCCTTGACGTAATAATTTCTCTTGGGTAGTCTTACGCTTTTGTAAATCACCCTCTGCGGCATGCCATGAGTGCCATGCCTTTTGACGTGAACCGAATGCTTGCTTGATACTTCCAATTAGACGAACATACTCATCAATCGTAATACCCAAAGTCAATACATCTTGTTGTGCCTGTCGATCATAAAGTTCCCTGATTCTGACTTGCAAATCCGCAAGACTTTCAAGGGGCCCGGATAGTGATGCAGAGAGCTCGACTGCTGAAAGTGCTCTGAGAGAACCAGAGAAATCACCTGCCGCTTCAGCAAGACCTTTACGTTGGCCAACCACAACATCCATAGCTTTTAACAAAGCTTTAAGTTGATTCTCCAAGGCATCCAAGTAAACTCGTCGTTCATGGAACCACTAATGATGTCAGCCAATCCAACATTCGAGTTACTCATATACTGTACTTACGTCGTCTTGTTCAACAAACTTTCCCCCTCCACCAACAGAAATGCCGAGTCCACTAAACATTCCTTTGCTTTCACCAAGGCCAGGTTCTTTTCGTTCTTTATGTTTGACATCAACATTGAAAGCTTCACTCTCCAAGAACAATTTCAAATCCCCATCATGTTGAAGTGTTGGATGAGCAGCTGTCTTATTGAGCATTCTTTCCAATGCAGCACGTCTAGATTCGACAAAATTGGTATCAAATCTTCCTACAGCCTGCTTCTCAGGAGGTGGAGGTACAACGACACCGGGATTATTTGCGTGCAAAGAATTGTAGAGCCATAAAAAGTCCCTATATCTTCGAGTGACAGTAAATTCTGGTTGACGATATGCTTTGGAAGATGTCTAATTCGTAATTAGTTCACATGAACACACCATTAGAAGTAACATATCCTACCTTTGTTTCAACTGAATATACGATATGAGAACTTGTCAAATCCCCAACTTTGTGTGGATCACCGACGGTAATATTAAAAGTAGGCTTGGCAGCTTGTTCGATGCTCACGCTAGGTGTTGTGTCTCTTCGAATGGACGATCCATGAGATGGTTGAACAGGAGGTGGTATGCGAGGTCCAGTACTAGATTCAACGTCCTCGTTCAAATCCACCGGATCCAATATACTTCGGCTAATAGTAGAGCTTTGCGATGAAGGTAATGGTTGTCGCAGATTGTGTGTAACAGTTTGTTCTTTTTGGGGCGGCGCAGGAGGCTCATCGGCCTTTGACGTTGGCGCATTATCACCTAAAGGTCCCAATGGACCCAACGAGTCATCTAAAGCCTGAAGTCGAACTGGTTGTGCTCCGGCGCGTCGAGGTGTTCGTATCGTACGTCCTCCATGTGTTTTGCCCTGGGCGGCTGGTGGGGAGAGAGTTTGCAATGCGGATTCCGAGGAGTCTTATCAAGAAACGTTAGGTTTAAGCGCATACTCAGATTGATGATAACTGACCTCCTTCTAGAGCAGATTCTCCGGGATTTGGCAAGCTTGGTGTCGATTGGGCTTGAGAAGGGACATCTGGTTTAGTTGTCAATACCGACTTCTTGGAGAGCAATAGTGTGAAGAAACATACCTCCCCAAGGCGAATCTACCCCATCTTCTAAATCCATTGCGAAAGTATAAAGGGAAACTGAAGATGTTGAGTTGATGCTTGTAGGAATCCGAGATGGATAGCTAATCGGCGCGGCACAGACAAGAGTCGGAATGTGCCGTTGTAAGTTACAGGGGTCAAAGTCACTCGGGACAAGAACAAATACAATTGATGTATGATATTTGCAATCGTTCTTCGGCGGGTTATAGCGTTATAGCGTTGCTATGGATATGTACATGCACCAAGAATTTTGATATTCCCTACTATCATGCGATTGAGGTAAAGTGTAGGAATTTGGGTTGTCGGGCAATTATCGGTTAGCTCATTGGCCTTTCAACAGCTTACTGTTGTCACCATACTGCAGGCAGGAGCACAAGTACATTGTAAAGGAGGTAAGATATGAATAGCTTCAAGACTTTGATCTATAAATGGAAAAGAGAATAGAATTGGATATCAATATGCATGAAAATGTTCCGCAAGTTGTCCGAACCTATGAAACATTATCCCGACCCCTCATCTACAGTTCTTCTTTCTTGATCCCCTTTCTTTGAGATATTGGTTGTCCATCGTAATTACCCTTATCCAGATCCTCGAGGAATTTTCTACTCTTTGCCCACAATTCGGCTTCCATATCTCTGCCAACTCTTCCACTTCGACTATTCAAGAAACCAATATCAAGATTCCCCATCCCTCCTTCTTGGGCGACATCATCTACTTTAATTCCCGTCATATTTCCCGGGACTGCTGGCCGTCTTGCTTCCGTAGCTTCTGCCGCACCTTTGCCCTTATTTTTAGACTTGATCTTTTCTGCAGGTATAATATCTGCTTCCTCCAATCCCAATATTTGTCGGCGTAATCGCACATCGACAGACTGTAGAGTTTTTAGATAAGAGTTTGAGGCATTCTCGAAAGCATGGCGTTTTTCTGGTGGTGATGGTGTTTCTTCTGATTCTTGTGAAGTAGTAAGAATTTTAAGTGTTTGACCGGCCGTTTGAACAAGTTGTAATATACTCTAAGGATATTTAGAATGAGCTTGAAAATTGAGTATATATCAGTAACTCTTACCTTGTCTATGTCATTTAGTTGTTGAATACGCTCAGCTTTCGTGAATATTCGAAAGGTTGAGGTTTGATCTTCCTCGGGTGAAGAAGACATGATATGATGTTGATCTTAGCAAGTATCGTATTAAGAATCTGGAATAATTCTCTTATTGATATGCTCTATTCTGATTTCGAGGAATGTTTGGTAGGTGGTAGGGTGGCTGGTAGGGTGGGTGGTAAGGTGGGTTACAACCTTAGTAATGCGGCTCTGCGGGTCGGCTGCATTAGTGCCAAACTTTTACTCCCATCTACCAAATATCAATGAAAGCTGATCAATCTCATGAAATTGCATCAACTTGAGCAATACACAAAAGCTTTCTTTAATTCTTACATGTCATACCATTCAAACTTTTCGTTATCATAATCAATTGTTCATAGACACAAGCACAAAGTTGAAAGTTTTGGGTAAATTATTTGGAGAATTTCTGGGATGCTAAGTAATTTATGTGTGGTGGTGATTGAGGGCATCTAGATCTATTTGAGTACTCGAGTAGAAGGGATTGAAAAAGGAAGATCCAAAGACTCATCAAACAACTCATCAAACAACTCATCAAACCACTCAAAGACCATGTCTACCTCAGGACAACCAAATGGACCCCCAAGTGCTGGAATTAATACACAACAAAATTCCCAAGGTCCTCCACAACCAGGTTCACTCATGTCTCAACAAAATTTGAATCAGATTGTAAGTATTCCCCTCTTTTACTTATTCCAACACCCTTTGGCATTATTACCATCAATATCCATCGGTATCTTTATCCAGAGAACAACTGTGCTCTCTTCATATACTGCCAGTGCAGAAACAAGCAGCCATAACACAATGCCGTCAAGGGAAACAAAGTATGAAGAACATGTCGATCACGTGGTGTGGTTGAATACTATCAACACCAACCCATCTCTTCAACCAAGAGCAATTTACTTGACTGTATATCATTGCGATGATGGAGAATTGAAGTTAAAACAGATTCTCGTTGATCTTCTGCACCATATACATTGTCATGATGCAATGTGTATGGTACATAATTTCTGAAAGATGTTGTTCATGACCGAGTTTGTTGTTGAAAAGAATTTTTGTTTGAGAGGAAGGTTAGATGAACTAGATCACATTTGAAGTTCTATCTGTCGTACACGGTGTTTGCTTGTCGAAAGGCCGATATCAGTTTTATTCTAGCTGCCTTATCTTGCCATATCCTCATCTGTTTGCCTTACAATTTACAAGTTTCCAAATCACAATCTTGTCAATTCACTTAAAATCCCACTTCATAAAAACAATTGTACAGACTCTTGCAGTGCTTGTAGCTCTTCCTACAAAGTCTTGTTGCAGAACTTTTATCACAAACTCTCCTTACAATCTCTTGTCATCATGTCTGAACCACCATTTGAGTACTTTATACATATCCCACTTCCTGGCACCTCACGTTCAGTACCTGCTGTACCTGCTGTACCTCCTGGCACCTCACGTTCAGTACCTCCTGTACCTGCTGTACCTGCTGTACCTCATGGCACCTCACGTTCAGTACCTCCTGTACCTCCTAGTACTCCAAGTTCTGGCACCGCTTCAATCTCAATGACTCTTGGTGCTCAACCTCCTGTACCTATTTCATATCATTCACAATTTAGGCCTGCTTATGGCTCTCCATATCCTCCTATTCCTCGTACATTCGGCCCTAACCCTGTTGGCTACCCTTCTCAAAGCTCTACTAATGCGTTTTTACATCAAAAGGTCATCGAGTATCTCGTTAAGAAAGGATACAATCGAACTGAGCAAATGTTACGATCAGAATCCGCGAACCTTGATAGAGATGGTAAACCTATTCAAGATCGCGCCGAGGATCTTGGTACAGCAAAATATGCAAGAGGTTTCCGATTATTAAGTAGTTGGATTGAGTCAAACTTAGACATTTACAAGGTGAGTAAAAACGATTTCGACATTACAATCTTTTTTCTTCTAACACCCTGTATCACAGTTTGAATTACGCCGACTCCTTTGGCCTATATTTATCTATTCATTCATTGAGCTCATCACAAGTGGCTATGCAGCTGATGGGCAAGCTTTTCTGAATGAATTCAAAGATCAATTCCAACAAGTTCATGCGGATGAACTCACCACTCTCGCGACAATCAGCTTACCACAACAAATTACCGATAACTCAATCACAAAACTTTATCAATCCTCGAAATACCGACTTCCTCTCAATACTCATGTTTACTTCAGCCTCATCACCCATCTCGAGTCAAATAGCAAGCAAGGAGGATCTGTCATCATATACTTGCTACAAACATACTGTGAAATCCGCGAGACACAAAGAGGACCCATTGACCAATTCAGCTTCGAGGCTATAATCAATCAAGCACATGGTGTTGAGCCAGAAGAATCTGATCTACAAGAAGGAATTCCTGGAGCTTTTACTGGAGTTACAAACAAGGACATTTCGGATAACAATGCTAAGTTGAAGTTAGGCCCAATGGCAATGGATACCGAACTATCTGCGGATGTTCGCACAGATCTTGAAGATGAAGATGCTAAGAACCCACCTGAGCTCGGCAAACCATCTTTGGTAGAACTATTCGAACAGAAGATCAAGCACGAGGAAAGCAGTGAAGGACCCAGTCGCAATGATATTCCTTACCCTCCTTCTCGCGCTCGAGACGTAATCATGGAAATCCAAAAGATCAAGGAGTATCGGGATAGATTCAAGATTGAGAGTCGTAGTGGTGGTGTTGGCCCTGGAGTATCGATCTGCATGTTTACTTTTCACAACACTCTTGATACGTAAGTGGTTGTACCCTAGTTTCCTTGAATGATTGCTAAGTTTTGGTCAGAATCACCTGCATGGAATTTTCTGATGACAATAATTTGGTTGCTGTTGGCACTGAGGAATCCTACATTCGTGTTTGGCATTTACATGGCGATCCATTATCATCGGAAGTTAAATCAGGTCCAAATGATCCACCTCCAACAAACTCTCGCCGCCTAATCGGTCACTCCGCATCAGTCTATGCTGTATCATTCTCTCCTTCAATTCGAGGTGCAGATGATGCTGATACATCTACTGCGCCCAAGTTACTTCTCTCTTGCTCCTCGGATAGAACAATTCGTCTTTGGTCTCTCGAAGCATGGGCCTGCGTTGTCGTATACAAAGGTCATGAAGGTCCAGTGTGGAATGTAAAGTGGGGACCATTTGGTCATTACTTTGCAACTTGTGGTTTGGATAGGACTGTTCGTATTTGGGGCCAAGATCATATCTCATATCTTCGAATGTTGGTCGGTCATGATTCCAACGTCAATCAGGTTGCTTGGCATCCAAATGGAGCATATGTTTTTTCAGCTAGTGATCAAGCTGATAAGACTATTCGTATGTGGTCTTTCACAACTGGTGAATGCGTTCGCGTCTTTACTGGCCATACTGAATTCATCAGTTCTCTCGAGTGCGCTCCTAATGGAAAGATTTTGGCTTCTGCCGATGCAGGTGGAAGTATCATCCTTTGGGATCTTGCCAAGGGAACACAAATTAAGCGTTGCAGAGGTCATGGAAAGGGTGGGATCTGGTCCTTGTCATTCAGTGTCGAATCCACGGTCTTGTGTTCAGGTGGCGCTGATGGCACTGTTCGTTTGTGGGATATCGAGGTTCCTGCCGACCCATACAAGAATAATGATGGAGAGGTTATCGGCACTGGTGGACAAGCAGATGCAACTCGAGTCAGTGGTACCACAGCTAGTGCGCAAGCCAATCCCGCTACCGGTACTTCTAAGAAGAAAGGCAAGGAAACAATGATTACACCCGATCAAATTGTTGCATTCCCAACCAAGAGATCACCAGTTTACAAAGTCATGTTTACAAGAATGAACTTGGTCATGGCTGGAGGATGTTATTTGCCTTGAATTACTGGATAGATGGAGGTTTCTCGGAAGGATTGGGTCATTTTTCACTGCGAGGCGCATATTCTACGATACTTACATCAAGATTGTAATTGAGATTTTTCAAGGATATCTTCGGGCGGAATGGATTGAAAGTTGGTTAAGGGTTGACGGCATAATTCGTGAGGTCACGATGCCAGGGTTGATGGTAACTAGTCACTAATTTAGGTATTAAATAGTGAAATGTTTTCCCCAAAGGTTTTATGTTGATATTTTTGTTTTCGATGTGGATGTGAATATGAATAATGAACATGAACATGAACATGATAAACGACGTCTGAAGATCCTCTCCAGTCTCCACCAACTTACCAAAACCACCCAACTACTATACCATATTTCCTCATTTCCACATTTCCCATAAATATCATGTTCCAAAAATCTTATAGAAATAGAATTCTCAAGAGTTGTATCCCCCTACTCGTACCCGCATATCATGTATATTATGTCATGTCATGTCATGTCATGCGTGTCATGTCATATCATATAATGTCATAAAAAAAAAGGAATGAGTATATATATATAAAGAAAAGAACAGAAGAGAAGAAGAAGAAGAAGAGAAGGATAAAGACCGGTATATATGAGTATGTAGAGAGGGGAAAAGAGAGAGAGAAGAGGGAGGGAGGTTTTAAATATAGATGTATATATGGTCAGGCGTATTTTTATATCCTCGAGTAGAGTCGAGTAATAAGTGACCAACCTACTGAGTACACATACACACACATTCATAGCTTTCTTCCTGCAAACCGTTTGCAAACCCCTCAACTAAGCATATAATCTCAGGCATCTCACAAAAACTCACTCTCACAAATCATTCAAGGTTCAAGGTAATCAATCTCAATCTCAATGAATGTATACTATTTACCGGAAAGAAAGAAAGAAAACAAAAATCCCCAACTATTATCAATCAATCAATCAACCAATCAAGCTCATTTACTTCTCTCCACCCCCCC